TGACGATGACACGTACGGAGGGAGGAAAATCGGCGTTGCGCATCATCGTCGAAAACGTCGCGACATACGCTGATGGACTTACCTATCGCCGTGGACATTTCCGCCGTGTTTGCTGTTCGACGCGTCGACGCCGTCGGCTCGTGCTGACTCGGTTGACCGTTAACGACGACAGTACGTGGCCGTGACAGTCGGGCACATTTTTCTTCCCTTTTTTTTTTAGCGGTGCGACTGCTTATCGGCGGTACCGTCCAACCCTGCGTCGGCACGCGGTGACATACGTGATCGCATGAGCTTTGGCTGCGCGCTCGTACGTAAACGTATCTCTCGCCCCCCTGTGATACGTGTCGCGGCGGCCACGCGCGATGACGACCGTGCGAACTGTCGACGCGCGTATCGACGTTGACTTGACGTTATAGATTGATGACGGGTGGCTCTCGTCGTGTCGCGCCACGCGAAAAGAACGCTCTTCGCGGAAATTATATAACCTCCACGTAGAGCGAAACGGAGGCGGCGGCGCGGCAAGGCGATCTCTCCTCTTTCTGTGTCTCTCTCTCTCTCTCTCTCTTTCTCTCCCTCTCTTTCTCTCGTCGAGTTCTCAAAAGAGCGACGCTTTCAGGCGGGTTAGTAGCGTCCAGAAACAGAGCCGACAACCGGACGGTACCGGCGCTACTTAGCGTCGCCGCTCGTCAGGGTGCCAAAACATCAGCGACGGTCGTTCCTTTGACAAGACGCGTGTGTGCAGCACGGAACCGAGGAACGACGGATCGAGTCTCTTTTCCTTGTTTTGCTTTCTTACGACGCACTCGCGACCAGACACTCGCTACGAGAGACGTGGCACGCGTTGCTTCAGCACCATATGGTCTTGCGGCAGGCGTGACGCGAAGGTGGTTCGCGCGGATTACGAGAGACCGACGTCGAGCGAGCGAGCGAGCGATCGAGCGCGCGCGCCAGCGTGTCCCTGAGAGAGAGGGACCTCTCGTCGTGATAGTCGGTACCAGTTAAGCGAACGTCAGCACGAAAAGCTCGCGGGGTACCACCTCCCGGGGGCAACAGCGACGTTGACACTGTCACGGTGCAAACCTGTCGCGCACGGACGTTCCTTCGGCGAAGCCGCGACACGGCCGCGAAATTATTCGCGATCCTCGATTCGCGGTTTCACCAGGTTTCGCTGAGCAAGACAAACGGGTGTACCCCCCGCGCGGCTGATTGCCACATGTACCAGCCGAAGTAGCCGCTCGGTCGGCTTCGTGCGACTTCGGTCCCGTTTAGCCGTGTCGCCGTCTTTCTCGCGTCCTATTCTTTCGACGCCCCTCTCCGCCCCGCTTGTGCACCTTGCCGCTAATTTATCGTCGGCTCTCTTTGCCATAGTGCGCGTGAGGAAAGAAACACCCTTCTTCTCGTCTCCTCTTCCCGAACCTCTTAACCGCGCGCGCGTTGCAATTTGATTTCGCGCGTGCGCGTGTCTCTGTCTCTCGTCTGTCAGTTGTTTGTTTATGCTCGTTGTTTGTTTTTTTTTTTGCACGTGTGCGTCGCTTCTCTGCCAACGTCGATGTGAAAAATCGAACTCTGGTCGGAAAACTACAGTCGTAATTTTTTTTATAGAATACGAGGCGCGCACACCTCACTATCTCCGATAATCCTCGAAATTTCGCGAGCCGGGAAAAAAGCGATTGATTAATTAATTAATTAATTAATTAATCTCTCTCTCTCTCTCTCTCGATGCGCGCCTGCATCACCAGCACATCCTTTCGCACGGTCTACATATTCGCGCTCCCTGTTTCCCGGGACCGGGCATCGGCGGCAGCTGCAGCAAGTGGTCGTTGCCGGTTACCGTCCTCGAGACGGTCGCGACGCAGGAAGCTCTCTTTCTGCCTCCCACCTTCGCTTTTAATAGCCGCGATTCAACAGTTTGCCGCACGTCGTGCCGGCCAATCGTCACCACCTCTCCTCTCCTCCTCTTCACGCATGTTTATTACCCGTTCGCTTGCCGCTCGTTTCGCTCGCGGTGAAAAGTCGCGTCCTTGTTCGCGACAGCCGCCGAATGAGGAAAAGGAAGAGAAAACAAGACGGGACTTTCCACATTGGTGCGTCGCCGCTAATGCGAATAACCGTATTTTGGAATCTCCAGGAAGGAGGGGGTGGGAGGAAGGGAGAGAGAAAGAAAATGTAAGGACGGACAACTACATCGATATTCGTTGCTAATGCGAAGAATGACCTAACGAACGACAAATGCGAGCGTTCGCCTCGACAAATATTAGACATGCCGTAGATTCATGAGCGGCGAATGCCCGATGTTGCATATCAGCCGTAGAGAGGCTAAGACGAAAGTGAAAGCATACGTTCCAGCCCAATGTTCGGTCGAATCTTCGATAACATGATTTAATACGCTAAATCGCTCTCGACGAACCCCTGAAATCGGTATCCTTCCGCGTGCTTTCAGTGAGAATAACATTTCTTATACATGACACATAGGTATGTTATATGTGTATACATGTGTAAATATATGTGTGATGTTTTGAGGACTAAGCTCTCTCATTTAGCCAAAACGAGCGAAATAAATTCCCCGTTTCTGCTAACGCGCAGATCGATATATCCCGGTATTTTATTCTTGATATTTCCGAAGCAATATACGTGTTCTGATACTGCTAATTATTTAGATAACAGGTAGCAGTTTATGAAGAGGTAGGTAGATAAATGTATATCTGGACACAGATCATTAGACGCAGATAAGGGAGAAAGGGGAGAGGCGGAGGAGGGATTGGTAAGGTCTAACAAAAATTATCATCGGTCCATGTGTACCGCAGAGAGCGACGTTTTAACGAGATTACGGAAGCCGCACGAAAAGAGCATTGCCGCCGTTCTACTTGCACGGCCGACTTGTCGAACTTGGTATAGCCAGGTGTCGCGGAAACATACAGTTTCTCTTTCGCGAGTAGCTACGTATCGGCCGAGCTGCCACGAGGAGACGAAGGAGGAAGTAGTGGCGGGTTCACGCGGGGACGAAAATGCGAAAGCGTATTCACGCTAACGGCACGCACACCGAGCACGGACGGATATTTCCATCGCGTTCTCAGATTTCCGAGATCGGATGGCGCGTCGACGCGTCGAGTAAACAATCGAGCGGCCGAAGGTTGTCGGACGTGAAAAGAAAAGGAAAAAGGTGACAAGAGAGGAGGGGGGAGAGAGAAACACACACAGTACACGGTGAGGAAGGACATCGTTTCCCCGTTCTCTCGCGGCACACACAGCCACATGGCGTGGTGGTCGTCCTAACCTCAAATAACACTTTTCCTCCAGAGTGCATGCGCATCGGATATACATACATCGTACAATGATAATTCGCCCAGGACCGCGCTACGAGTGGATACGTGCCACACACACATACGCAAACTCGTACGGTCCTCGGGATAATTATACGTGCCCGTGTGCTAATGACACTTGCTCCGATGAAAATTCATCTCGGAGAAAATATGTGACGAGGGAGAGGGGAGAGGGTAAAATTCACGGGTAAAACTCCATGAGCAACGGAGGCGAGAAGAATGCGATGCGCACGAAACTCCCTCCCTCCCCTCCCCCCCTTCGTGCGGGTCTCACTGGATGAATGGAATTAAAAGCGAACTTACCGGCATGGAATCTAGGCGTGTTCGTCGTTACCACCGAACTGTAACTCTGAGCGGGATGCGGCACGACAGGCTGGTTGACGTTGAGGATCAATTGATGCTGATGTTGCGACGGGTTGTGATGAGCCTGCTGCTGTTGGTGTTGCTGCTGCTGGGAATGATGCTGATGGTGGTGGGACAGGTGGTGGTGCTTCCCTTTCGTCGGCATGCTCATCGCCGGCATGAACCTCCCTTCTGCGAGCTGGCTTGCTTCGAAGCTTGCTGCCTTATGCGGCTCGACGAGGACCTCATAGGTACGCTATTTTCTCACGTGTTCACAGCCCACGATGGTTAATGTACTATCGTCGATAGCCGTGGTGCAGTGTGGCGTGAGAAAAAGGAGTCCGTGTGACGAAAATCAGTGGGCGAGATCGATCCTCAGCGCCGTCGCTCACCGTATCGTGATACGCGAGATTTGTAGAAACGATCGAGGCAGTGTTCCTCCTTCGGTGCGCCTCGCACGGACCTGATCGTTGGCACGCAACGCCTATGTACGCGCGCGCGCGCGCGCGCACTCACTCGCAAAGATTCATGTACACGAGGTTACACGCGATCTCCCCGCGACGCCTTGTGTGTATATTTCTTTCTCGTGGATTCGTCGCTTCCGCCTTTGTCCGTCTGTCGATCGCGAAAACGATGCGTATCTTCGCACGAGGATCCGCGTGGTATCTCTTATACGTAGAACGTTTCTGTGGTCGTTGTTGGCGAACGCGCCTGTCGCGCGCGACCCGATGACGATGTTCTCGGCCACGCGAAAGAAAGAAGGAGCGAGAGAAACGGCGACGCGGACACGCACGTTCAGGGACGAGTCCGGAGCACGTTGTCGTCGCTGTCTTCCTCCTCGTGGTCGTCGCTCGCTCGTTCGCTTGCTCGAACGAACGCACGTACGTTTCGCACGTATACGCACGCAGCAGGCAAACACGCGCGTTTCGCCACCACGTTCTAGGTCCGCTCTCTCAGTGAGACGATGCGACAACGACGTGAGGTTACGATGCGAAAATCTCGGCTGTCTAGTTATCGCGCTATCGCATTCGAGAGTACGCGTTCGCGTCTCGCACGTACTCGGTCGCTCGCTTTTACCGTCGTTATTCGCGATACCTGTAGGGAGTAGGAATTCCAGGATTGCGTGCCCGTCGTCGATAGGTATGTACGTCTACTAGAATATCCGCTGGTCGTAACGCATTTACGGCACGGATATATTCCGCGACACAGGGTGATACGGGTCGTAACGCAAAGAGGACGGAACGCGCACGACCAATCGCGATTGGATATAATTTCGATTAGCGCGACATCTCGATATTGTGTGTACAACGTAAATCGGTATACTCGGTGTCGCGAACGTCTCGGTCGCTGGATTCTCTCGAATGACGTGACGCTTGTTTCCCGTGTAATATTGTTGAGACGGTCGTGTTCCGACGAGAATAGCTAGTCAATTTGTATCTTTCGCGTCCGTTTCTATCTTTTCTTTGCTTTTTTATGATACGAAACTTTGTACGATTGCCGTCGAAGGTTCGGTGAGTGTAATCAGTTGGTAATACGTTGCTTAAGGCTGTTACGCATAAAGACACTCGGGCAATAATCAAATCGACCAATCACAGGCGTGAATTTCAAAATAGGCTCATTTGTAGTGTTTTTTTATGCGGCAGAGAGCTTCGTCACAACGGTATCTCTAGCATAACCTTCATAAGTTTTTCTTCCTCGTCCATAAAGTGTCCTTTTCTCTTCTCGAATCCACTTTACAGTCCCATCGTACGAAAATGAGTTCTCATGGAAAAGTAGAGACTGACAGGCTCAGGAAGAATCTGGAGGAACAATTGGATCGGCTTGTGCAACAGCTAGAAGATCTGGAAGATAACAGGTACTATTTCAAAACATGGTCATTAATTTATTATTCTGTCTCGTTTAGAGATGTAAATCTACTTTGGGCGAGTTCTCAAATTCTTCATTTCTACATGTACTAATTTGTAACATAGGCATTAATTGTAATGTATAAATTTTATTTTGACAGAGTCACACTCGATGAAATAGATTATCAAGAATGTAAAGAAGATACCATGGAGCAGCTTCGTGAATTCAATGAAAGTCTACAAAGGATGACATCCGGAGATATGACTTTGGTTGATGAGCTTGGTGCGATGCAATTGGTATGTATTATCTATTTTTGTAATTTTAATACACTTCAATAACATAATATGTTGTAATATATTTCTGTCAAATATATATTTAAAATATTTGTTTTTATAAATACTCAACAGGCAACTCAAGCAGCAATCAGTGCAGCCTTCCAAACACCAGCTGTAATAAGAATGTTTGGTAAACGTGAGCCGACTTTACTTAAAGAACGTCTCACTGAAATCGACCGTGATGTGAAACTAGGAAAGTTAAACAACGAAGCTGCTGATTGTCAACGTGGAGAGATAATGAGTGCTTTGAGGCAACTTGGTGAAAAGTTAGAGCCATCTGAACTACAGTTGTTGGAACGGTTATCCTTAAATAGTATAGATACTGCCAGGTATGTGCAAGTCACGGAAACAACAGGGAAGGGTAAAATGGCTCTAGACATAGTAGGTAAGGAAGTTAAAGCTACGCAAGATACTTGAATTATATCAAATTTGTCCAGCTGCAGTGCTTGCCCAATGTAATTCTTATTACATAATGGGCTGTATTGTTAATCTATTGCTACTTTTTTAAAGTTTTATTTAAATAAATTTTATGTACAATATAGTTTTGCTCAACATTTTTTATTTTCATTTTTTTTGTCAGTTTCCAACAATCTGCAGTTTCCATAATGTGTACATAAGTAATATGTATCATTGATATTCAAGATAAATATTTATATTGGCGCGTAAATTCAGGCATGCACGCAAAATATTTATATAATCAAATATATGTGTTCCAATGTATCTATTGGTATATTATATTTGGTGCTTTAATTCAGTAGCAATGCTGTGATTATGTTTACGATGAGAGAAAAGTGACTATTACAGAAATTTTACCAAAAATATATAAGAACACATATAATTCCTAGAAACTGTTGCTTAAATTTTACTGTGATTCTCAAAAATATATATGTATATATATAGTGTATCAACTAATCAAAATAGATCTTTTAGTACATGTAGTGTTAGTGCAACATATTTAAACGCATTCTGCAACATTGTATATTGATTACAAAATGTTTTGTTACATGAAATAAATATATTGATGTTCCTAAATGACTTGCTGTTATGTTGTAAAAAGATATCTTAATTTCATAAACTATAACTAAAAATAAGAATTACAAAAAGTTGATGCATGTTGATCAATAATCCAGAATAAATTATTTGGTAACAATATTCATTTTTCCGTATTATCATATTAACGCGCATACACATAGTTACATTCAAATTTGTTATTTGTATTGCATGTGGAACCAAAGCTTATATCTAATAAAAATGACATAATCGCGCGTGGCGTATAGAGATTAACGAAGCTATATCTATATATATATATATATATCTATACATATATATCTTAAGAATTATTTTCATACACATATGATTCTATAACTATCATTATCTTCTTTCGGAATTTGTTGCACAGTTATCAAGAGATGTATAAAACTATCATCATTCGAAAATTACTTTGTCGTACCGCTTGGTACAAGTAAGAACAGTCTTTTAAGATTTATTTGTGTGTACACACACACACACACACACATAACAATTCTCCCATCCGTCCTAGGGAGCAAGTTCATAAAGGCATATTGAATTGGTGTCAAGAATATATTAACGTGCATCTACGGATTATCTTTTTATTTTATATAAATATGTATATATATGTATACAGAGCAACTTCCCTTCCCTCCCTGTCATATATATATCATATGTTCATTGCATTTCTATCTTTGTACAGCGTATTTAACGAACTTAAAATTTACTCATTCAATTAACTGGAAATAAAATGAAAATTTATCGTTTGATTTTATATTTAAAGTCGTCTTAAATATTTATTCGTTTAATTTATTTTTTTCAAGTTTTTTCTTTTAAATGTATTCACATAAAATCTAAGACATAAAATCTACCTTTTTTTTCGACATTGCATAAAAAGAATTTTCAGATTTCACGTCTCTAATAATCGAGTTTATTAGCAGAAATTGGGATGGATATTCCCCGGGACACTCTGTACATATATATGTGTATATATACACATATATGAAAACGAATACTCGTATTTCTTTAAACGTTCTCTGACGTCTCTTATTGTACTTGTCATATTCCTCCAGGTGAATTAGCGCTTACGCCTGCACACCCTTTTGTGTTCGCGTTGCCAATGAATCTGTTGGCAGTCTGTGCTACAGTACGCGGTGTTCCAACAACAATGGTATATCGCTTCATTCTCGCAGTTGTAACACTACAACAGATCGTGTATGTAAGACGATAGAATTCAGTCGAATTTCAAGGAAAGAGACGCGATGACAAACTGAAACTTACCCATTGTTTCTTTTTGATGTCAGATATCGCTTGTTTGTGCTTCTGCTCTATTTGCCGCAACTCTTTTCTATATTCTGCCTGCAATCTTTCCAGTTCCCTGCACTTGTCAAGTTCCAATTCACGACGTAACTTCTCCAATGCCGTTGTCGTCGGCTGTTCCGAGGTTCGACGTTCCCTCTTGATCTAAAAATTTCGTGTTCACCGGTGGACAATCAGACAAAAAGTAATTGTGGGTGCGCAATTTACGATTTCTGCATTATAAAGGGGTAGCAACACGCTGGAATAACGCGCGTGGTGGTTAAACAGCCTCTTACCTTCCCAAAAATGAAAAGTTCGTAATGAAAAACGACCGGTAAGCGCCTCTAATGCGCAGAAGTAATCTCTAAGAGCGTTCCAGCCGAAAACTCACCTTGGCTGGAGGAAGCCCGTCCGCTTGAATTTGTTCAGTCTGCACAAGAACGCACTTCGATCTCGGTTCTTGACAACTGGACGTGACCATATCCTCCTGCGAGCCCTCCTTCTTCAAGCCTTGCGGACATGTACTTGTTATTTCCCGAGCGGGCTCGTCCTCCGCAACTGGTAAATGAGGCACTTGCCTGTCCTCGTTCGAGCCGTTGCTCTTCGAGGCGTTGTCCTTGTTATCCGCTGCGTCGTTTGCGGGCTGCATCTCGGGATGCCCGTCCGAACTCAACCGCTCAACCTTTACCCTCAGATCCTTGATTAGCTGCTTCGGCAGATTCGAACTGTGCGACCCGCCCTTCGAACCTGACGATTCTTGATTCCGCATCTTCGCGGGCGTAGGACCGTCGTCGTCGTCGTCCTCCGTGTTAATTTCTTCCTTTTTCTTGCCCAACTTCGCCAGCAGGTGCTGGTGATGCTTCAGCTCTTCGAAAGCCCTGTTCCATGCTGTTGATCTTTTTATCTACGAGAGATAGGGCTTTCGGTTACACGAAAAACAGATCCCTTTCTCGATTACGGGGTAAAACGTCGCGAAAAGAAATTAGTTGTACACTTTTCTCTGTTCTAAACATGCGTACCTCCATTTCTTTCCACTTTCCTTTTTCCGGAGGCTATACAAGAATTCGTCGTTATGATATTAATACGCTTTAGGGTTTACAGTTTCTAAGTCGATTTCGCGAAAAGAGAGCTATTCTTTCGGGACGCGATATGAATCTCGCGCATCTGCGAGAATCATAATGCAGACAAGTTAAGATTAAGGCTCGGCTCTCTTCGTTAGCCGTATTGATTTTGTGACGTCATAGGTGAGAAATGACATGCAATAAGTTTCTTGCAACAGGTTACGAAATCATTGTGTTTTTCGGGGAAAATTAAAAAATAAAGCTACATGTTGCAAAAAAACTTATTGTATGCCATTTCTCGCCTATAACGTCGTGAAACCAATATGGCTAGCGAAGGCAGCCGAGCCCTATCAGTTTACGAATTGGAGATTGAGATTGAATTGAAAATTGACGAATCAGTGCAAAGTTCATTAAATTTCACTAAAATTAATTTTGCACCGATTCGCCAAATTCAATTCAATCTGATTTCCCAATCCGTAGTCTGATACGGACTTAACAATCGGTTTTACCGGTGACGATACCGCGAGAGTAATCGAAAAAATACGGAGATTGCGCGTCTACCTGCAAACTTTGCAGCGTGGAGGAGATGGGCCGGATGAAGACCTTCTCGATATTGGCTCTCATGTGATGACCCCCGAAGAAACGCACGTCGTACACGTTGCCGTTAACCTGCATCACTTTGGCGGGCCAGTACGGGTAACCCTTCTGCTTCGCGTAGACCAGCTGATGAGGGGGATTGCACGGTATGCAGAACCACATCTTCTCGGATTTCTCGTTCGATATGCGGTAGCAGTCCGCGCAACGGCGAATCTCCTGAAGATCGTAACAGCAATCCTGGTACATCGTTTGGCCCATGTCCCCGATTACGCTTTGAGCTGCGAGCAAGACAAGGGCAATGATCGATACGACGCGCGAAAATGTAGATCGTTCGTGGGATACTCGAAGCTATACGAATCCTCCGTACTTCCGTGGTATATCATGATGTTGTGCAGGATATTGTGCGCGTCAGCCTCGAACTCGGCGAGATTCTTGTACTCTTTGTTATTTGTTTTCGCGTCCATTATCGCCAAGTCCATGTGTTTCTTTATGAGAATACCCGGCCGCCAGGCGTCTTCGCCCTCGCTCACCCAGGTCGGCCCGGAGAAGCCATTGAGAGGCGTGACAATCGGCCCGTTGTTGAAAACGATCGCCCGATTTGTAATTTCCGGCGGTAACTTTGCTTTCAGATGGCCGCACGTGAAACTGAGGATGTGATTCAACTCGGTCTTGTCGGGATATGTGTCGTTATTGATTTTCTGCAATGTTACGTTCGTACTCTTAAAGTATCGAATGCACATAGACGTGCGTCAACAGAGAGAGAGCTAGCTATGATATCGGGTAAGGTGATATATTTTTTTTATTTATTTATATTTATTTCCTTATCTCTCTATTTATCTATACTCATTTATTTATACATTGGAATACTTACCTCGCAGAAAACACAAATCTTCAATTTTGTAGTGCTGCCGTTGTAGCATTCCGGATGGTACACTCTGTGACATTGTTCGCAGCACTCAACCGCGCCCGCTCTCTGACACTTGCAACAGTACCAATCGTAATTGTCGGCGGTAGTCGACAGGTCTATTGGCGGCAATCTGTAGCTCTCTTGCTCGATGCCGTTTTTTGCAGGTACTTTTTTCAACACGACGAGACCGTCCTCGGCCGCCTTGTTGAGTTCCTCTTGAGCTTCCTGTTCTGTATAGCCGTAAACCCGAGCCAAGTGCCGTACCATACGGTCGTTGTTAGGTAAGCTTCTTTGATGTACTGTAGTTTTAATCGTGTCCCAAATACGTTGAGTCATAAACGGATCGCTTCTCCGACGTATCGACATGTCGACGGTGAGCTGTAACAGAAAACAACCCCTTATTCCGCAAAACTAGTTGCACCAAATTCGCAGGAGACAATTAGGGGTATACAGGAGCGAGTGAGATAATCCCGATTCTGCGACACGGTCGATCGATTCCCGACAAAGCGAATATATATATATATAGCAGCGAAAAATTTGCGACACGAGTGTGTTCTAACGACACACAGAACGTTGAACCGCCAACGGCCGCGTCGTTTAAACTGATAAGCACTCATGCCCTCATGCTGTCGGTACCGTTACATCTAAACAAAGATATACATCATCTGTGCAAAACGAGTACCCACATACAAGTAACGTACACAATATCCGCGCGCTTATAACAATCGCTTTATCCAGTCTGTTTCTGTCAAGCTCAAGGTACGGCAGATTCAATAATACATCGGCGTTAAGAGGAATCTAACGAGCGCGCTTCTCAAAGCTCTCGCAACATGCATCTCGCTATATCGGACGCAGCGGGTTGCACGTTATTATTATCCGGTCTCATCACGCTCGTGATGTTGCTGCGAGAAGGATGCAGACGCAAGACGAGGTCGCCGTTTTACATTCTGTCGACATCCGACGTGCTCAGTTCTATAGTGACAGCTGTTGCGCTACTGGCGAGTCACATTGAGGCCGGGATAAAGTTGAGCTACAATTGGCGGAATAACACCGACAGCGCGTGGACGATTCAGGACAACGGCAAGCACAAGCTTCTGGTGCCGCGGGCTCGCGAAGTCGACTCCAATGTGACTCTGACGTGCGACGCGAAGGATATGCTTATGCAGTATGGAATGCTGCTCGCCCCGCTGACGAATGCGTTCGTGTCTCTGCTGACTTTCGCTGTGCAATGTAATCTCAATGCGGCGTGCGTGAAGCAAAGATGCGCCGATGCGAAGGAGCGCATCGAAGTCGCACGTCGGAGAGGAGGAACGCCGGAAGATCGGCGAGAGTTGGCTTGCCAACGAAGCAGCGTGAGGAATGCGGGCGTCGCTCGGAGGATCATGAAAATTTTCCAATTTCAGACGGCGAAGGAGGGCGACAAGAAGCCGGCCGGTGTTCTCGTAGCGAGTCATTGGCTCGTGCCGTTCCTCGTCACGGTGATTCTGTGTTTTGCTGGATACGATGACATGAACGCCGCTCGTGGCACGGAGGACGCCGAGTGCGCATTCGAGAGCAATTTCCCGGTGAGCTTTCACGTGCTCTCAGACGTCGGAGATCATCTGATCGGCGTGCACACGACGTCACTGGGAAATTACTATCCGGATGATGAAGAAGCGTCGAATAAGTCCCGTCCGAACATCGCAGAAGTGAATCAGATAGTATCTCGTGTACAAAGTATCGTTAAGAACGTGCTGAGCCACATGCGCAATTCTACGGAGGATATGAAAGTCGCAGACTTTCTCGACACTTCCCGGTTGCGAAACGCGACGGATTACATCGCGATAAATAACACGAACCGTGTCGGAAATGTTGCAAATGTCAATAGGACAGGAGCGACTCAGACTACGAAGGATACGACGGTGGAGCAAACCGTGAGCGTTCATAATTTGTCGTCGCACGCAGGTAACGATGTATATTTCGACGAAGACCCAGAGATATTATTATTTCACGATTCGCTGAAGAATGCGTCGCAGGAATTAGACGAGACCGCAGTCAGCAGCTCGAGCAGCGTAACGCAGAATGACAGCTATGAAGAGAATACGCATTTCGCAGGCGCGGAAGAAGAAGAAGAAGAAGACGCGACTCAGAGGACTGTTCCCATTGCGCAAGATACAATATTTCTTTCCGACGGTCAAATATACGTCGATATGTTGAAACGTATTCACGCTGCTAGCGCGTATACCGCGCTGAAGAGTCAGCAGAATCGCTCGGTAGATCGATCTCACGGCAGGAAGCAGCCGAAACGGAACGATCTGGAGAACTACATCGCAAGGATGAAGCCCGATTCGATTGAAAACTTGTTTCTTCGAAATGATCACTTCGGGCGCGACGTCGACGACGTAAAGACGAGTGGCTCGTCGTATATGATCAACGAGTGCCTCGTCTCGAGCGGCTTTCTAAAATTACACCTGTTCGTATTGTCCTTCGCGATATACTTCCTGCCGATTCTGCTCTGCTGCATCCTGCAGGTGCGAGGGGAGCACGCGTGTGAGACCACGCTCGAGATACTGAGAGTAAAGGCTGATTTAATATCTACTCTGCCTCGCGGTGACTTAAACGACGATGAGAACGTGATTGTTGCTCATCAGGGTGCTGATACAAAATGGTTTCCCAGTGGCAGCATTGGAAGCATTAGTCATCAAAATTCCACCAATGGGTTTGACAAGCCACTAGAGATAAGAGACAGTCATATCAGCGTGACAGATGTAGGGACGATAAGCAAAAACGATGAAAACTTCGTGGAAGCACAGAACAGAGATGTGTTCTTCGAAGTGAACCGCACGGCACGGATATGCAGAGTCGTCAGGATGTCATTGATTTTATGTGTGCTCCTCTGGTCACCGATATTCTTAGGGACATTGCTGAGAGTGTTCTCGTGCATCCGTGCACCTCAGTGGTTAACGAATGCCAAGTTTCTCATTGCAATTTCTTTCGGCGCCGTAAGGAACATCCTGAATGTATATATAATAAAAATCCAAGAGCTCTGTAACAACGATAATGTGAAAGAGAACAGAGTGCATCCGATCGAATAAAATACGTATACTACTTGATGTAACGGCAATCATAAATATGAAGAATTTGAAGAATAAATATTAAAATTGGAAATTTATATTCCTCCGGTTATAAGTCAGTGCTTACGATATCTAGAAGTTTCTTTATCAAGCTCAAGATATCTAACGTAGTATATTTTATCCGAGGGATGTTCTGGGAATGTCCTTGGTACCAAAGACTTCCGGACGTCTTTAGGATGTCCCTTGGAGGTCTGTGCTATATGGGATATCTCCTGCATGCAAAGATATCGCTCTTACGGAATATGTACAATATCTTTTGAAACGCCGAATGTAACAACGCGGACCCTTCGCATGGATTATCGTTCGCGACGCGAAAAATATTCTGCGGGTAGGTGACGCGCGTAATCAAATAATCGTATCCCGATGCCCGTATCGTGCGGAAAAAGCACGACACGAGCGTGAATAGCGTCGTTGAGCGGTTCGATTGAATGCTTAGCGTTTACTTCTCGCGCGAAACGAATTGATTTGCAAGTGGACGATCGCTTACTCACTTATCGCTTATCGTGAATAAAGTTCCAATCGCTATATAGGCAATTGCGGAGAGGGAGAGAGAGAGAGAGAGTCGCTCGAAGAGGGCTGCTCCGAGATTTGAAAATCGAAATGTCGATCGTCAGCTGGTTACTCGAGGCCTCACGGCGACATCGTCGGGCAGGCGTGCAGAATTTGTCGAGTCTCAATCGATGCCCGTGATACCGAGCAACAACAAGTAACGTAACAACAATTAACGTCGGAGTCACGAACTCCGTGCGCATCACTGTGTGCACGTCACAAGCCCGTCTTAACCTCAGCGAGTGCGCGCGCATCGCGAAATACGGAGTTGCATATCGACGAGTTATTGCGTATCGCGCGATATCGCACGATGAAAACGATGCCATGCGATTTGGATTTGAATTCGAATGCGCGGACGCATTCGTGAATGTCCCCGTAGAATCGTCGGTACGACAGGTCGAATCTTGTGCTTCGCATGAAGTCTTACTAAATTCGTAACGAACAACCTTTCTATCAAGAAATAACTTTATTTGGAAAAATGCACTGCTTATATATATTCGATATACAAGAACAACCTCTGATATAATTCCTAGAGATAGTTATATACATGTAAAATAACATTTACATCACTTATGTAATGGCATCATGTCTTCGGTTGGAAAACTATTTAGCCGAGATTTACTCTAGTTATTATTACTAATATTTGCAGTAACATCTTCAATTGCATCCTCAATTTGTAACGATATAAAATGTGGGATCGTCTATACAAATAATTCATTCGCTATCCTCGCATGATAGATGCAGCAGTTTCACGAGAACGACGATATCTTCCCTAATAACATAACTGATGAATATGTATTCGAACAAGTTATACGGAAAATTCGACGGTGCAAATAGAAAATTAAGAAAGCGAGTACAATTGGTTACACATCTCATAATGCTTAATAAGTTCGACTCCGGTTAATTAGCATGATAACATAACGCGAGCCCCTTTCTCGCATCGAGTGACTCAACGAGGAAGAGTATCTTCCTCATTTATCTTTGGCGCGGAATTATTTTTTCTTTACCATTCTCTGAGCCTCTTCCAGCTCTTTCAGCAAATCCGTACCGTCCTTCCATGCCACGATGCTCGCCTCTGAGTGCATGTCACGAGGTAATTTAGTCAAACACTTAATGAGTACATAGTCCTTACGCGGGCAGGCCAAATCGGCCTCTGAGAGACGCAAGATCGGGCATAGATCGTTCTTGCCGTCGCCAATGTAGATCGTTCTATCGTAGTATATGCCCTGTGCACGTTTTTCATTAATAAAATCTATCAATATCTTCCCCTTGCACAGGTTGATGCTGCTAAGCTCGCAACTGCGCTGCGTGTGATATCTGTCCACCTTCAACCTGCCGTCGTCGTCGAACCAAGCTGGATTTGTGAAGATCCGCGACACAGTGTGTTCGAGTTTCTTACTCTTCAGCCACCAATCTATGAACAAAGAGTTGGAGTCGCTGATAATGATGATCTCGTGGCCGTTGGCGTGCAGAGTAGCGAGAAGCGTCTCCATGCCCTTGACCGCTGGAATAGCAACGATGGCGTTCTTGATCTGCTTCTTGTCGATGGAATTGTTGTGCAGGATCTCGAAGATCTTGTTCATGTACGTGAGCCAGCCATTTGACTGATACAAACTCCTCACGTTCTCCGGTATTTTCTCCTCAGATACTAACTTTCGCGCTACCATGTCGGAGTTGTCCTCGCAGATGGTGTGATCAAAGTCGAATGCGATTAGCGAGCTGCAATCCATCTATCAAGCACGATCGTCGTGTTAAAAGAAAAGTACCGCATGTTGAATAGCTGTAGCTCGATGTGTCTTACAGGAATGACAGTGGTAACAATGAAAGACAAAAGTAAAGACACAAAGAATATATTTTTTTTTGCATATATTAACTTTGCCTATGTAATTATTGAACATGGTTTTATATAATCAAACTAAACTAAAGCTATCAAATTATATACATAATAACACATTAAAATAAATCTCTCGTTATTTTCAGATTAGCTTCTACAATGACACATGGAATTTGAAACATAGAAGGAACAAAGATTTCAATTACTCGTCAATATTTAGAACATAACTTAAAATAACTTAATCACAATATATTGTATATCACAGAACAATTTATTGTAAATACATTGCATAACACACGGTTTATTCAATGTATCATGAAGCAGGATACAATATAAGAGAGATTGAAGCACAATTATATATTAACGTAAAGAATACTCACTGTTTATCGTGTATGATATCGAAGACTAAGCCAAGATTATTGTCTTCTAAGAATGGATTAGTGTTACTATCTACCTCTTCTGTTTTACAAAATCAATCGGTGTGTTCAACTGTTCAACTTAATTTGTGCTTATGCTTTTATCAAACACCAATCACTAGCAGAATTCGGAGCATGTCAGATGCATCCACACGTTAGCTTTTCCTTTCTGCTCTTCTCAGTTGTTCTTGATTCTTCACAGCTGTCCGCTCTTTCAGTCCCGCCTCATCTCCTTTTGTTTTTGTTCTCAGTCGTCATCGCTTTGTTTACCTACTTAAAAATAAATCTCTTTCAATCAAACGAATTAATCGTTTTACGATTAAAACCCGATGGATGAGCCATGAGGAAATAAGAGTACTGACAAACAAAATTATCGCGTGAAGCGCTCTTATAAAAGAACACCCGGGGATGAAAAATAAACAACGAAACCGTTATATATCTCGTTGTATTATGATCTCGAAATAATCTTTACGAGCACGTTGAAATGCCCCTTGGCTGACAATCAAACGGTGTTCTTGACTGGCTGTTACGCCAACGCTACTCGCTCTGCTTCTAACCGCTTCTGTTTTCGCGAACGCGTTCGATCGCGTTGGCATACGGTCAAAACTTCACAAAAAGAAACGTCACGCTGACGAAATTACGGTGAGTGAAGATTTATGACGAGCAGCAAATCATACCCGCATACTTACCGAGTTCTAATCGACGTATAACTGTCAGACACGTCAGGCGCCTTTTCTTTTCTCCGTTCGAAGCTTTTGGAACTGCTCTCTTTAGCTACACTATGTTGCACTATTCACTCTTTCGATAAGATAAGGACATATTGAGGCATTCGAAAAAAGAAAAAAAGAGGGAAATAAAGTGCCACAAGTGCAGCCAGAAGGTGGCAAATAATACACACGTGAGTAAGCGTAACCATCTAAACGTATTGGAAGCTGTAAATGTTTGTTTACGATTATTTCACTGAAATTCTTTAGCAGCATTTAGCAGCCAAGAAGGCAATGACAGTGATTTGTTTTACGTGAGATTCTCTCTTGACCATCATAATGAATCTGAGACCTGCTGGTATGTCCGATGATGAGGACGACGAAGATGATTTTTACTTTTCGGATACGGTATGATCAGTTGTATATAGTTTGTATTAAATTATAATAACGGCAAATTACTTATCGTTGTTTTTTTTTTAGTCGGTTAAATCGCATAGTTATCCCTCAAAAGCAGATTTTCTAGAAAAAGAGGTTTATGATTACAACCATATGCAAGATGATGAAAGACGAATCTTCGAATCTCGCGTCATGAATGCATGTATAAAGGGACAATTGGATGTGATAGAAGAATATCTTGAAAGTAAAGGCCTTAGCAGAATGGCTGACTTATTGGTTTAAGATAATATTTTATATCTTAAGTCTTTGGCTTTAAGTAATGCACGATAACTGTCTCATGTCTTGAATCTTAAACTAAAAAGCTCTCCTGTTTGTGATTGATGACAAACTGCTGCATAATAAAAAATGTAAGAAAACGATAATTTAAATAAAGATTGAGGGCATGAAACATCTTAAAAGTATGAGTTAACCATTTTGCTGAGGCCCTAAGGCTTACATTACTATTGTCGCACTATATATTTTTTTGGCTTTTAAAGTATATTTTTTTTTTTATACATATACATTTGTATTAATGTAATATTATATATCGTTTAAATTGTAGAATCAGACAATAAACTAAAATCATATTGTTAGAAGAAAATAATGTGAAATATTTGCAGAATATGATATTAATCAATTTATACATACTGGATGGTCTTTATTATTATATGCGACTTCATCAGTGCAATTGGAGGTAATAGAATATCTATTGGCGCATGGTGCAAATCCTAATATGCACAAAGGTACAGATTAATCTTCTTTCATCTTTTGTAAGTTTTGCATGAGTTTACTGTAATTATTGTTTTGTATGTTATTGTACAGATGGATTTACACCTCTCATGGCATTATGTAGTTCCACAAAAAAACTGCCTGAAATATCTTTAAAGTGCCTTACACTTTTAATAGAGGCAAAAGCTGATGTAAATGCTACAAGTAAAATGAGGTAAAGTTCAGATTTTATATATATATATATATAAGAAATTTGTAATATATGTATATATATATATGATATTAATTTGCATTTGTGGCTGGCAAAGAATTAGAAATAATAAAAAAAGTTGAAGTAATTTTAATAATCATTTATATTAATCATGATTTTGCAGGGAAACACCTCTAATGTATGCATGTAAGTCGCAAAATGTGGAATTTGTTGCTGAGCTTCTAAAACACGTGAAACATATCAATGCTTGTGATAGTGATGGGAGAACGGTAAGTTTTAACATCATTGAATGATAAAGTTCTTTTCCAGTAACTTGTTAATCCAATTTTACAGGCTTTAAGTTACGCTGTCATATGCAATAAGATTGATATAGTAGTGATTCTTTTGGAGCATAATGCGGATACTACAGTGATAGACACATATAATTTAACTGTCAAGGATATCGCCGATGCAAAAGACTTTACAGAGGTAGTTAATATACCCTTAGTTCTATATCCCCTAATGATACATTTTCTTTATATCTTTTCAGATATCTGCTCTGTTGACTAACGAGAAAGAAGAGAAAAAGGTTTACTGCGAATTATCCCAGATAATAACTTGGAAAGATTTATTTCCAGAATTATATCCTAGAAATAAGGAACTCCTGGATCACAATATATCAATTATTCTATACGGGATGGATTTGGAAAGATACAACATCTTGTTCCGAGGGATGAGTCTTAAAACCTTTTTACAATTGACGGAAGATGACCTTTGCCAACTAGGAATCGATATTACTGTTTACAGAGAACAGTTTTTAGAAAATCTTCATAAATTTCATTGTAAAAAGTGGAGAGCGGATAGCGTCGGAATTGTTAAGAAAAATGTCCCATATACGTACGTTTAATCCTTTCATATAGTATTTTGATAATACTTATATTATTTATATTTTATATAGTATATTGATAATACTTATATGAAGCAAAATAATTTCATGTGCACATGGTTGCAGAATTTACGATGCTGCAATGTCATTGGCAAACATAAAACTTCAGATTGGTGTGATAACTTCTAGTTTTCAATATGTCAAAAATTTGATGAAAGATGTCAGTCTCGATCCCGCGGAAAGAGCGAAGTACGAAGAAGAAATAAGAAAAACACAAGACACTCTGAAAATATTAAAAAATGAAATAATTGGTTATAGGAAGTTGACACGGGAGGTAAAAATATTCTTACGACGGGTGTTTTTCATTTAGCGACACAAATCGACACAAACATCAGTTTGTCTGTTCCATATTCAATGAGTAACAAAGATAGAATGGTGCGCTTATGTCACTAAATGGAAAACACCCGAAATAGATTTTACGTACAATGTCGTCGCATTTAATACTCATTTTATTTCTTCCTTATAGATTGATAGGAAAAATAGTATCGGTCTACCAGCAATTTTTCTGACCAGTCCCGAGAAACGTAAAAACAGAACCAGTTGGGTTTTACCGTTAAGCGTTACATTGATAATAGGATTATATATATATAAAAAAATCTATATTCACAGATTATAAAACATGAACGTAGCAATGTAATTTTTGGATCTGATATTTTCTTTTTGGTATGTTTAGCATACTCTTGTGAATCTAATTACGTTTTTTCATCATAGTGTATTAAGTTATACCTCAGTTCCTACATACGATATTTGTACAAACTCCAGAGAATATTTTTATACGAAGGGAAATGTACAATTGCATAATATCATGGCTTTAATTAACTTTGATGTTCTCTCAAGTTTACCAATTTCATCATCTGCGGAAATAGAGGGTGGAATGATGGAAGATTTTGTTGTCGGACCGTCAATTGATAACGTTCCAACGGCCCGCTGCACAGCGCCAATCTATCTCTCTCGTTCGGATGGTTGTCCATCCACTGAGACAATCTGCCTATGGACCATCCAGCGCTCTGTGACAAACGTGAAATAGCTAATTGCTAATTAAATCGAACGCACTATAATAGTTCGAGCTTTTTCACGGATAGAAGTCATGTTGAAAACGTTCCGACGAAATGGATGATTTAACTTTTTCTTGAAAGTTTGTTTACCTGGTGCGGTGATGTTATTTCGGGCGGCGCGCCAGAAAACAAGTGCAAGAGAATGAGTGACGGTGGTACGCTGCTTTCCCCTTGACCTTCTAAAATCTTCTCGACCATCTCCTCGGGGCTGAGAGGAAACAAGGTTTTTAACGCTCGCAAAGTTCTGTACTGCTGTTGCTCGAGCAGACCCATTTGACCACCGCGGCACAACGGTGCTACAGCAACTTCCATCTAAAACCATTTGTCTGTCGCATTCGCCCGTCACAACCATCCGACGATAAAGACCTACCTGACCAAAATCTACTAGAAGTTTCGCTCTTCCAAAATCAGTCAGAGGTCTCAACAGGCAAGCATGACGCACGAATAACTCGATGCATCTCGACGCCACAGCTTTGCAACTTAAATGATGATAACGTTTAATAATCCAGCATCGTACGTATTAGATTAACGTAAAAGTATAACTGACCTTTCAGCTACGACTATCTGATTCTTGTACGGCAGCAGAAATGTGTTCACGGAACGTAAGATGAACCCTTGTAATTCGCGCATGTAAAGGGAACTGCCGATTTCTTTACCCAGAGGACTACTCGTGCTATTGTAACCAAAGTTGTATTAATATGTTATATTACTAAGATGCATCACCAAATATAAAATAAAGAGGCGGGGATTACTCACTCTCTGAATTCGGAATCGTCGTGCATCGTCAAGATGATGCTTTCGATCGCATCGCTGATAGAAGTCAGCAACGGCGCGAGCATGTTTTTCGTCAACGCGTCCGTTTCCTTGAGCGCTGTGGTAATGACGACGCTACCTTCGGAGATTAAGCCGGCCGCCAAATTGGCGATCACGCGATTCGTCTGACTGGAGAGGTAATGCAGGAGATTTGCGAGCGTGACATTTGTCTGCTGACCGGCAGTAGGGGAGTCGATTACTTGACTAGCCTCACCGCCGGTCACCACGCTCTGCTCGCATTTCAAGCAGAATAATCTTATTGCTTTTCCCACGTTACGCGCCACGACGGTCGAGAGTCCGTCATCCACCAGTGATACGCTCAGCTCGCTAAATACAGAATGTACCTTTGCTAAATCTTCTGCAGTGGGCAAGAAAGAGATATATGCAAATGCTAAACTTACTTTGTAATCATACGTATGAGACTGTCGATCTCATCGTGCGTTGGCAGTCCCTCGCCGGAAAACATATTATGCACTGGATCCAAAAGCCGTGAGACGGAACGCGATAAATAGGCGTTCTCAAATGGTTGCAAAACATTGCGGCTGTAATAAAAATGCGTGGATTAATGTCTCGTATGCCATCACGTCAATTTACGTGAGACCTGATACTCACTCGATACCGTAAATCCCGATACTGTGAGATCTCTCTTTTAAACGTTTGCTCAAGTCTAGAAATATTCTTAAAAATTTAGGGTATTCTCCTTCTAAGGCCTGTTTTACAAATGACGATCCTGCAAAACGAGTTTTAAACTTGACTCAAGTGTGTGACATATGTTTATCATATATGAATAAGTAGATTATAATTTGCCTTGAGCGCGTTCATTCAAAACTTTCGCGAGGAGAGCGTTCACCTTATCCCAAAATTTCTCGGACAGGTCGTGGAAACCTTTTGTGTGGTGTTCTAACAATATCCTTTGCAACAGTTCGATCTGAAACAATGTTCTTTGAGCGAATTTCCGTGAATTAAAAAAATGTACATGTAACTGTACAATTTTGTCTATTTACTTGTAAGCATTGCGTGTACAAGGTATCTTGGAAAAGACGCTCCAGATTTTCCCAGATTCTTGTGCGTAAATTTCCGGACGATCCAGGCGATGGGATTGCAGCTCTGCCCGGTGCCCCTCGTTTTCCAAAATCCGGATTCGTTACGAAAGATACATCTAACGACTCTGTAGAAATTTTCTCTATTTCAGCCAGGGTAGATTCTATGGTTGTATCCACAGCTCCGTTCAGTATTCCCAAATTCTGAAATACCTGCACAGCTGTGCTTACCTGTAATTCATAACAGGTTATTTTAGAACAAGTATTATTAACAAGGTAAAAAGTACTTATAAGAAGCACCTTTGTTCTATCCATTGCTTGTAAACCTTGAGTTAATGTATGAGTGGCTATTCTTTGTACCGTAGCTCTCTGAGCTTTCACAGCCTGTTGATCATCCGCGATCACATCTAGACCATTAAGGTCTGTGTCTGCCATTAATTGCTCTGTACATGTAAATTTTACATGTCACACGTTGGCATGCAACATTATGACAAGGAGGAAGTAGTGTAAAAATAATACCAAGTTCATGTAGACTATTAGCAGCTTTGACAATGTCTGGTCCTTGAGTGACACTGTTCATTTGAGAATTTAAACGCTTGGACAAATGTTGCATTCTAGCGACTCTCCTCAAGAGATCAGAGGTTTCATGTAGCCGTGCCAATACAATTGTTTGCATCTCAACTCTATTAAATGGATCAATAATTTTTCCACGTAGTCGCTCAACTGCCGACAGAAGGCTCTAAAACAAAGTTCATTATATTTTCTGTGTTAATTTTTAAACTGATATTGGCATTAATATTAATATTATTTTACAATACTTACTTGTATGTGAGATTGCATTATAAAAAGTACCCCTTCTAACTTTTCAACCCATGTTGCCTGAGATAGTAAATCCTCATGATTGGCAAGTACTTGTCTCTGCAACTCAGCATTTAACACTTCGATAGCTAGAAGTAACATGTATATTTTTATATTAACTACACTACATACAGAATACTTTTTAAATTTGTGATAATATGCTGCTTTAATATTTTAATGATGTAAAATAATTTCGACATTACCTTGTCCTAACTTGTTTAATTGTTGAGCAACTGACAGTAGCGAGCTGACGTCAGTCTTTTTGGAGTCGGCATTCAAAAGTTGTTTAAAAAATTCTGAAATTAGTATATATCACGATAGTTGTCTTTAACAGGTTGCAAACTTTTATTTAACAAGTAGACAAATATTTTTCTACTTACGATCATTTTCTATGTCTTCCCAGCTTGATATCTCACCCATTTTAGATTAGCTGTTTACAAAATATATACGAAAAATGGCGATATAAAATATATATAAATTATATCTTGATGCCAGCAAGACATATACCATCGAAAGTACTGTCAATTATTGAAGATCCGTAGTGTTTGGATAAATTTTCATGCTTATCAAATGTGCTTGACAAGTGTCAACTCAGCGACTCAGGTGGCGCTAAAAATCGTCCCGAGGGGTCTCCCTTCTTTTCCAAGGGGGGAGTTTGTGTCTGCTATAATAATCTCACTGCTCGCCGTGCGTATCGGTGGTTGTTCCTTTTTTCCGAGTAGTGTGGATTTTTCGATAAGAGATTAGTCACAGTTTTTTGTGAATTTTGATCCACTTAGATGTGACCGCGACAGCGAAACTTACGCCGTCTTCTCTGTACTCGGACGCGGGCACAAAGTTGTTTGACATGGTGAGTGAGATGTGGAGCAGCGCTGACACTTGCTCCGAAATTATTTGCTTAGGTTAACATATGTATAAATAATGGTAAATTTATCAACCGAATTTTGAAATCTCATTCGATTTACCAAATATAACATGCGAGATATAATTGCGCCTTTATTTATCTATTGCTACAGTTGATTTCTTATCGAATCATTCCTCGCTTTAAATCACTTTCTAATCCAAACTGAAATCTTCCTCGCTTTAAATCACTTTCTAAGCCAAACTGAAAAGCAACATTAATGGATGGTAAGTATTTATTATGTACATCGAATAAAAAGTAATATAAACGTATTTGCTGACCTGGTATCTGCCCCTGAATTGACATATTTGGTTAGATTTACAATCAACAAGAATGCGAGAATTTAATTTTGGCTGACCAGTTTATTTTATTACGGCAGGACGTATCGGACAATATAGATAAATCATGGGATCATCCGTGGACCACAGAAGAAATGAGGAAGAAGAGGAGGGAGTGGAGTCTGGCGGGTGATGTCGGACTTCTCAAACATCTGCAGCAATTTTCTGAGGTATATTTTGAGTTTTTCTTTTTATAGCATATTTATACTTGAGAATAATTTGTACTTTTGCTTTGTGCAATAGAACCTGGTATCTAAAGCCAACAAAACCCAAGAAGCATTGGATACATTAACGACACAGTTGAAAGAGACAGGAATATTAGTGGACAATGTTACCAATACATCTCTGGCACTGGCCAATACTCAATTCATCGAAAGTCGCGTGCAGGAGGACGACATAGAGATGAGGGAAAACCCTGAGGAGAAGCAAGAAGTAAGTATCTGTTCTGCTTGTACTTTGGTATGTAAAGAATAGATTCTGCTCCTAATAAATATCTCTGACGAGAGAATCTAAAAGACAGATGGACTTTACATGGTCTGAATAATTCTCATTGATTGGTCAGAATGTAAAGTCTCAAGATTCAGCGCCAGAGAGTCTACTAGCCAGCATAAGCAAGAGTGTCAAGCAAGGTTTGAACATAATGGATGAGAAGTACAAAATGATGGATGTAGCTTGCAGTGACAGCGAAGAAGACGACGAAGGCGCAGTGGTGGTCAGGTGAGCGTTGCTACTTGTATCCTTACAATTCAATCGCGTGCGTGTTAAAACACAGTAGGTTTATAGTGTTATGGTGGGTCCCAACGATCCGTATCAGGATCGGCCCTTGCCGTACATCATCGGTTCCGACAAGTGGACGGCATCGAGCAAGGTCGGTCTGGAGAGCAGCAGCAGCGAGTCCGAGCAGCCGGACGAGGAGAGGGAAGAGTCGGAGAGCGATAAGGAAGAGGATACGAGCGCGCAGAAAGTCTTCAACAGCCGACACAATCCGGAAATCAATATAGCGAGGTTGTCGTCCTCGTCCTCCAGCGACACGGACAACTACAACGACCCGAGTAGCAACGTATCTTACATGAACAACAACAAGGCGGACACGCTGTCTCAGAATAACATCAATTCCGCCTCCGAGTCCGTCACACCTAACACAATATCGAAGGTAACTAACTGATCGGCTTTTCTGTTACATTCCATATTTTCTTATCCTGCGTATTTAACGATTTGTTCCCCGCTGCGAAGACCTCGAACGAAACGGCGCCGAACTTCGCGGAGGAATTGGCCAAACGATTAGGTACCGTCCGCCAAGCGCAAAAGCCTGTCGCTATGGACGACGCTAATGAATCGTCGATCAACAGGTTCAAAGGTAGGTAGTTTACGATCCTCACCGTAAAGCTACGAGTTACTCGCGAAATATTCTAACAAGATTGATCAGTGATGACGACGAATCCATTTTTCACAGATGACCTGTTCGCGCCGGGGAGGGACGACGACGTGTTCAACGACGGTTCGGACAATCTGTTCAGCGACAAGAAGGGTCTCTTCGACGAACAGGTGTCTACGAACCTGTGGAAGGACAGACCGATCAAATCTTACAAGAGCAATATCATACCTGCCAGTATCGACGTGCCGCCGCCGATTAGTATAGTGTGTATGTATCTTTACGTTTTTGTATTCTCGATGGAATTGCACGTTCCAACGTGAGACTGGCGCTTCTAGCAACGAAGCCGAAGTCTGCGATCGACGATCTGTTCGCCGACGCCGACTCGGAAGAGGACTCGGACGACATTTTCTCCTCGAAGAACACCGTGAAGAAACGTGCGAAGGAACCCTCCGCTGGCGGTAACGCTTACCAGGCGGAGGATGTGCCGAAGAAATTCTTAGACGTTATAGTACCCGGCTCTGCCGGCGGTAACATCGCCACGAGTACACCGGAATCCCACGTCAACGTGACGAACCTGTTCAACGACGAAGAGAACGACGACGGCGACCTGTTCGGTGCTCCCAAGAAACAGGCGCAGAAGCCCGCGGCTGCGACGAACACATCCACAGCTGCGACACGGGAGTCGACCAAGAAGGTAAGTTATCGTTTTAATCACACATATACATACACGCGCACACACACACATAGAGAGAGAGAGAGAGAGAAAGAGAGCTAATTTTATATATATGCAGACCTTTTGATAATATGGAAGTCCGCGTTTAGCGAACGCTTGTTCGAGAATACGCGCACTGACTATTTAATCTCAAATTCCGACATATCGCATTGATATACTAAATCATGAAGTTAATGTTATATATTTGTTGCGTTAATATTTCCATAATATTCGAGAAGATCTGTGAAATGGGGATTGTCATGTGAATGAAATAAATTACAGAAACCAGTCGGAGGGATGTCGATACTCAAACACGCCGTGGCGTCGGACATCGAGAACAAATTGTCGAGCCGGATGATGCGACGACAGTCGTCCGACTCGTCCGATAGTAGCGATGCGCCAGGAAATTACGATAACATTAAGAGCACCGAGCCAGTGTCCGCGGAGAGAGCCATTCTCGATGATAACATCGCGGCCGAGCTCAGTTCCGCCGTCGCGGCCGAGAATCCCACGGAGAGCATATCTCCGATTATCGAGAACAGTAACAGCAGCGGAGTGTCGATGCAACCTAGCATCGATAACACGGCGGGATCCGGTTTGTGGTAAGTCGTCATTTTTCTCTCAATTCACTCTGTTTCCCTCTCTCTTTTTCTAACCGGGTTGAAGCCGAGCGTTCTAACACGCTCGAGCACGCTGATGTATCCTGGCCGGTCAGAGCCGCCGCGAGCACAGAAGAGGTCACTGCTCCTTTATTTAGAAAGCCCGATAAAATAAGAACCGCTGACGGCTCGCGCTCGCTTTTTCCTTTGCCGTTGCGCGTTACGCATTTTAAAACAATATTCAGCGCTTGAGGTGGTATTAATGTAAGCGGTAGGCGACGTAATGATCGGACTTTCAACGAAATCGCGGAGTTATTAGATAAGCTCCAGTTCGGACGTCGAATACACGGAGGATATCGTCAATTACGCACGTGTCGAGCTGGACATCAAATCTATCTGAATTAAACGATACTGTTAAAGTGTCAAGCCACACGCATACATACACGTGCGTGCATGCACATACGAGAGTCGATTGAGAAGTATCCGAACGACGCATGCATACAGAAAAATATTATCTGTACTGCGAAGAAAAGCAATTGCTCAGTTTATTTTTCTTCTTTTAAGTGACGGTTATCTCGAACGAAGAATATTTTTTTCTTAATAATAACATTAAAATACACTCATCATAAATATTAGAAAAGTTCATTATCATTTGTTCGAAAGAAGAAAATCTGTTCTCTCCTCAAGAATATTATAAACTATCGAAAAAAAAAAATTAAAATCAGTTAATAGGAGTATATTTTAATACTATTATCAAGAAAATATTTCTCATTCAAGATAGCCATTATTTAAAAGAAGAAAAATAAACTGAATAATTGTTTTTCTTCGCAGTAATATTTCCCTCTACGTAGAAAGCGACAATAATATCAAATTGCTGTTGACAAGTTTAACTGATGAATAAGGTGAGGCAGCAGTTCGAAGCTCGACTCGTGAATTTTGGGTATTGCAACAGTCGAAGTGTGAGCTGGTGCATCATTGAGATTTACTTTGACGAACTGTCACGCAAACACTACGAGTGAGCCTACATTTGGCATATATTTTTCCGAAGAATGAAGCTTGTCAACGACAGCACAACAATTTGGCACTACTGTCACTATCTATGCGTCATTTCGGATATTTCTCAATCAACCTTCACACACACGCGCGCGCACGCACGCACGCACACGTGCACACACATGTACACATACAACATAAATAACGGGGAAACCTATCCGATGACACGTGATACTAACGCTTCCCGAGGTCAGCACCTAACAAAGAGATCGCGCTTCAATTACGTATGCGCTTTCTGTGCTTCCTTCGTCGACGGCTCATCCAGAATGCAAACAAGCGTCTCTCCTCGTCGTTACCGTCATCTCGTCATCATCGTCGATGCGACCGGATCATTTGATAACCGCTAGGCATTCAGCTCGTTAAAGGTACCGCCAGGTTCCTGCCTTCCTCTGAGCTAGCCAAGCCACCCTCTCCCGCGTTGCACACGCGTGCCAAATACTTACGGTGTCATTGAATCGATGACCCAAACATTAGTCACTTGCCTTGCCTATTACGCACTAGCCGCGGCGAGTAAGTACGCCAGTCCAAGGCGAGCCTCTTCAGCGCGGCCGAATGTTGCCCGTCGCCAGTGACTCTCTTTCTGCCGCGCCACGGGCTCAACTTGAAGAAAGGACGACGGCGGCGGCGAGTAAAAATAGTGAGGATAGAAACTGCACGGCGAGCGATTCGCGACGTTTATTCGCGTGGAACGGTTCCTCGAGGATCGACGTGCCTCTCTACCGCGTAAAAGCTTCTCCGCCGGACGATAAAAGTCACAAAGCGAGTGGGATTTGGAATGAAGTGACTCGAGTGGAGTACCCTCCCGAAATAATTCGTCTTCGCATCCGCGAGACGTGTCTTGAAGACCGTCGTATCTTCGATTAACTTCAAACAATGACAGGCAAGTAACAGAGAGTGACAATTGCGGGCAATAAATATATCCTCCTCCGTGTGGAAAAGCGGCGTTTATTTGCGATTTGCCCCGACGTCGTGGGCCCCTCCGAAAGGACACCTCGTGCTCCGTCCGTTAACTTCGAGGAATGAGAAGAACATAAATAATGATAATCGGTCAGCATCGTTTATTTGCGTTATCGTGCCGGAAATGCCGCATTCCTCCAGCCTAGCCGCAAGAAGCTACGCGAAAGTAACGGTCTCAACGCTAGAGGAGAGTGGTCGCGTTCGTGTCGCGCGACAAGAACCCGCGAGTCCGAAAATTTTCGCAGCCGAGAGCCGCGGATAAAATAATGAACAACTGAAAAGCGTTCAAGAGAATAAAAATTGCGCGAATCGAGAAAAAAATCGCAGATCAATTTGTCGTGTGAAAGGTAAAAGTAAAGCTCCGGAGGATGTTTCGTCGGGTAAGCGTCCTAATCCTCGCAGATCGGACCTTCGCAGCATTCCGGATAAGGCTTGGTGAGATCCGTGGGGCGATAACCAATTTCTTTCACGCAATGGTACAACGGGCATCTGCAAAGAAACGAGACATGGGGTTGAGCGAAACTCGAGAATCGATACTTGAGATCGCGATGTAGATTGATATGAATCTAGAAAAAATCTAAAAATGTAGGGCCCTTTTTGTAAGATCTCAACTCACGCGATTGCAGACATGGTGCCATCCTCGTGACATATATATTTCGCACAAGAGCGATAGTGGGTACCCACAGACAGACTTTCGTTTTCAAAATCGCAGTCACCTGTGAAAATAAATTATTGCGTTGTATCTGATAGATTCCGTCCATCTTTGCGCAGTATTATTTAATATTACTAGCTCCTCCCGTATTATTGATACATATAGCTCTCATAATATCGTAAATAATAATAATTAACTATTAATAATTATTAAATTAATTACTAGTAGTATTTTTAGTGTTATTAGTTATTAGTAATTCTTGATAATTACTAATATACTAGCTTTCTCCCCATGTGTTCAACGTACAGTTAATCCGTAGATTCACTCAGGAATTCAAACTAGAATTAAGATCGCACGGTGCAAGCCACTTACGTGACGAGAGATTATGGTTTATATGAAATAATTCCGCGAGGCCAATGACGTCGTCTCTCTGTTATTTCGTGATATTATAATTTCGTGACTCATCGTGCACTTATACAAGTACACACACCAACAACAAAATCGCATACGGAAGATCCTTCATTTCCAGTTTTCCGTTTAAAACTTTGGCGGCCGCTGTGCGGTCATGTGTGTATGACTACATTACGTATAGTTATCAGTCGTTACGCAATCGTAACGTTGTTTATACATCTTCTTATCACATCGTTAACATAAACATCTCATGTCCAGACTTAAAAGAAATGAAAAGACACTACGTGCACACTGAAAATTGTCCTACAAAAATAGTTGTGCCAAGAAGTTATGTCGATCATGAATGAAAAAACTGATATCAGTGCTATTATATTTAATAAAAATGAATAAAATATTGGAATATTAGAAATTCGTATGAACTAAGAATGGGAAGTTATGCGTATCATAAAATTTACTCACTATTTTGCTGGAATATTTAATAGAAATAAAAATAAAAGATGCAGTAAAATTGCTAAATAATTTATTTATTATTTTAAAGTATAAGAAAATATTTTTGCAAAATAATATTTCAGGAAATATTAAATTGTAACAATAAATAATCTAGCAATTAATGCTAAATGCATATTGTTTTCATCTATACCGATGCGTTTGAAGCGCTAGAGCAAAAGTTTCAAAAAAGGATACAATCGGATCTTTCTTTTGAAAACCGGTAGCATATCTCCTTTCAACGATTCTCTTCAATTACTCGACGTACCTTGCACTTGCATAAGCACGCACACCAGCAACAAGATCGCACAGCTGAGAAGCCCCTTCATCTTCAATTTCTCGTTGAAGAATGCACCAGGAAGAAACACGATAATCCGCGAAAATCATCATCTTATATATCATTTCCCTCTCTTCCGCCGATTGACCTTCGAGAACATCTTATTTCTCTGTTTACGAATCACGCTGAGTAAGATGTGATAACTTGCTGATGTTGTGGATAGCTACGCGATTTTAAAAAACAAAACCACGACGAGAAGTCCGCATTAAATTTGCCGGCGAGATTATTCAGGGAGAACGTGCCGGGCACCGGAATTATAACTGAAATTATAATGTGTGTTCCAATCTTTAGTGTTGTATTTCAATTGTACACACTAAAGATTACAGCACACATAATAATTTCAGTCATAACTCCGGTGTGGTCCAACGTGAAACAATTTTGTAATAACTTTTGCTACAATATTTTCTCCGTGTGTCTATCACACAAATTCGTTATACTTGATTGTACCAAATACAACTTTCCGCTTTTATGACGATAGAACTAACGGCACGTTACGAGCTATCATTATCTTCTAGATTTTTCGCCTTATCTATTGTTCTCTCTTCTCTCTCGTTCGTCCCGTTGCTTACACGATCATTAATTACGCTCCGCGCGACGTTCTCGTGTTTGCGTGGACTGCGACGTTCGATCACTCCAGTTAACATAAAACCGTTAACATAAAAACAATATGGAAGCTATTTTTCTTGTCATCAGCAATCTCTTAGACGTACGGGGCGAAGCGCCCACGTCTGACAGATGACGACGATGTTGGACCCGCGTATTGCATGATGCAGAATAATGATTTGGGGGGAAAATGCACGATGACGGAGATGAAATCTGGACTGAGGTCAGAAATCGAACAAACACCGAGAGACGGGGATGTCCGACAACTCGTGTCAAAGAGCGAAATTGCGGGTTATCCCGCGATAAGATCGCCCCACCAGGACTGTTTTCGGCCGGTCCGACAATTATATGCTACTCTCTAAAGTGCAGTCAGTATATTATCGTTGAAAAGCAATATTATTTTTTCCCGTGTAATATAGAATAACGTTTCACTGATTCAATTAGTGGCATTTTTACTGATTCGAGAGTACGTATCACGTCCGGTTTATCGGAAAACGTCTTTTTTGCCTTAGATCAAACGTTTCCGAGAGGCGGATTATCTAATTTGCTTGTTTCTTTCGATCTCCTTGATCGAAACGAAAACGGGTGCCATGGGAGATAAAAAGGCGAGCTAATAGAATGCACAGGCATGCATAAAAAATTAATCACTCACCGGACTCGATCGTTCGTCAAACGATAATGAATCACCCTGTAATGAAATGATGTCGCGTATTTCGCAAATCGTCGTCTTCAGATCTTGCGTTGATCACAAATCACGATAATTTGTTATCGCACGACAGTACCGGTTATTTGCATTTCGATAATTATCAACGTCGCGAGATCCTTCTCGAGATCAGAAAATCTGATGCGTTTCCGAGGAGAGATTATTGATTGGTGACGAATACTTGCCGCGACGGGGATAACAATAGAACCGAGGTCGCAGGTCACTTATCGCTAATCGATTATCTCTCTCTTTATCCGATGACGCCGAATTATAGTTTGCATGCGTACTTTACTTGCTACATATAAAGAGAGAGAGATACATATAGAGTGATTACAAAAGTCACAGTGATATACAATGTCACGTGTCATATGGAATATATATATATATGTCTACATGTCATATATGCGGTTATTTAGCGAATATTAGTTTCATTAATCTTACATGTGTATATACGTAAGAAACTCGCGTGGTTTCTGTCGAAACGAAAGCTTAACGCAGGCGAACATCCGACGGCTGAATCACTGACGCAAATCCCACGTTGATTCGCGAAAGCGTTGTGCAAAAGTGCCCGTTCCTCGCAGCTGCATCTTTTCGCATATCTTCGCGCGTTTTCCGTCCTCGAATTTGCTCTTTCCCCTTCAAGAGAAGAAACGAAGAAAGAGAGAGATCGATCATGCCAGGTACGGCTGAAGGGAACAGGCATTCCGATGAGGAAAAATATGAGTGGAGAACTCGTCGTTAATATTCTCGGCTTTTCATTCTACGTGCGCTATCTAAAGTACAATCAGTATATTCTTCACTGAAACACGCTTTACTTATGATTGGCGGTTGAGTTCATAAGTATAGCATTGCAATCAGTGAAACTTCGCTGAAAGGATCGGTTAATAGCAGCGACTGCTTCTATTATCAATGTAGCTTGCAAACATAGGTTAAAGTAAAATTATGTGTCATTGCACGCAAGGCAAGACGCATGGAAACCGTTCGTTCTATCGTCATAAAAGCGGAAAGTTGTATTTGGTACAATCAAGTATAACGAATTTGTGTGATAGATACACGGAGAAAATATTGTAGCAAAAGTTATTACAACATTTTTTAACGTTGGTCTACAACCGGAGTTATGACTGAAATTATTATGTGTGCTGTAATCTTTAGTGATGTATACAATGAAATACAACACTAAAAATTAGAACACACATTATAATTTCAGTTATAATTCCGGTATGGTCCAACGTTACAAAAGTTTGTGGTCATTTTTATTACAATAATTTCTCCGTGTACATGTTGCAGGGAAATCTTATTTTCACCGGTCAAGATCAATGAGACACAAGACGAAAGTGGACGAGAGAGATAAGAATATATGAATCAAGCTCTCGGGATATAAAATTCTTAATTGAAAGAGGCGATGAAACCAAACATTTCGGTAGTAGGTACCGACCCTCTTCAGTGACAAAAACCGACTATTGTTTCGACTCATTAACTTTTTAAGTCTACTAATTTTTAATCCCGTAACCATTTACCAGCGCCGGTTCTTATTGGCCTCTTTTAATTAAGGATTGTACATCCCGAGAGGTTTTTACACCTCTTGTCCACTTTACTGCTTTGTCTTATTAGCCTCTTTCAACTAAGCAGTAGGAGTGTTTTTCTAAAAAGTTCATTGAATGCTTTTTCTGATTTACAATCAGAGGAACGCTTTTACTGATTTACTTTAGGAAAATGTGTATCGCGTATAAAAATACGAAATCATGGTTTTAAAGTTTTGGAAAAAATTGTTTTTCTCCCAATTTTTCAGCAGATTTGTTTGGTTTTACCTTTTTTACGAAGAAAAAATAAATTTAGCATACTTTGATCGAACACATATGAGTTTTTCTAAACGAATTTTTGTATCCTCAAGACAGAAACTGAAGAAATTCGTACAAAAATGGGGAAAAACGGGTTTTTTCTGTTTTAAACTTAAACTTAAACTTTAAAAACTATATGGAATCGTCGCGTCGGGGGGAAACTTGAGATGACGAACTCTCCTTTCGGCGATGGAGAATAATGTGCTACCTCTCCGAGCAGGGAGATTCGCTTGTTGAGACTCAAATAGAAGGATGATCATGAAAAGACAGCCTGTCAGGACCATCCTGAACTGGGGGATGGTTTCGAAGAAATATCGACCGCCGGATAATTGGTGGTTCTCTCGCGAGGACGCCTTTCGATGACCTTTAAAAATCTAAGCCCACGAATGAATTGGACCAACGATCCGGCGAATTTCGTCGCTTCGCTTTGCGTGATTGCTTTCCGAGGATCTTCCGAGTCAGTGCCAGGTGTCGACGTTGAAAAATGATGCGTCAGCGGGGCGCGCTGCTGCAAAATTTTCGTTCACGGCCTCGCTGCCGACGCTCAGGCAAATTTTATTCCCATCACGTGAGGCGACCGTTTGATGAATCTCTTCGGTCGACGGTAGGATCTCATTGGGGTGCTTAGGTAGATAATGCGACCGTCTCCGCAAATCGATCCGGCGCAGCAATCCGGGTAGGGCTTCGTACTGTCGAATCGCTTGTAACCGCGCCACATGCTCGGTCGCTCGCAGGTGTACTGTCTGCATCTGTAAATCCCGAAATCCCAGTTTAAATAATAGGAAAGGGGCCAAAACGGGGTTTAAAAATCAGAGATTTAAGAACCATCTGGCGGAAATAAGAGTCAGGAAACGGCTGTTAAGAACCATACGAGAAAAAGGGAATTTATTCATATGTATAATTGAAATTTAATTGCCAGACCTAGTTTCTAGCTGTTTGAACTGAGAACTAGGTAGAGGGACGAAAAAATTAACCAAATTAACTAAATTCCATTCTCGATTCCGCGAAGCCCAGATTCGCTTTGAACTCAATAAAGATTTAACGACTATCTAACGAAGATCTTTAGAACGTAGCAAATATTTCATCCAGAAGTTCCGCAACCGTTTCCGACCGTCGTTTTTTCGACCGAAACGCGCGCGATCACAGTCCGTAAGCTGTAACGTCCGAGAACGAACAGCGAACGTAATGGACTCTTCGTTTACAATTTTGATCAATTCGCATTGATAAACGATCATTTTGATGAATTAATGGACGACTGTGAATATGCAATGTTCACGATGTTCGATGCTCGCTATTCAGCTTTTCTCGGAAAACGCACTTACGCGGCTCCGCGCGGTTTTCCCCAGAAAAATCCGGCCGACTACGGTAATGTTTAATTCTGCAACAAGCCGAAGAGAGCGATCATCGATACTTACGACTGCGTTACTTCGGTTACTCCTTTCGCGTGACACGTCACCTTAACGAAGCAGTCGATATATACTTGGCCAACGGTCAATTGTCTGTTGCCGTGCATGCATATTTCAGCTGGAACAGACAAAACGGTCGCAACCTTAATCTTAATTTTTCGCTCAACTTCAATTCCCCACCCTTTAATTAACTTCCTCTCCATTTCGCCGGAAATGTTCCAGTTAAATGAAAAAAATTCCGAATGTTCCGGTGATGGGATTTTTATCTGACCGACGTGACTCGCGGTCCGCGATTATCTTATGTTTCGCGATATTGTCGCTTACATCGAGAGACATTTGTACCTCTGATTCTTCTCAGAAATTATTAAACTGCTTGAAAAATATCACAAATACTTTTCAAAAATGTGTATCCATATATATATATATATATATATATAAATTATGTCTACGTTAAAATATTAGTCTTAAGAAGAAAAGCCGTAAACGTAAATCGAACGGGTGATGGTACTTACGCACTGCCGAGACCCTCAGGGCGACAGCCACGACGTACACCAGGATGAAAAGTACGCTCAGCGACGATATCCTCATGATGCCGTCGAATTGCGCGAAACGAACGCCACAAAATGCGCGCAGAGCTTCACGAGATTCGAGCTTTAATAATGCCCCCTGCGAATCGGGCGGCGGCTTTTATACTTTGTTGTGATAAGCACCGGCCGTGATATCGCGAGATTCGCAATGGACGATCTGCGTCAGTGACGTCGCGCTTCTCAGGATTTTTGCGTGCGACGCAATCTCGCCCCAAGCGAATGTGTGGGTGCGTGCACGTAGGCACACTCACGCTTGCGTGTGCGAGTATATTTCAACTATGCGTATATTATTTCACGATAAATCCTGTAAAAATCGATCCACAACCAAGGGCCGACGCGGATACTTTCGCAACGTTTTACGAGCGAAAAACAGAAAACAGGAGATGGATCAATCCGGGGAAAGAGTCCGCTCGCGTCGCACGATGCGTTTTCGTTCCGTTCCGAGGAATTTCAATCGGTCATTGTGTTTACTTTGCGAAAACATGAGCACAAGGCGAAGTCATTATTACGTATTGCGCTCGCGATTTACGCACTCGTCGCCGATCTACTTCTACTGCGCCGGTCCGGAAGGATAAGCCGTTCTGAAGTGAGAAGTGAGAAGAGAGGATTCTTAATTAAGCGCGATATTTAATAACCACGAGGAACGAGTATTAATCGCTATGAAAGTTCACGTCAAGAGAGAGAGAGAGAGAGAGAGAAAGCGTTATTTATTCTGCACTCTGCACTGAGAAAAAAGCGTTGTATCTATAAAATCCTTCGTTCAAAAAAAAGTTACGCCCACTAAATAAATTACGCATTGGCAACAATATATTTCGTTGATATAATCGCCAGTCAAATCGCGATCGTTGAATTAACTGATAACTTATTCTAAGAGTTATATAATTTGTTTTCAGTGGACTAAACGTTGCGCTTGAAAATATTGTGCTCATTTAAGCAAAATTTCGTTGATTCAACTACATTTTTGTCTCAGCGCCGGAATAATGCCCCCCAAGCGTCTGATAATACAAAAATACATACAAAAGAAAGTAGTAACTTCAGAATTAATTTTATGAAAAAGTGTTAAAATAAAGAGTAGAGTATGTACAAAAGAAAATGGAGAAAGGCATTCAAAATTCGAATTTCTGAGGGAGTTGTGTATAACAGATGATGTTTCCTCGCTTGTTGTGTGTTAGACAAAGACAAAGGCGAAGAGTCATGCACAAGACGAAGATAATAAACCGATAATAATAACATAAAGGTAAATAATATAATCGAATCACACAAGAAGGAAAGCAAGTGTGACAAAGTGTGACAAAGAGAGAGAGAGAGAGAGAGAGAGTGAGAGAGAATTCTTCCATGATGCGTGGTGAGACGCGGGCAGATAAGAAGGGCGATAAGTCTGTGTTGTGAATCGCTCTCCTCCCCTTTCGTCGCGCGAATAAAATGCAGCGGTAAGGCGCGCGCGGGGGCAAACGATAACGTGTGGCCCTATTTTCAGCGTCTCCGTGCAGCCGCACACGACCGTGTCCATTATGCTATCGGTCGTTTTCACGCGGGCGAGAAACTACGCGCTTACTATGCGATTCGTCTGCGCGAAAATCAAAAGAGAAAGAAATGAGTCGGCGTGGCGCCGTGCGGGAGGGGGGACTTCGCTCTCGGGACCGAAACTTTCCATCGTCTCGCAAGCAGGAGGTGCGGGAGGAAAAATCGCGGACGGCCTGATAAATCGGGAACACTTCGCGTGTATATGGAACTTCACTCTTCGCCGTGCTAATCGATGGTTATGTAAAACGTCAATGACATTGAGACCTCGCCGACACAGCCCTTTTGCAGAAATGCGCGGCTTTCGAGATTCAGCCGCGATTTAGCGCGAGATTCGTTTCCCGCTTCATCAATCGCTGTTTGCGCGCTTTCTTCTCAGTTCAGAGTTTGAGATTTCTTATCACGCCTAATCAAGGCATGCGAGACTGTAAATTGCCAATGTAGCACCACGTGTACACGCTGCAAACTCGCGGATCCGCCATTCGCGTAGGCTTCCGCCGGAAAACGAATGTCGCTTCGTCGCTGATTCCGTGTGCCACACACGGGAAAAACAATACCGTTGATGTCGCAAAATTTTTTTCTTGCTTGTTGAGAACGAGTTAACGGAAGACATCGATAAAAATGTTACTTTAATAATTAAAAGGTCGATTTTAGCGTGAAAGGTTGATTCGTCGCGTACGATTGCCGATTAAAAGAAGCGGACGTACCTCTAGTACATTCACGATTAAAAATGATTCTACCCAGAAATAATTTGAAACGCATAATTACCTTTCTTTAGGCTGAATTTCCACCCGGAGATGTGCTCGACGAGACTCAGGTCCGAGGAGATCTACCGCGAGCGCGTCACCAGCGACAGCCTGTTCACAGCGCGAACGCGTAATCCCGCTAACTCCGCGTCGGCGAATCCAAACGGCAATAGCAATCAGCAACAACAGCAGCTCTCCCGGCAGCCGGAGCAACAGAACAACGTCTCGTCGGCGCTGCAGGACGACGTGTTCGAGAACGACGATCTGTTCGGGCCGCCGCCGTTGCCCTCCAAGTCGGACTCGAAGCGCGTCAAGTCGAAGGTCTCGTCGCTCTTCGACGACTCCGACTCCGGCGACGAGCTCTTCTCCGCCGCGAGTTCCGGCTCCAGGTCGCAGAAGAGCACGGACTTCCTTGGCACGGTCGCGTCGGCCGACCGAACGAAGCCGGCATCGCGAGGAGCCGGCCTCTTCGATGACGACATAGACATATTCGCCGGCAAGGACGTCCCGGACGTCGATTTGTTCGGCGTGACTTCGAAGCCGAGATCGAAGGACGCGACTTCGGATAGTCTGTTTGACAATCGTGCTCGGGAGCCGGTGGCGTCGAAGAACGGCAACGTCGACAAGTTACCGAGCGCGAGGATGGAGCCAAAGAAGATGGGCTTGTTCGACGACGACGACGACGGCGACGACGGCGACCTATTCGGCGCGCAGCCGAAGTTGAAGCCGAAGATCGAGCGAAAGACTGACCTCTTCGAAGACGAAGACGACCTGTTCTTGTCGGCCAAGGCCAGCAGCAAAAGGCATTCTTCGGCGGAGAAAGACGCGTCGGTTGTTGAACCAAGAAACGACATCTCCAAGGAAGTCTCTATTCTCGACGTCGAGAGAAAGAGCAAGGACGCTCCCCCGGAGAACAGATTATTCCCGAGCGCCCCGAAGACTCGCAGTCTTTTGTTCGAAGACGACGACTACGACGATCTGTTCGGCAAGAAGGAAACGGTGGCGCGTCAGGATGTCAGGACGAAACCTGAATTGAAGGAGGGGATAGAAAAAGACATTGTCGAGGAGGTGATGAAACTTGCCGAGGAGGAGAACAAGAGCTCGGCGGAGCCCTCGAGCGTGGATCGCGATGTGAAGACGTCCGCCGACCTGGATATTGTCGTGAGTCGATCGGAGAACGACGTCATCACCGAAGAGAATAAAACGAATGTCGAAGAGACGTCCGAGGAGGACGTCGACGGCACGGCGAAAAAGAGTCCGCCGAAGACGCTGAGCATCCGAGCAACTTCGTCGCCATCCGAAGACGTCAGTCAGACACCGCGAAAGTCGGTATCCGGTAAGATAAAGAACCTGATGGGCAAGATGGGTGATCTGAAGATACTCTCGCCGATGGACGCGCCGCCATTGTGGCGGAAGAGCGAGGATCGCACCGATGAGGACGAGGATATCGTGGACAAGGACAGCGACAGCGGAGGTCCAACCACTGCTGGGCGTGCCTCGCCTCCGAGCGTATCAGGTAATTTTATTTTTATTCATTCATTTATAGTAACGGGAAGAAATTTTCCTCTTTAATAAAACACCAGTGCATATCAATCTAAAAGTAAATTACGTGGAAAAATATAAAAAAAATACAAATTGGACAAGGAGCTAATTAATAATAGAAATAGTTAAATTGAAGAAAAGAGGAGAAAAAATAGACTAGGAATGTACAAATAATTGTTCAATAACGTTTGCATCGCGTCTTACGGAAATAAAACAGCATCAACAACAAAAATACAGCTTGTTTTGCTCCATGCTTCATCTATTGTTTTTAATCTTTACTTTGTATATTTTCTTCTCATATTAGTGCTTATTAGTGCTTATTGTAAAATTTTGTAATTTAGTTTGCTTACCTATGCGTTTGTTAACTATTCGTCCTTAGAGGATAAGCTCTAAGATAGTAATAAATGCCTCTCTCTTCCTTTATTTGAAGACAGAAGTAATTTATCAATAAGAAAGCACCGTCTGGCTACAAAAATCTGAACAAAACTGCTTTGCTTCGAAAAAAAAATTAACATAACAATTGAAACATTCATTTTCAGAGAGCAGTACGCGGAAAGAGTACTCAACGATCTCGAACGCCAGCAACGCGGAGGTGGCCATCAACTTCGACGACCTGGCACAGGTGGAAACGTTGTCCACCGCCGCGTCCAAGGTACGAGAGATTTTCTGACGTTATCTTACACATCTCCTTTCTCATCCTGTTCGTTTTATTCCAGAGTCGCGTGAGGATCCAGGCGAAGCGTCGTCCTCAGAGCCGACACGCCCGCAAGTCCGCACTGCGGCACAGCGGCATCGACTTCGACACGGTTGACAACGCGGATGACTCGCAGGAGGAGAGCCACGCCAGCACTTTCTCGCACAGCACGTCCAGCAAGGATTCGGCCGTACCGAGCATGGCTACCGATCGTTTGAGCGTCACCGACAACGCCCAACGCGGGCTCGACCCCAGCACAGACGACAAGTCCGAGCTGGGTAGCGTCAGCAAGGAGAGCTCGATGAGCGTCAACAAGAACACCTTATTGTCGCCGTCCACCGACGAGGAGGACCTGTTCGACGTGCCGCCGGACTTGCCGGAGGACCCGCAGAAGGAGGACACGTTGTTCGGCAGGGCGCCGATACTCTCGCCGGTCGGCAGCGAGCAGTCCGAGAAGACACCCGTCGCTGCCGAGCCTCTGATAGACGCCGCGATCAGGACGGAAGTGGTCAACGCGATGAGCGGCAGGAGTATAGAACAGGATCCCGGCGCGACGATGCGATCGGACCAAGCCGACGGCAAGTTGGACACGTTGAAGACTCGCGAGAGGAAGGACGAGACACGCGGGAAGGAAGTGGACGATGAGCTGGACGAGGAAGCCAAAGGAGAGCTCGATGAGGAGCCGAGCGATCCTCTGCGAGACAGCAGCCACGACCCGCTGAAAAATCCTAGTCAGTTGTTCGCGTTCGTCACGAAGACGCCGTCGCCGGATAAGGGCAAAGGTCTGTTGTTCTCCGAGGATGACAGTTTGTTCTCCAGCGGCGGCACGAAGAAGCCGAGCGACGAGCGGTCGCAGAAGAGAGAGACCTTGGACCTGTTCGCGGACGACGCGGGCGGCGGCGATCTCTTCTCCGCGCCGTTGAAGAGGACGGTGAAGAAGCCGCTGCGCGACACGAAGATCAGCCTGTTCGACGATGACGACGAGCGGAACGACGAAGACGACAGTTTGTTCGGCAGCGCGGCCGTGAGGACGCGCCCTGACGCTCAGAAGCCGGCCCCCGCGCAGGCCGGCCGTAAGAAGAACAACCTCTTCGACGACGACGACGACGACGACGACTCCAGTCTGTTCGTCGAGTCGTCCGGCCACTCGCAGAAGTCGGACAGCGCGTCGATCTCCGAGTCGAGACACGACTTCGCCGACTTTGCCAAAAGCTCGAATCTCAAGAACATCTTCGGCAACGACGCGACGTGCGACGACGACGACGAGGACGACGACGTCGATATTTTCACCGCGAAGCGACCTGTTCCTAAGAGAGTCACGCCGCTGTCCTCCAAATCACTGTTCGTGTCGGACGACGACGACGATGACGACGACGACGGTAGCGACGGTATCTTCGGCAAATCGTCCACTCCGGCGGACCACAAGCCGAGAACAGTGATTGCGAGCTTGCGACCGGCTGTGAAGAAACCCGTCACCAGGGACCTGAAGAAGACGGCCGAGAAAATCGTCGAGGATCCGCTGAGTCTTCTTCGAGACGATTAACTTCGTAATAAGCACTGACGAGATTTCGCATATATATATATATNATATTTCGTTACGTCACTGCAATCACCCGACCAATATAAATAATAGGAAGAATTCTCCACGCGTCTTAAGACGCGGGAATGGACAGAGTGCAATTTTGCTTCGAGCAGCAGAGATTTATTCTCTTCGCTCTCTTGCCTGTTAATATTTATTCTTTCCCCAGTCGGAGCTGGATTTCTTTCTTCCTTTCATACCAACACACCTGTGCCACATTAGATTGTTCTAATCTACTTGTTCGCCGACCAGCTGTTACGCTGAATCGATGGGAGCAGTACTGTTTTCAACATTTGTTCGGAACACAACGAATAATGTAATTTAAGTTGGGACTTGTCATCGACATTGTCATCGAGATGAGCGCATGAAAAGGCGCGCCTTAACCGCGCGGTAGATGTATATTTTCGGTACCCTCACCTCCCTCGTATCCCGCGTGTAAATTCGCCTCACGCCAACGACTCCACATCATGTATATACTTGATGAGTCATACACACACACACACACACACACACACACACACACACACACACACACACGTTAGTACAATAAAATTTATTCAACGAACACGTCGTGTACAAATCTATCGTTATCCTTCTTGAACCCGCACAATACCGATCTCGAAGTTCCATTCAGCCTGTATACATGGAAAAAGAATCAATATCAGTTCAAGACTGATACAATTCTTAGTTCGAAGACATTGTTCTTTCTATCTATATATTTTTCCTCTAAATTTACAAAAATTACTCTTGAATAACAAGAATATGAGATTCTTAATGGAACCGTATAAAATTTTTTCATGTATAAGAGTAAATTTTATCTTCACATAAGAATATGTCCTTGCTTATATATGTGAGAATATGAGTTTCGAATTAATACTAATTTTGTCTTGTTTATTGCAGCATAACATTTTATAAACGAAAATATTATAGTATATGTATTATGATATATTATATCATAATATAATGGCACGTGTGTAAATCATACTACGATTGGTTGCAACGTGAACAGGCAGGAACGGGATGTTTATTAAACACGTTCTCGATAAATACACAATATTTTATATTGATGTAGTATTCTCGCGTGAAAAGAGTGAGACGCTTCTCGCACATCGTTGTCAAAGAAATATGTGGTTTACACATAGCGCAATATTAGCGAGATGAACGTATCTAGACTTTCAAAGTCGAATCTACGAGAAACTCGCGCTTTATATCGCTCGTCGTTTGACATGCGCTTAACATAACACAGTAAAATAAAAATTAGAGAGAAGAATCTTGCGGGTTCTCCGTATTATGATATATATATATATATATATATTATAATAACTTACAAGAGTACAACGATCGCACAATCAATCACGCATACGAATAATCTTCAATCATAAAGCTACACCGGAAAGTGGAATCTCCTGCGTGCTAACATGAGGAAGCGACAATCTAAGCATAGTAATTCAACAACTTAGCGTAACTTAAATTGAAAGGAGCTTATCGAACGCCATATATATTGTCTATATAATGAACGCGAGAAGCCCTTTGCTCAAAGAGTAAACTTTCTATGTCTGCAGTAATATTCTTAAAAACAATATCATTCAAATGAACGAAGTGGTAAAAAGAGAACATTTATAAAAGAGTAAAAAAGGAAAATTTGTAAAGAAGAGAGAGAATTTGTACAAAAACTGACGAATCTATCAAAGGAGAGAATCGAAGAGGATCCCTCGACATCTCGGCACTTTCAATTCGCGTCTTTTCTTTTGTATTTGCATCCGATGAAGTCGCGGAGGTGGTGTGCTTCTTCGTCGTGAACGTTTCACTGAACGACAATCGAAGAGAAAGTAGAGAATGAAACAGCTCGAAACGAGCAGAACAAAAGTCTCGAAGGGCGCATGCGGCTTTTAGAAAAAATTGGATGAATAAAAGTGTTCAAGGGACGGAATTCTCCAGAGTAGAAAGAAATCCTCTTGATTGCTAAAATTTTATTGGTAAGAAAAAAAGAAAAATATCAATGAAAAAAATATTAAATACTTGTACATTGTGTTTTTTCTATAAAGTTTTCTCTATAAAACATTCTGAGAAAGTCTTAAAATTTATAGAAATTCTGAGATATTTTTTCACCAGGGAATGGATAATTTCACAGACTAGAAGCAAAGATTCGTCATATGCGACGAAAAAATCACTAAAATCCAGCATCGATAATCTCGGGTTTCATCCTTTTCTCTTCCATTGAAGTGCAGCAAGCAGATTACAAATTCTAAACTAGATCTTGAGTTCTTGGGGATTTCCGCCCCAGAGTCGACTTACCTTATTCTCTTTCTCTAAATCACTCGTATATAAAATATCTTTCTTACCGATACTGTACACATGATGCGGTCGACACGTGCTGGTTATCGCATGTGACACACACACACACACGAATACGTAGTATACAAAATATCTCTTCGTCTTTCATATGTCGTGCTCTATTCTCGAATCGCTAAAGTAGCCATGCTAACTTCACAGTCCATGCGTTCCGGAAATAAATTTATATGCCAAGTGACGTACTCCGTTTGCGATTACGTAATTGAGTTTTTAATTATGTGATTAATGCAGAGAACAGAATCGCCTGTCCGTTCACGCGGACCATTATTTTCTAAACATGTGATGTACAAGATAAAATTTATCTAATTATACAACCTAGTCAGTATCGCGCACAGAGTTTCACTTTGTTCCACGATTAAGCTTTGTTTATTGAGATCTTATTTGTGGAGATCAATTCTGTATTCAATAGATAAAGTATAGAGCACATGAATATCAACAAGTTATTTATGTCGAAATTTAAAATTTATCTGAGAGGCGACGATAAATTATCTGACCGTGGGATCGCTTAAGATTTGCGTTTTTACGAATGAGATTTGATATCTTCGTGAGTTTTCTGGAGATATTTTTGATGAAAAAATTATTGGAACAAATATATGATGAAATTTCAATAAATGTAGCGTATTATCAGACCCGAATTTTATTGGGAATAAAATATACTCTCTCTCTCTCTCTCTCTCTCTCTCTCTCTCTCTCTCTCTCTCTCTCTCTCTCTCCACCTTCTCACGACTCTGTCGTATAAATCTAGAAATATAAATTATTGTCAGGAGAGTGGCATGAAAAACAAAGATGACACACATATTACATAAGAAATTTAAATATAGTTATGGTAATCTTATCTACCGCTCTATATATATTTGATCTAAAATATTTTCCAGAGATATAAAAACGCTGAATATACAAAGTGGCATGTTATGGCACACCACGAGTGTTACAACGGGTCGCGTCATGTAGTTAATAGGTTGATCTTATCGTTCGATTTTGATCCCTAGAAACTATAAACGACGCTTAATTGTATGTATCTCGAATGAAATGCGCTCGAATGAAACGCTTTTTTTTTGTCGAGTAATTTATCGGTTTTAGCCGGCCGCGCTGATGTGATCGAAACGAATATCGAGGTTTTTGCAAAGTGCTCCCCGATAAGGATGTATATCGGTGGCACGATTTAAATTAGCGAGATTATTTCTTTACACATGTAATAATATAATATTCCGAAAATTGCGATAGGAGGGAAAAAGAGTGTCCAAAATCGAGAACACAAAAGAAAATCATCAAGAATATCCTCTTTCTATCCCCCCATTCGTGTTCTCCCGCGATCTTTCGATCAGTTCGCACGTGGCTACGCAGTTATATAATACAAACGAGTTCTACGGACACTATCGAAAATAAGTGCATCGAGTTTCATTGTTTTTTGTACTATGGATTAACCTTCGAATTGCCCCCCCCCCCCCCCCAAAGGAAATCAGTCATTTCCGGTCGCGTGTTTGTATCGTAATTATACGTATCTCACCTATTTCACGAAATGTCCCAATGTCATTGCGTATATCTTTAATTATAGATTCTACCGGAACTGCGAAACATACTCTTTTAATATCCGGTGTTCTCGAGACACCCCGTGTATAAATATAAGCGCAAATACTTTTGGAGATTAGTTCAGTTAGCGCGTTCTATTTCATATCGAAAATTCTGGCAAAACGCGCTCAGATTCGTTGCTTGGTTGCAACGTCTGGACCTTCTTCGAACTTTGTATCGACGACGATGACGACACGATTATCGCATCTTCACGATCAATCGTAATCTTTTTGACAAAGAGAGAACGATTATCCGGAAAAAAATGTAAGAAACGGAATCACTGTGTCATCAGTATTGGTAAATTCACGTGTCTCTTGAGTGCATTTCATTCGCTATTCATAGAAGAAGGTGCTGTACCCTTGGACTTGTTTTACATTGAATCCATGTCGATTTCAGCGCTTTGTTCAGTGATTTTTTCACTTTGTTAATGTGATAATTCATTGTGTTTACTGTCAGAATTCTTATCTGTGGTGGTAAATACAATGAATTATCACATTAACAAAGCGGAAAAATCACAGATAACGCTAAAATCGACATGAGTCCAAGGTAAAATAGGTCCAAAGTACAGGCACTTCCCCCACCCAGTGGGAGATAAAACATCGAATCGACGTCGATTTAATATAATTCCCATTGTTTCGACGTCGATTCGATGTCAACTCGATAGTTCATTTCTCGCTGAGTATAGGCGTGTCGGTTTTTGTTTGCGTTTCTCCCGGTAGGTATGTTCGATCGTTTCAGAGATTTCACTCTGTCTTTCGATCGAAGTTCGATAACACACACAAATGCTATCTGTCCATCAAAGAAGGACCTTGACTGTCACATATCCAGATCGAAGAGTTTAAGACTTAATAGGAAATACCTGTGGTATCCTACAAGGAGGTAGATCCTGAGCATGTACGCAGTATATCGGAAACGTAAATTGTGTATATCCCATCAATATTCGAAATATGTTCTACGATATTCTGAGAATGTGCAGAAGATATTCCTATGTCCACATCCGAAACCTATTCAATACTGGGGACATCCTGCAGTATATTATGAGACGTCCCCGGTATTATTAGAGTATCATATACATACGCGCGCATACATATGTACACAGCCACGTGCGCGCATTCCCATATACAACCTAATGCTTGAGCATTTTGTTTAAATAATAAAAAGAATTTGATATATTTTTTACGGCGCTCTCATACGTATCTCCGCATGGTTTCGATCCTGTAGCGGTCACCGTTGCTTGGCTTCAATGATCGTAAAGGAATTTCTAAATCCTAATGAGCTCTGATCATGTTTTTGCGGATTATGCGTATAATATACTCTTATATCGATCGAAAAGTATATAATGGCATACGAAAACGAAGTACATACTCAAACGGTGCGAGAACAGAATTGATTTAATCTAAAGACTAACAACGTTGGACCCACTCGGGAGAAATGCGAATGCGACGATGCGAACGTCGACTTCGGAGTTGTCCTGAATCAGTTGTCCATACCGGATCGCGCGCATCTCTTAAGAATGCTGACACGGTACAATCGGAGACGGTAACGGAGACGGTAACGGAGGCGGCAACGGCGCGTCCTCCTCGTGGATCATCACGAGTTTGCCGTACTTCACCATTCTTCTCCTCTGTTTACGCTGTAAGCAATCGAGATGTCGAGCGAAACAATTTAGAAATATTCTAATCAGGCCGAAATTTTCGGTTTCGAAGATCCTGTACCGTGGCCATTTTGTTTTATGACGTCAGAAGCGAGGAAATCCAGAATTCTTGCGGGACATATGTTCAAATAAAAAGGTATACCCACAAAATGATATTTGTACCATAAAATTAACGCGGTAAGAGGAAAAACAGATTGAAGTGGAAAGTTGCATATTGCCATGTTAATTTTACAGTTATTTATTTAGTCTTAGTCACCTTCAGTTCTCACCTTAAGTCTCGAATTTTAAATCTGTTGCTAGGTACGACAGCTGTTATATACTTATAGATTAGACCACTCTGGATAAAAAAGTCCTTTATTATTTTGCAAACAACATGCAAATTTTTGAGTCACTAATTAAAGAAGACTTTTTATTCGATCATATGCACTAAGTGATACATATAACAATTTCATCGATTTTCTCTTTTACCTGCGACATGCCTTCCGTCCAACTGCCGCTGCTACTGCCACTGTCGCTTCCGCTCGACGTGATTCCTTCTTCGAGGACCAGTTTCGTATCGAAGCCTTCCATTTCCAAATCCAGATAAAGTTGCCCTAGCTGATCGTTTACCAGCAGTGGCTGGTTCAAGTCCTTTATCGCATCCATGTCAGCCTTCAACACCTCGTTCAAAGTCTTCGGATGCACCTGGTATTCGTAAATCAGTTCTGGCGTCAGTTGTACGCCTTCCAGCCAAGGTGGATCCCTCCTCCGCATCCCTTGATGGCATTTGGTGTGCTCCTATGCGACAAGAAAATTTAATTTAATTTAAATCCATTTCAAAGACAACAAAAAGACGAGGAGAATTCGTTGCCTTACCTCAGAGGAGACCTCGCACGTCTTCTGATCCGGATTGCAGCTGCTTTCGCTGCTCTTGTACAAGAAACTGCTGTAGAGACTGGATGAACTCGATTCGTCCCCATTATAGTCCATCGGTCGGTGTCCCTTCATGGTCACCGGGGTCAGTAAGTCCACTACACTTGAACAACCGCCGTCGTTGCTCATACACGACGAGAAGAGCTCGCTAGGCGATTGAACCTGACGGAGTGATCAAGATCTTCTTAGTTTTTGTGTAAAATCAAAACTATTGGGAAAATTAATGCCGATATCAGTTCGTCAACTGGTTTCGACCAATTATCAGCGGCTGTTTTACCTTCTTGGAGGACTCAGACATGGCCATTATGCTGCTCGGCTCGGCTTTGACACTGGTCGCTTGACTGGCCGGTCGTCTGCGATCCAAACATTTGTTGTTAGGCAGCTGCTGGTTCTCGCACGCTGCCGGCGCTTGCTCGGGTAACAGGAAGGGCTTGTACATCATCGCGCGCGGCGGCGGTGCGCCGATCACCGGGTATATCATCCCGGCCATCGCTGTAGCAACGTAGGACACTGGAACAAACGCTATGTGAATTTAAAAACTAGCTTAATTCCTTAAAATTAAATTCTAACTTTTAATTAAATTTTTAACTTGCTAATTTACTAATTCTATCGCTATAATTTTCTTATAACTGTCCTATCGTGTTGCAAATTCGCGAAGAATTTGGTATCTCTAGAGATTCCGCAAGTTAACTCGCGAACTGTAGAGAGCGATTCATAACGAACTTCACAATGATGCTTACTGTAAGGACTCTGTTGCGTCGGTTGCGTGGTCGAGGGTGAGTCCAGTTTTTTTTGTGGTGACAATAGCGTCGTTGTGGATTCGCTGGCTTGCGGTACTGACACGTAATATACAGGTATCACCGACGATAGCAACGGGAATCTAGGTATGGTTTCCGAACTGACGCTGAAATGCATGAATGCACTTAAGTCTACGTGTGCTTTCGTGACGAGGTTCCACATATTTTATCTTTTTTTTCTACTATTTTACGTGCAATTTTGCGCGATTTCGATATTACTTGTACTCTCTCCGTAATTTTCGGACGGCTTACTTGTGCGATGGATCGCAGGGTTGAGCTGGCACGGAGGAGGGTACGGCGACCGACAGTGGTGGCCACAGGTTGATGTTCGTCCCGGTTTGCACCACGGTCGATTGATCGAGACTCATGCTGGTAACGGTAGTCATGAGGTTCGCTGGGCCCGCCGTGCTCGTCCTCGAGATCTTATCATGCTTCGATATCTGTTTGCATATTACCAAGTTCAGATTTATGTCTAGTTCATTTATGTCGATTTATGTTAACACACCAATCTGATACTTTTCTTTGTATTTTCTAGCATTACTAAATTGGAACCAGAGATTAATAGAGAAAAAAATTCAATTGCCAATCTGGATCCGGCGGATCTCGTTAGCTTTTTTTCAAATTTGACAATCGACAAAAGAAATTAAAGCGTGAGTGCTTTGTGAGTGCCTAGCTATGAGATAATAAATAAAACACGGAGAAAAAAGTTTGGTTAAATTTATCTGACAATGAATAAAGACGAGACGCGTTTCCGCTGAAGGAAACATAATTTCTGCTTATAAAAGGCGGTTTTGGTTCATAAGAACCAGAAATATTGTTTCCTTCCACCAAAATGACCAAAATGAATTTGGTCGTTCATTGTCAGATAGATCCAATCAATCCAATTTTCTTTTTGTGTACGTTTTAATGAATAATCAACCGGTAACGAATTAGTAATTATCTAGAAAATTCAATCTAACTGTTGTATCAGCTACTAGCTTTCGACCTAGGCCGACTAAATACATTCTACTTGGGGAGCTCGAACCTTGAAGCTTTCACCCTCCCAGCTGTGACTGCTGCTCCTCTTGATGCCGTGACCCTGATTGACGTAATGGGCGTTTTGGTCAACTCCGTTGACCTTTTTCGTCTTGATGCGCGAATCCTTGAGCAGCTTGTCGCTGTTCTTGATACTGGAGCGCAGTTCACGGTGTTTCTGCATCATCAGCTTCTCCATGTCCTCGTTGTGCCGGTTCAGCAACATCTCCGTCAGCGTGGGCAGCTTGAAGCTCTCCGTCGCAGTGGTGTTGCTGTTGCTGGCGGTGTTCGAGGTGTCGTCGCGGCTCGCTGAGCTCGTCTGGTTGTTGGAACCGCTGCTAAGGTTCTCCGCGCTACCGCTGCCGCTCGCGCCGCTGCCGTTTATCGGCGACATGCATTTTCGAGCTTAAAACATAACGAACCCGATATTTCTCCTTTATGAGGCGATCTTCTCATGGCGAGGTGCGCTTTAACGAAGCTTCGCCAACTTGAGACATGAATCGAGATACGTGCGGGAGAAGAGTTCCCATTGATATTAAGTTGATTCAGAAATCTTTTCCCGTAGGATAACTACAGAAAAAAAAACACTTCATTTGTAAGCATATAGGTATATTTCTATTTGAAACGTGCTCCATTCATATCAACATCTGTTCAGTATTTACGGGAATAGATCAACTCACCGCCCTCGACGTTGCTGGAATTGACATTCTCTTCATCGCTGCCGTACATGGTGGCGACCGGCGGTTTGCTCTTGAAGAACCGCTCGATGTTCTCGTTGTAGTTGAGCTGGTTGTAGCTCGGCAACGTCTCCGTGAACGATTTGCTGTCGTAGTATTCATGATGGGGCGAGATCTCACCGAGCATTACGCTGTCGTGCTTCTGCAACAAAGGATTACGATATCTCTTTAAAGGCATATTTTAATGCCTTAGAATGAGTTGCCACTGACGATTCGTATTTCGTATTACGTCGGTTGTCAGTTGTTAGTAGTATATTTTTAGCGTGGCTGTGCTCATTCCGCGTGAAAACGGAGGGGTAAGAGTGTGTTTCCCCGGCTGCCCCTGGCTGCTAAAAGTCCCGATTAAGGGACTTCTCGTTAATTAAAGTTAAGAAAGTGAGAAAAGGAGAGGAAGTTCGCCTATCCGTCCCCGAGGGAGGCTTTTCCTCTCGTTTACCGGCGTTGCTGTGCGTCATAAATCGTTTGCGAGCGCACGATTGTAAACTCGTGGTGCAAGCTTCCGCGGCAAAGCGCATCCAGTACTTGCGAGTGCAATTTGACGTTTATTTACAGCGAACAGTCCGAGAGAATCGATCCCGTACGTGCGAGTGTGCATCATCTCGCTTCGAACCTCCGTGCCACGATATTCTTCGTTGCATTGAGCTCCTGTGCTCTACATTCTCTTTTCTTTTTCTAATGTCAAATACAATTGAACTGAAACCGGTGGAATTATATTGAGTTTGGTCTCACGTGTCATAGACACGGCAGAATTTTATACGTCGCGCTTTTAATCGGTTGATTATATACGAGTCTCCTTTTCTCGTTGTGCAAAATCAAAAAAAGCTACGATCGAACAGGGAGAAAAAAGTGCGCGAAACTATAATCGCATAGTGGAAGAATTCTAATTAGAAAAACCATTTTTGAAGGAAGTGTTATTATATTGCTGATAATGACACCTTATATACATATTGTTACTGCTACTTTATTTTTCTTTGTTACGACAAAAAGATATAATTTGTACCGAAAATAATTTTTACTGATATCAACCATTTTTCTCTTTCAGTGAAGCTGTTAATTGTGTCAGTACTATATTGAGAAAAATAATGTACTTGGAGAAAAAATTTGGTACTTGTAACTATAATTATTAAAGTGAAAGAATTATAGTCAGGAGAGACAATTTTCTACGAGTGTTACTACAAGTATAGTGTCAATGATGACAATTTTACATGCATATTGCTACTACATGGCAGAAAAGAATTAGCTCCAATAGATAAAAACTAATTATTTATATAATACAACTGAAATTTAGTTACCACATTTAATTTGTAGCTGTGAGAGTTGATTCTTTTTTTCTGTCTTTGAAGAACGGAGTAACGCGAGAATATCCGATTTTCTCGGCGACAATTGCCGTGAAACAGCGAAGCTCGTCGCTAAAAAGAGAGTTTGTTCGTTCGTCGCGAATCATTCGTGCATTCAACCCTTCTCAATCATGCACCTTTGCGCTAGTTTCAAAATCTTCTAAGTGAAAGAGCTCGCTGATTCGAACGTCTTGAGAACATAATCTCATAACTTCCCGATACATGCTATAGTCATAAGGAAGAAAATCGTGATTACATCACGGAGAGAGATCAAAGAAGGAAAAATAAAGGTCTCGGCGACACTATAGAACTCTCACTATAGACGTCTCACGGGAAATTCGTTCCATTTCAAGCAGATCAAAAAGTCACATAAAAGTTAAGATGACGTTAAAATGCCACTTTGACATTATTTTGACGTTTCATCTTAACTTTTATATGACTTTTTGTTCTACTTCGGATTGCAGACGCGGGAAGATTCCCGAGGAAGATGTAGGCCGAAAATGACCGACGAAGGAAAGTCCGTCGTAACGAAGATCGACTCTTTGAGCACTGAGAAAAATAACTTAGAGAAAACAAATTATCGTAGCAAGTGAATAAATATGTAGGATGTTTCTTAAGTACTGCCCAATATTTTAGGAATTATTTTTTGAGGTCATTTTATGAAAAAAAGTTCAAATGAACTATGTTATGTATATGTTATATCACATAAGCTTTTCTCCATGAAGTGATCTCAAAAATCAACTCCCAAAATATTGGACAGTATTTAAGAAACATTCAGTATATTTATGCTTTTGCTACGACAGTATAAACTTTGCTCTCTCTTTAAATTATTTTTTTTCTTCGTGAGCGAGCCTCCGTTCGCGCGAGAGAAACCTTAAAAAGCGTAACGACTCTAGCTTGCGCCTGGCTACACTAATAGAAAATTATAGTTAGTTTCGGCGCCGAAGATACACTTTAAACACAAAAATAGTAAAGAGAATTTATCTAGTAAATATTATTATAGTGTCAATAGTTATAACCTTACATGTATGTTGCTGCTACTATAAAGTACGTTTAACGCCGAGACTAATTCTAATTTTCTATCAATGTACACGAATTTTCCAATTTCAGACTCGTTACGCTTCATTAAAATTCTATCGACCGCGCTTCATTAAGGAATGACTATATTGAGTGAAACAAAAGAAAGAAAAAGGTAGGTGGACTTACCCGATAACCAGTGCTTACAAGGTTTCGAAATTGAGAGACGTTATCCTTCACTGGCCCTACACGATTTTCTCATCGCTCTTCGTCCGTGTCTACGTACAAAAGAGCTGGGTAGAGGCTTGATTGATTAGGGAGCTTTATATTAACCGTTGCCTAGTGCTTTAGCTGCTGCGTTGTTAGCTGCTTTAGTCGTTTTTGATTAGTTAAGAGTTCAAAAGCCCGAAGTAGTTTCATTCTTCGGTTTTTATCTGTCAGCAAGCGTCTTCGTCTACTCACCTTAACCATCATCTTGATTTCGTCAAGACTCTCTCTAAAAAATTCTACCGCATACTTATCCGAAAGCAACAGGAGATAGATAGATAGATGGATAGAGTCTCGTTGGTTAAAATTACTAGCTTGCCTTAATTCTATTTACATTTTGCGCTCGCGTCGTGTGGATCAGCAAAGAAAAAAGAAGCGCCTGAGAGAAGCATTAGTGCTAAGATATCCAATCGATATCTTTTTCTCTTCCTCTGAGTCAAAATCCTTACGAAAAAGTAGTACTAGCGATCAATCCTCAGTATTAAATGATCAGTATTGCGAGTACTGATCACTCAGTAGTGAGTACTGATTGCTAGTACTATTTTTTCGTAAAGATTCTGACTTTCTTTTCCTTTTTTCTCAGTTGCCCATATGTCACGATACATTTTCGGCACATCGTTTCTGCCGTCGAGTACAAACACGGAGGGGGAAGAAAAAAATATGAATGTTTCCCGAAAACGTTAAGGATTCTCTCGATGACACAGGACCATCGATAATTGCAGTCACACGCATCATAGGGAGAAAAATGGCGTCAAAAACGCTATGGAAAGCAAAAATTTAGGGGGAAAAAATATGAAATTGCGTATCCCAGGTAGAAGAGAAAATCATGATGAAATCTAAATGACCAGAAAATGACTATAGAAACTCAGTTTTCGGCCATTTTCTTACTTCACTTTAACGTTATTTTGACATCAGCATCATTTTTTGTTCTACCTGGGACATGGACAAGAGATTCATGTTCGACGGAGGTTCAAAAACGAATTACTGTAAAAGTATATCGTGCATCGACGACGGGATATTAGGTTGATAAAGTAACACGTGTACATATATATATATATATATATAATATATATATACACCTTCCCCACGTCGCTCCGCCTGCGAAGTGAAACGTGGCGGGCTTGCGTTATATCGTTACAGCTATGTAACTACTGAATAGAGATCACGTTTTCTCTTCGTAGCGTAGCAGAGGATACGGAGAGCGTTATAGCATAAGTAATTTAGCGGAAAAAGTGTCGGTGATACTAAAACGTAGCTAATAGTCACCGAAAAGCTCTTGTCGTCCGCTGCGAGTTCGTCCTTGCCGATACCGGGCGCTTTCGTCTCTTGTAGCAGGCTTTCCATGAAGGACGCTAGGTCCTCACATCGTTTTGACACGTCGAGCTCGGTTATATCTGACGTTCTTTGGATGCTCTGCGCACACGTACGATAGAAAAAAAAGAGAACAAATTGGGGAATAAGCTGGCTCACTTAAGTACTCGCAGTAAGAGAGGGAGAAATTTTCTCTGTTTCTTTTTCTAGTCTTTTCTCCTCCTTTTCTCAAAACGATCTCCTTTTCGTCCACATCAAATCTTTACACTGGAGATAATGCTGTTGCATCAACAGAATCGGGGTCAACGGCTCCGTAATTTGAATGAAACTTTTGAATTCAATAGCTCAATATCATTGAAACTAATACTTGAAATTAAGAAACTTATATATGATAAAACTATTATATGATCGATGAATTCTGTTTAAAATGTAAGAACGATAATCTTACACGAAAGAAAATGTTATTATATCAAAAGAATTGGCCGTAATTTGAATAAATCTTCTAGATTCAATAGTTCATTTGAAATATGGTTATAACTAGAAATTCTATTTCTTTCAACCAAAATGCCTCTGGTTGTTCCTTTTCTGGTTAATACAATCCGACCTTTTTCCATGTATAAATTTACTCCAATAATCCGGCACTGTTGACTAATTCTACCGATACAGCACTTTTTTCTGCGTACACAATCAAAGGATTGCGATAATCGTCGTTGAAGAACCACGGTCGGCCACTGTCGGCCTAGTATTGAATTTTATATGCTATTATGGGCCCCGTTTTTTGTTCCTCAGAGCGCAAAGAGCGCGGGGGACATTTTGTTCGTGAACATTCACCGAGTCAAGATCGTGAGCCGCAATTAATACATGAAGTATCGTAGCCACTGTCGCTTTCACCATACCTCGTCAAGTAGCGCCCGTATCTCGCCCTGAATGATTTTCGCCTCCTTCAGCACCTCCTCGCTGATGCTGGCCAGGTAGCCGCACTCGGTCTCGCGCACTACACGGAAGATGTCTGGATTCAACGGCCCTTTGAGCACACGGTGCTGACCTACGACAAACTCTAGTTTTTTCGTCCAGGGATTGATAAAGGATGACCACTCGGTCTCGAGAACGACGTAGCTTCCGTTCTGTACGGCGAACCTGTACGGCTTCGACCTGAAGGAGCAGCCTTCTAGCCTGATCACCTGTTTAACGACATTTCGTAAAGAACGTTTGAGTAATCGTCTCATTCGAGTGTTCTCACGATGCAAAAGAGAAGACAAGTATCAAAATCACTCGCTCACTCGTTCTTACGCTATTTCTTTCTCTCTCTCTCTCTCTCTTTCACACACACACAAACACACACGCACACACACACACTATCAAAACACCTATCGTCCTCGCGCATCTTTTCGAACGTGCACGCGCAACCGGAACCTAAATCATTTCTCTTTTTTCTCATTTGATTTGTTGTCGGGCTTATGCTCACAGTCTCATAGATGTCTTTGATGAATGGCAGGTCCTCCGGATGGTAGAAATCAAACAGCGAACGGCCGGTCATATCCTGTGGTAGATAGCCGAAGTATTGGACTACGTCGGGATCGACATGGGATAAGTGGCACGTCGCGGTGTGGCGGGTCGTGAATACCGAAGATATTATTGTTTCTTCTGGCGCTGCGGATAACGACAAGGTCGGAGTCATTCTTTCTCGTCGCAGAGCTCGATGATGAGATTCTTAGTATCCAGAAGTATAAAGCACGAAGATCGAAGATCGAAGTTTCCGAGATTGTCAAGATTATTAAGATAAGAAGCTCAAGCTCTTTTGACGACAAGTCCACCGACGCGAATGAAAATCGAGAACCGAACGGTTCGAACACGCGAATAGCGAAGCTCCCGTAGCAGCTGGAAATAAAAGACTTCCATGCACCGACACAGCTAAGCGAACATTTTGCTGTAGATATGAGGGATAATAAGTGCCATTTGACATCACATGTTGCTCGTGAGTACACTGAGCGGTCGCAACTGGGAATGTTGTGATACTACTGATTATATAATATTGATATCGATATTTTTCTTTCAATACCGGATATTCTTGCATCGATACTTTCTTTCGATACTCGTATCCGAATCAGTACTAAAGAAAAGATTAAGATTAAAATTAAATAAAGAAATTATTAAGAAATGGTGAGGGAAACATGCGAAATTGGTTTTGGTAATTCGTTTCGAAGTAACTGGGCTGAAGTGATTATCTTAAACTATCCATTCGTTCAAGTCGCCGGCGAGTTTGATCGAGTTTTGTCGGCGATAATCAGGCCAGCCGTTCGTACATGATCGTTATCGAGTCCTTTCGCCGGTCGGACCTCATCGGAGATCTTGGACCATGCTACCTTTGTATGCCGAATGGACGGGTTGAGCAGTAACCACGAGGAACATAGCCCTGTTGTTGGGCTGCTGTTCGGCCGTCAGGTCCCGGAAATCCCGGAAAGATAGGGTCAAGTGGAACGGCAAGTATAGGTTCGATCTGGCGTCGACAGGGTGCCCGTTCGCCATGTTGCACTTGGTGAATCTCCGCAGGCCGCAGAACAGGCTCACCCGTCTACCGTTGATGCCTGGAAAGAGAGAAAGAGAAAGGAAAACACCAATTAGTGATTAAATACATTTTAAGGACTATTCAAAATTATATCGCGCTAAATTTGGACATTTTATCCCCCTCCTCCTTTTCCCTTTATCACCGAATATTTATCCTCTTCCAATGTTACGTGACGTGGAATTATTCCCCCCCTCTTTAACTAAAAGAAATCGTATCTTATAACTATATTATGAGTAATAAATAATTATTAGACTGCATACTATTATCTTTTTCTAAAATACAAATAATTTTTAGGCGTATAATATCAAATTACTTTATTTTATAATTTTGATTAATACAAATTGTGTTTTAGGAAAGATGAATATTTAAAAATAACATCTTAATTATTAACACAAAACTGTGTCAAAACTTAAAAATTTCCACCAAATGTGTTACAAATGCAAATAAAATGGATAACCGTGCTCATCCATTTACAAGTCATGTTATCTTACGTTCCATGACTTTTACTACTACCTTCATAAATCCGCCATCACAAACTGTCACACAAGTTAATAAATCCCCCTCCTTTGTGGTATGACGTAATTGTTGAATGGCCCTTTAAATATTTCTTAAATAAAGTTTCTCGCTAAACTAAATATTTCTTCACATCGCGAAAGCCTAAAATATTAGATTAAATGACAATACAATTTGGAAAAGTTGATTTCGGCTGACAAAACCTGCTAATTAAACGAGATGAAATAATTGTTCAACAAATAATTACAGTCAAATCGTCGTCAAATAATTACAGGATAGGTGATTCCTCTGTAAAACCTCTTTCTAATTCGTCGGTCATGAATGTCATGGTGTACCTTTAGACCTCTCCTCTTGGGGCGACGCGATGCCATTGGTGATCTGATCAGTCAGGGTGGTTTTGTCCTTCGGATGCACGTAATCGATGAAGGATCGACCGATCCAGGAGTCCTTAGGATAGCCAAGAGCAATGCATATCGACGGGGTTGTGTACAGCACGAGACCGTCGTGCATAGAAATCACCGCGCAAAATCCCTCCTACGAACACTTCGAAGATTAGAGGTGGAAAAGATCGACACAACACGTTAACGTTAACACTCTCAACATAGTGATAACGCAACATATATGTTCGATTTCTTCTTTTTTTTTTTTATAAAAATCCTTCGCCTCATTTCGATTTTTCAATTAGAAAAACAAGAACGATAGACATTTTTCATTAAAATACATGCCACTAGTAAGATCGGAGAAAGAGATACCGACAATAAAATATCAATTAGTAGAAATTATCTAACCAAAAGTATTTGAATCATTAATAAAGTTAATTAAATTATCTCGAGATTATATCTGTTACGAAAGAGGCTCTTCGCGTTACCACTGAGTTAAGAGCTTCTCACCCGACAAATATTACTGCCAGTACTTTCACCATGCGAGGATCGTATTAATAGATTAATAGTCGTAAGAGAAACATCATCGGGGAGAGATTTACCAACGCAGTGTTCTACAGTGTGGTTATGCTAATTTGCTTGCCTGTTACTACCTTTTTTTCCCTCGTCGATTCTACACCGGCGACATGCAAATTTTGCGATTTTTTCGTACCGTTTTGTTTTCACGCAAGTGCACTCGGTCCTTTGAAGTCTCGCTTCGGGACCCGTGCTTTATGAGTACTTTAAGCCACTACTGCTATTATTAATATTATTATTATTAATATTTATGAGAATGTGTATAGAGCGAGGCAGATTGTGAGAATTGCATCGCTGACAGACGCATCACGAGCTACGTCGCGCGAGATACTGTTTCCCTTTTAGTGACACAAATCAACACAAGTATCATCCTGTTTCTGTTACTCACTGAATATGGAACAAAGACAAAATGTGTCGACTTATGTCGTTAAATGAAAAACACTCACTACAGTGCCGGTGTGAAACACATCCGAAAGACGTTAAGTTAGATCCAGACTAAGCGAACGAGTCCGAAAAATGAGTATGTACAAACATGTTTTCTCTGATGTATACAGAAAAAATGCTGTTGAATTGATAAAGTTTCTAACAGCAGTGTAATCGAAGTAGATTTTCTTGGTTCTCAATGGCAAATATCATGAAAATTATTATGTAATGTATTGCTTCAATAATTATTAGTTTCAAATATTAGTTTCAATGATATCGATATTGTATCAGAAAGATTTATTACACGTGCTTTTGGAAATTCTATTGATTCAACATATTTTTCCATGTACCAACACGAGACCGAACACATTTACTGATGTCCGCGCTCTTTCACTTGGTCTGAATCCACCTTTAGAGAAACTAAATTTCCCTTTGGTGTGACTTGCAAATCGCACACCGAGTGTGGACAAGACTACGACGTTAGACAAGTTACAGGAAGCAACGGGTTATCAGGGCTCGAAGCTCATTTTCTGAATCGAATGAGTATCTCGCGCGAATTTGTTTCTGTATGTATGTGTGTGTGATTTTTCGTTTCCTTGGTTTTTGCTTTTTTGTTTCCTATTCTACTCTCTCGACATGTCTCCCTCCGCTACGTTTACTGACTGATACTAACATTGGCCTGAGACGTAGAATCGTCCAGAGGGATTGTCCGTGAAGCAAGTCCTGCTTCCGGATCTGCGACGGTGTCGCCGTTGTGCTCGCCGGGATCCGTTGCGTCCACTAATTCTACGGTGGCTACCTCTTCTTGCATTACGCCAAAAGAAATTCTCGGTTGTTATACATGTCCATCCGGGTCATTTACCCGAGTTGTTGACGGTTAAGGGATGGCGGGACAAGGGGGTGGAGGAGGGATCGAGTGGCGCAGTGATGTACATTTCGGGACTGTTCGAAGGATTATAAGATCTGACTCTAGATATCCCGACCGAAAACCGAAGTGAAGGGGCGATCGGTGAAGTTAAAACGAAGCAACAGGTGGTGCTATTTTGAATTCCTTTGCACGATACCGATGGAGAAAATCGATAACCTCGCACTTGCCAGGTTCCGTAAGCGTGGGCGTCACGTTGAATGGAAAATTTCGCGTCTCATACACAAGGATGGATCTATTTCTCTTGCCCACGTGTATCACGATTCTGCCCGAACGCGGCCTGAATGGGTGCGACGATAGGATAAGGAGACTATTTTTAAGGCGATGATGATATGCCTGCGCGATCGCATGTACTTGCGAAAGAATTTAATGTGTACTCGTCGTGTATCACACGTGTTTTCTCTAAATCACCGGAGGAGGAATTTGCTGTTGCTACATTAGAACGCACGCACGACTGCAAGCGTAAGTCGATTAGTGCAGGGCAGATTACAAGGACATTAGAGAATGATAATGAATTTCTCGTCGTCTATCGTCGATGGATCCTGAAATCGGATCCATAACGATCGCCTATCGCGTTTAGGTTTCTGATTTTGTGGTCTGTTTTTGTCATTTTTCATTCAAGAATCTTTTCTCATTTTTTTTTGCAAAGCCCATACAGCAAAGATCTCCACGGAATGCCCTACGTCCTAAGGAGCGTCCTAGGACGTCCCTCAGATAAAATGTGCTGTGTAGAAAATTTTATTCGTTACAATCGCATCAGATATTCATGGTCGAACACATGCCGACGCGCCAAACGCTCTCTGAAGCCGTGTATATTGTTGACTTCGTGCTTGGCTGAGATTTCCCCAAGAGCGAAAGCTTATCAGGCGACGATAATCTTTCGAGCTAACGTCACCGTCAAGATATTAGCTTCAGGCAAATAGGGGGTGACTCATCAAAATACTTGCGGGATTAAGGGATATTATGAAGGGAGATTTGTCGAAGCCCTAGGTGGTAAGATAAGCGAAATCCGAAGAGGACAAGGAAGAGTGCACGAAAACAGTTTGTCGAGAAACAAATAGGAAACGAAAAGATCTCGGTGACCGATAATCGATCCCACGGTCCCCCCGACGTGACGATGATTTAACAAGTGGCAATAAGTTTTAATCCGTTAAGCGAGGAAACGTGCGAAATTTAAAGGGGTTTCCTTATATAGAGTGATTACAAATATATTTTTTTATTAATTTTATTATGTATATTTCACGAATTTTTTGCACTTAAACGTAACGTTCTCATAGCTCATCTTTTTGGGGAATTATTTTATGAGAGAGACATTTCGACCATATTTTAATTTATAGATTTATAGATTAATATTTTAATTTTAGATGCATCTAAATTGTTAATTTTACAGATATCGCGAAATTATTTTTAATAATATATTTTTGAAGTCTGAAAAACTTGAAATAAATGCCAACGAAATAAAATCGCAATTTTTTAAATTTTAGACGAGGAAACCCCTTTAAGAGTCCGTTCCACTACTAGTGAAAATGGCATATGGTATGGTCAGACGGGACTTGCGATCAGGTGCATGTGTGGTGAGACAAATCCGCGAAATGATCTCGTATCATGAAGACGAAAACGGTCAACGAATTTTGCTTAAAATGTAGGAATTTTTAACATCCTGTATGAATTCACACGAGTTCCATGGGATTTTCGTGGAAATCCACCTGGAAATTTTCAACAGCGAAATGTTCACGAAACATCGGCAACAAGTTGTTCATAAAAGGCGCGATGTTAACTCGAAAACTAAATTGAGTTATTATAATGAAACGTACATTGAAAAAAGGATTTGGTGATAAGTTTGGTTAATATATGCCGACCAAATATTTGATTACTGCAACTAAATAATTTAGTATCGTATACGGAGGAAAAAAAGGAATAAAAATTTCCAAAAAATTTTGTAATGTTGGACCATACCGAAATTATAACTGAAATTACAATGTGCGTTCCAATCTTTAGTGGTACATTTCATTGTACACATCACCAAGAAAATTACAACACATAATAATTTCAGTTATAATTCCGGTATAATCTACATTACAAAATTTTATGCTAATTTTTGTCACGATATTTTCTTCGTGTATATTAAATATACAATAAACGGAGCTACTACAGTACTAGATATACAATATAAAAGACTAAATTATTCTGTTGCAATAATCAAGTATTCGGTCGGCATGTGTTAATCAAATTTATAATATTTATTACCAAATCTTTTCTTTAATGTATCTTCCTATCTTTCTCGCGCGAGTCGATAAATAACTCGAAACACATCTCTGATAATTCCATAGATGATCTCATGAAACAAAAGTCGCGGGCGGTTCGCGTGCACTCGTACCTGGGGTTTGCGGGTCGCAACCAACCTGGTTTCTGATCAAGTACGACGTTCGCCGGTGCGACGGTGTTGTAGGAAGCGACCTCGGCCGGCGCGTTCACCGTCTTCAGGCTGACTTCCGCATCGGTGGTAATCGCCGACACCGTCTTCGACTTTTTCTTCTTGTGTTCCTTGTCCTTTCTCTTGCTGATCGGCTTCGGTAATGCCTCATTACTGCATCATCACATATAATGCATCGATCTACGTACTTGATACGGTTAACGCAATTGGGCAATTACGATGCTTAATTCTATTTTATTCCTAATGAACTAAGTTGAATGGCAACCGGCCGAATTAGCCGATTATTATTAGCGTCGCTTGAAATGATCGTGCGATCGCAGTCGCGTAAGTCTCACGGCACATGCAGGTCGTAGCCGCGTGTCGTGGCATGTGACAAACAAATATCAACGTGGGAATTGCGCTGATAAGCCAGAACAACGTTCACGTTCGCGACCACGTTGCAACACGCGGGTGCGAGTCTGTCTAATAATAAGCGCGGATAAATCGAAGGAACGTGCAAATGCACAATACTCCAGTGTCCTTTCCGAAGAAAGATAATGTTCCGCTCTTACATTGTGGTTACAACCGATGTGCCTTTCTCCCGGAAAAGTCGCAAAAAAAATCTCTGATATAACAAATCGGTGCGAAACGTGACACCGTAACGTTACGCAAGCCGGGGAAAGTTCGTGTTCATCAAATCGCCACTCGGAGGGCTTTCTCCGGAAGTCTCGGTTGCGGGTGCGTTTTCACGACGCGTAAATAGCATGGGATTACATCACTAAACGTGAGAATAATCGTGAAAATTGTCATTGTCATTGATTATCATTGATTAGTGTTATTAGTAAAGTAAATTGAACTTCTTTCATAATGTTATACAATAAGTCGTATGTCACTATCGAATTTCAGAATACAGTCGATGGCCCAATGAGAGAACTCGTCTTCGAAAAAAGAAATTCTCTCACTGAACTGTCGACAGCGTTTCGACATCCGATTACGATGTTTAATTCCATACACATGTATGTTTCATACATACCGACATACGGTGTATTGTGTAACAGGCCTAACAGGCCTACGCAAAAAATAGCCAACCACGAGATTACGCCCTCGCGTAATCACCCGCAGACTCACGCAGTCACCTTTCCTTATCGCGCAGACGCAACCGGCGATTACCGAACCACATCGTTTTAAACAATGCGAAACGTGAGTAACTGTTGTTCACACACACAATAGAGGATATACTCGAGATTGCGAGAAATGGAATTATTTCAGTTGCCGTACGACGTTACTTCGGCCGTTATCTAATGCGCCCAGTTACGATTGTTTAACTAATGTAATCTGAACGGCGATCATATAATTTTTCCCTAGGACGGAAATGTGTGAAGTGATCATTCCAATGTTCTCAAATTAGAACATTTTTATTTTTCGCGAGTTTCTTACGCTAGAGGAAAAATTCATGACCCGCTCGAAAGTCGATCGTGAATCTTTTTCTCTAGCACGCTGGAAAAAGGATTTAATTACTATAACCAAATCATTTAGTTGAAACTAAGTCACAAAATGACTTTTGGTAATTGTTATTGAATTCTTCTTCCATTTAAATGTATGTTTGAACGCATGCATTTTTAATAGCTTGGGTAATAGTTTTTTGTCTTAGAACATATCGTGCAGAAATAAATGAGCGTCGCAAAAAAGCGATTACGCGCGACTAACGTACTTTTAATGATGCGATTAATCGCGTATGTTCTTTCTGACCGACTAATTTTCTCCGCGAGGTCTCCGGGGCAACAATGTCCAGCATAATTGCCGGGCACAGCGGTTATCAGCCATGCGCATATCGGTCTTGATGTTCGAATAGTCGTCATCGCGAAAACTCGTGCGAAAATTATGTCGCGACTGATCTCATTTTTGTACTTACGATATTGTACTCGCGATTTTCTTGCGATGTATTGTTAGTCTTCATAGGACCGGTTTTTCATTTTCCGCTTAACTTGTAGTTTAGGCTTAATTTGATAACGTACAAATTATGTTTTCCTATTCATGGTAAATCAAAGTTATTAATTAAATTTATTAATTAATCTATTAACTATGAATAGAAGGATACCATTTTTTCATTATCGTCAGTTTAACTTTAAGCCGCAAGTTAACCAGAAAACGAAAAACCGGTTTTTAAAGATCCTCTTTGATTCAATCAATCAAAATTTACGCACGTCGACTTTTTTCTAAGATGTTATCGTTAAAGATTGAATTTTTTGAATAAGTTACCTCGTTTATTTTTATTTAATCTTTAAATTTGCAATGCGACGGGTCACTGAAATTTAAAAGAGAAATTCTCGCAGTGACTGAGAGCTGCTGGATTTAACGTGTCATTGCGTTATTGACTGTGACGAACGGAACCACGACACGATTAACTAACGAAATGAATTCACGGCGATTCAGGCGATCAAATCGATGGATGTCTTTATGTCTTTATATCTTCGTGAAAATTAACCCGAATTATTCCAAAACGCGCGAAGCATCTCAAGAGAATATCCCTATTATTATTATTATTATTAATTTGCACTCCTAATTAATTCGTAATCCCTTCTAACAAGGCAACTGTGTCGTTGTTAAGTCAGGTTATGAGCAACTAACATTAGATGCCTGATCCTCGTCGTTAATTATAGCCTTGTTTCAGGTTTAAGAAATATTATGCAGAATAAAGTGATATTACACAATTATAGTGGTTTATAATTAATCTGCCATCTCGGGGAAGGTAAATTCGGGTCAGCGGAAGGAAGATAGAAACTTCGCCAGAACGCAACTGTAAATTATACTATAAATCATCGATCGTATCGTCAACTTCAGTTCTCGAGATCATTATATAATAATAATAATAATAATAGTAACAACAACAACAATAATAATAATGATAATAATGTGCTTATTATATAACTTTATGCTGCGCCCTCTCTCTCTCCTCTCGCGTCTATCTACGTATTATGCAACAATACGCGGGAGAGTCTGATGAATACCTAGACGACCAGCGACGGCACGGAGTCGCAGGCACGTGGCATGCCACGTGCGCCAGTGTTTACACGGCACGGCTGTGTGCGTGTCGCGATCGGGACTTGCTCGTAACCGACTTTAACTACTTATTTTATGCGTTTGCAACGACGGTTACGCTGCGATTGTGCCCGGTGGTGATCACGAACGTATGCGTGATCGCACTCACCGTTGTCGCGGAAGTCCCGCAAGCGAAATGTTCGCACAGTTATTTATTTAATTGTGCTGCGCCGAGAGAGGCAAATCCTCGTCGAACAAAATCAACACGAGGAGCAGAAGGGTGAAGAATTGGACTCGTTCATCTCGGGACGTCGCGACGAGAACGTTTCGATATGAGGATTCATAGTAAAACAGAACAGAAATATCCAATAAGTCGCAAATTATACTTCAATTGAGCTAATAGAAATGCACACATAATAGAAAATGATAAATATTTAAATATATGTATATTTATATATAACGCGGGTATTACTCGTAAATTGTAAATTTCCTATGGATATATTTTCAGGACAAAATGGTCAATAATTCTGAAATTTTTGTACAATGTATATTAGTTCTTAATATCACAGTTTTTCACTTTAACCCTAAATACGGTTTATTTTAAATAAATTACCCTAAATATAATTTAAATTAAATAAATTTAAATTAAATAAAACAGAAGGTTAAAAATATGACATTAATCTCAAGGAACGCGTAAAGAAAAATGTCTTTAGTTGTGAATATTTCAGCTTTCAAATGGTCAATTGTTTTTTAACCGTGCAAACGTGTACATAATATTTTTATCAATAACAGCTAAAACTTTGAAACGATTCCTAAGAAAACGACTTGACGGATGAACTACCTCGAAATAAGCAACGTAGCGATGGGGAAGATAGGTTATGAAACGGTGCCAAGGACCCTGCTCTTCGGGTGACATAAATGATTCGATTATTAAAATCTGATCACGCTACGACGCAAATAGACGTTTCGAATTACATGTGTACCGAAAGTAATCGCGAGATTAACAGAATCGGATTACAGGCATAGTCGATCGGATCAGTAGGATATTATCTTTTAAAATTAACCCGACCGTGAGACGCTTGGAAGCAAGGAGGACCTTCCTCATGGATAACGATCTTCGACGGAGGAGGAGCTTGGGAAAGGTCGTCGCGCGCGCGAAGGAGAGATCGCCCTTTAAATAAATCACTCCTTCGCACACCTGGTGACCTTTCTCCAAGATCGCCGTCGATCGATCCTCCGTCGCTCACTTCCGTCTCCGAGCTTTTCCTCTCGACTGGCGAGGTCGAGGTGCAGGAGAGCGGAAATACATTTGGCTATTCTCAACGTGGTCAACTAAATTTTCGTCTTTTCAGCGTAATCAACAACAGTTTCGTGCGTGCACTACAGTAAATAGTCGTGGTATTAAAAATCGCATAAAAAAAAATAGTTTTAAACAAATGACGGATGTATCACATTTGCACGCGTTCGTTCGTTCGTTCGTTTATTTGTTCATTTGATCGGCTCCACGTGTTATATACACACAACTACTCGCTTTCCCGGGGAACGAATTTAATATTAATTAATTCGACAATGAAGAGAATTCGATAATCTCGCGCATAGGAAAGGCAGAATTCAAACCTCGGCACGATTTTTAATCTCGTCACAATTCCCAGATTGATATACGCGTTATAAACGAAATGTTCTTCTCTTTCAATTATTTACCGTTCGGTTAATTTTTTAGAAACTTTGTCGAATCTTTTTGAAATTTGAGATTTGGGTAAATGATCGATTAATTTTTACAAAAAGCGACTCACCTGGATCCGAAGGTCGAAGGATGCCTGCCGCAATAGCCGCTGCTTTCGGAGCGATTGCTGTTCCTCGAGATCGAGCTGTCGCTACTGTAAACAAATAATACTCAGAATTAGGATCATTCTCTAAATTGATGTGCAGAATCGTTATATCGCGGTCTTCCGTGTCTATTTATGACAGGCGCAAGACACCCTATATCAAATTTGACGAACTACTGCGCGTCCGACTTTGCCCCGACGTTTCCACTGATGCTGTTATTATCGCGGACGGTCTCAAACGGGACATTTACATTAATAAGAGGCGCTTCCGTAACGTAGTCGTCCACGTGCGGCTAATAATAATCGTCAGTATTTTTCATTTTTTCTGCAAAGTTAACGTCTTATTGCTTGCACAGAATTATATCATAAATGCTTTTATATAATGACAGTACGCGCGAACATAAATTGGAGCATTGCTCAACATGTGGCGGAAATGATAAAAAATTTCAAAATTATATCTCTAAACAGTTAGCGTAAATATTTACTTGACAGATATCTTGCAGCTTTTATATATCGAATGTGTCGATACTCTAATCAGGAAAATTGCAAAGAACACTTTCATATCTTCTCAATGAAATTTAAAAAATCCAAAAGGATACGAAAAGTTTGTAAAAAAAATTTTTAGACCTGAGATTAGATTTTCTGTTAAATTCGATCAGACAGAATTGTATATTCATCGCGTTCACATTTATGTCGCATTTACACTTACGTAAGATCTGTATGTACGAAAAATATAAAAAGGATAGCGTGATCGTGTCAGTGTTTACGCAACATAACATTTTGAGGGTCGCTTCTGAGTTATCGACGATTATCAAGTTCGTTATTGGCTTTGGTCGAAAATTCATCATCTCGTTAAATTTGCGGAAATCTCGAGAAATCTGGCGACGTCGCGGCATCGCTCTACAAAGTAACCGATTCGACGATACGGTAACGCTCGCCAAATGGCAAATTATCCGAGAAGAGTTTCGCAACGTTCGCCGTAATGGGGTCAATCTCGCCGATTCTCGCCGCAGGCTTCTTTCCGCCCTTTCCGCCGCGCTCGATTCGGCGTGACGCCGTGCAATGCGCGCGTAGTTGCAAAATCCGCGACACGGTGATCTCGCAACGGCCTCGGCCTATCTAACCATGATGTCGTCGGGAAAATCACGCGAATCGAAATCGCGACTAACAACCGGTCCCAGCTGGAAAAAAGCCCGCGATCACATGTTCGGCAAACGTGACGGCCCTAACACGCAGCCTCTCGGGCCTTTCACTGTCCTCATTATTCGCCGATCGACCGACAGACCGACCGACCGACCTACCGAACAGACGGTCAATCAGTTGGCCGCATTTATCGCCGGAGCCCTGCACGGCTGGAAAAAGTTATTGCATAAGAAGGCGCACCGCTTCACGTTCGCGGCCTCGTGACTACCGCGGGACCGACGACAGCGGCGGCGGCAACGGCGGTGTCTATCAAGATTCCGTTCACCGATTTGCGCTCGGGACTTATCCGGGACGCGAGAAAATGGGGAACGGTAGCCCCTTCCCAGCCGACGAAATATACGCGCCCTCGATCGCGGTGTTGTTATTATGCAAAAATCTGAGCCGGTCTACCACGTAGAGTAGTTTGGTCTCTCTAAATACCACGTGTTACGCGCGGTTTCACGTTGCCGACTTGATTATAACGCGCAACACATTCGATTACGTTGTTACCTCGATATGCTTGGAAACGAGGAATTGTCAAAACGATCAGACAGTGTTCACGCGTTGGAGAGTCATCCGAATTCAAAAGTATTGCAGTTTCCCGATTAGCTCGTAACAACTGCCGTTCAACAGTCGCGACAAAATTCGTTACTGCGCTTTTAAAATCAATTGGACTTTCGAGAATGAGGGATTCGGACTTTTCGTTCACTTATTTAATTTTCAGCTACGGGTAATTTATTTCCCCGAGACTCGCATTATATTTTTATTCCAAAACGATATTCTAATAATATTTAATAATTAATAACAATAATCTTTATTAACGTAAGAAGGCCTTTAGTTTCATGGCAACCGTTAAAATTCTCTCTCGCGTTTCTCTCTTTTCTCGCAGCTGGTACAAGGATCCTTCGCATCGATCCGATTCGAGACAAATACCAGCCTCCGGCGGTTCTTATTAAGCCCCAGTAAAGACGTATAATTAAAGAACGCGGATGTCGGAAGCCACGCGACGACACGTGAGATATGTATTTAGAATATCAGAGTATAGAATATAGAGCGAGTGTATTTTATCTTTAGAGCATATACAAATTATTTCCGATCTATTACTATTATATAATATAATTAATCATAACATCAAGAGAGAGAAGGAGAGAGAGAGCCCTTGAATGTTTATGTTTGTAGGATGTAATGTCCCTAGTAGTTGTTTCAGAAAGTATCTTGCTTTTTTCCATTTTATTTCATAAAACGCTTTATGGGATATTTAAACTTATTAATCGATTGTGCACATTAGGTAGTGATATTTCTATAACAATATTGACTTCTTTAACATATCGTAGAAACATACTAACTGATATGCTTGCAAAATCGTAAATGCTTCATATCTCGTTTAGATTTATCGTCTATGCAAGTTAAATATATTATTTACTTTTTATATCGTAAAAAAGAGAATAATTATACTTACGTTTACTTAATAAAATAATAATAATTATACCGACCGCAATCGGGGCGATTTGTTTACGGTGTGCGCACGTGCGGATGCGATCCGCATGTACACGTATACATGTCGCATCGTACAATTCGGTACGGAATCGATTTACGACGCCCACGATGTCCGAGTAATTACCCCCGGAGAATTGTCCGTTATCCACGACGCTTACGCACGCATGCCGTCGTCTATTCGTGACGTCTCCATTGAAATATATTCGTCTGTATGTCTCGACCGGAAATATATTTTTGCGACTATAATAGCTCGTCCAAGTGCCAAGATACGGTTACACCGCACTGAAAAAAGAATTTGAACTGAATATACGGGGTAGTGCGAGCCAAATAACTATTAAGATATAATTTGACTAGATAAAGAAAATATGTAATTCCAAAAACCAAAATTTAGCCGCTTGAATTACACATTTAGGTCATCAAATGAAACTTTCGAAATTAATGCAAAATTTTGATAATGTTCGATAACTATTACTAAACATATAATTTAAAATTTCCATTCGGGATCCCCCGTCCCATTCGAGTAGACTTTGAATGAAACCGTGCCATTTAGGAATGGTTTTCCCGTAAACTGTATAAACGCGAGAATAAATGTTTTTTATTATTTTTACTTATATAAAATATTTAATTTAATATTTTGTATTTAAAACGAATTTAAAACGTATCGGATTTTGAACGTGGCCAAAGCGGCTTCGCATGTGAACTCGCATTAACCGCTGCAGTCGCGTTGCGCTGTCACGTGGCGAAGGGAGCGATTGCGAATCGATCAACACCTCCTTTTCGTTCGACCTGTTTTCGCGGGGAGAGTTTCACAACGCTGCCGTAGCCGCATTAGCTAAGGACGTGGAAATGCAACCGGCGCACACATCGCGCCGGGAAACCGGTTAGCCTTAACCGCGCTGTACGATTTTCTGTCTCTCTCTCTCTCTCATGCGCTGCACTATTCGCTCTGGCCTATCGCCGTCACGCGCGGTGGAAAGCATGTCAATGCCAAGTATCCCGAGGGCTACCGCGAACTACGCATAATATTTACGATAATTAGGCATTTCTCCCGCTGCAATTTTAAATCGTCTCGACTGTTGACTGCATTTGAATGAAGTATAAAAAGAAAAGAAATTTTTAATTACCGAATATCCTCGTAATTCTCCTCAATTTCAGCGCGCAATCTTCGCGCGGAACGCTCATCCCGAGTTATGTCATTTTCATATTGCGTAAATGAACTGTAAAAAAAATAGCACGGGTGGATGAATATGTTTATTTCGTTCTCGTACATACATCCGTACGAGTTTATAAACATTGAAAGTTGCGAGGGATCGAAACCTCGAGAGCTGAATAAGAAGGCATCCCGTCCAAAAAGTGGGAAGGTCCAGTTTCGATTCCTGGCTGAGATAGTATTCTCTAGCTTTCTATACGCAAAGTCTCGGACCTACCAACGTGCCTATCGATCTGTATAATATGCACGAGGGATGACAATGGTCAGGACATTGGTAACGTATATATAGGCCACGCAGGAGCCAAACAATGTTTTAAATCGGTAATTCCGATTATATAAGCGTCAAGCGGCTAGCTCACCGAGGAACAGGTCGGTTTTAATGGTCGTAAGATTAACTAATCGCTCCACGTGATCCCGCGATCGGACATGTACGAATAGCGCACATGGTAACGTTATTAATTAATATTTCAGCTTAACCCTTTCACTCACATCTCGCGGGGAGAGCAGGTGGCCCAACTACTTGTCTTAGCGTACCTGCGAAAATTCCCCCTGTGAAAATATCTTTCGTAATGACATTGCGATATTTCATTCCGCTAGACTTTCGAAAGCTGAATGTATGCTGAGGCAAGAAAGCGCGAGAGAGTTAAAATGCTCGTTGCAAATGCATTTACTAAGCGACGTCACGCGAAAAACTCAACCTACTATGAGCTGGATGGACAAACGAGGAAAAAATAATTTTTTTAATTTGCTGTCGGAGAAAAAAATCGGAGAAAAAAATCGTCGAGAATGTCGATACAACGTATCGACATGTATCGTCATTTCCGACATTTACATGCGAGCAAACAGTCACGTAAAAAATATGACCTTCGAACTTCTCGCGTTTTGATCGTGAAAGAGGGTGAACTGATTAATTACGTTGTTTTTGTTCGTATATTCGCGGACACATTTTTTGGAAGAATTATATTTATATAAATTCTGTTGGTGATTTAACTATATATAGAACAGACCTTTAACACGTTAAATGTTGCGTGGACTATCGGTGACTTATATTGGACTTTCCGTTCATTTGAAAATTTCGCTATAAGAAGAAACATTATCATGAAGTACTTCATAATAATCATTGAATTATACATAATTATTATGTATGATGCAATTATCATAACCTGTAGGTAATCGATGAGTTACGCAGTACAAATGAGACGATTTTTATTCATTAGATGTTGTAATGTTTATGTAAGATACAATTAATTCTATTCCAGTTATTGAATTTAATAAATAATTAGTTGTACTTAACACAGTGCGAAGGCTTTGAGAATCATAATTTATTTCATATAGTTACGGGATAACGAGAAGCATCATGAACCAATAAAAAGAAAAAAAAGCAAACTGTGTTTTTTATAGCGCATATTTTACGTTACTTCTTTCTCTTCATAATAATGATTTTTCTATAATCTTACAAATATAAGATATATTTTTCAAAGATATATAATAAATATGCGGTAACATGGATCATCGATAGCCCACGTAGCACGAATGGAAAGTCACGTGGAATTGACGCGGCACTCAATGTGTTAACTCAGCGTGGCTACATCGCAGTTGTTTTAATTATTACATTATTGTGGGAGGATATATTGTTCAATGTATAATAACGCACACACTGGATAATTCTCCGGATAAACGTATGTGGTGAATTATAGAGGCGGAGAGATCAAGGTTCAATTCTTGACTGAGACAATATTACAAGTAATCTTACAGTAAATAATATAACAAATTGAATCGTGATTACTTTAAAATCACTGTTTTTTAGTTGAACCACTTGCACTAGTTCAAGAAATTTACGCACACTGAAACATGAGGATCTCGTACGTACGCTTCATACGCTTCAATGTGTATGTAAATTTCCGCAATTAATGCAGCCAGTTTAGCGAAAAAGAACAGATCATACACTGAGAAAAAGTGCTACATTCAAGTAAATAATTACTCCAATAGTTCGAAACAAATTTCTCACTTGACTTAAGTAAATTTCACTTGAATCAAGTAAATATATATTACTTGGGTGTAACCAAAAAGTGCTAAGTAATATTTACTTGATCGAAATAAAAATTTGTTCAGAATTGTCGGAGTAATTGTTTACTTAAATATAGCATTTTGTTTTCAGCGTATAACTCAAACGCGAAAAGATCGTACTCACCTGCGTCGCGATTGGCTGTTGCTGCAAGTGTTGGAATATCCCGAGTCCGACACCTTGGCGTTTTCCATGGACACCTCCTCCATCGTGCATTCTCTGCGCATATTTCCTTCTCGAATCGACAATTCCATCGGAAACGCTCCACAAAAAACTCTCTCTCGCTCGTCCTCTCTCTCTCTCTCTCTCTTTCCTTCTCTATCCTATCCTCTCAATTTCTTTCACGTACGCACGCACACGCACTCGCGTTAAGTTACCGGCGCGCAGTTCATCTTATTCCGTTCGCTCTGACCGAAATTGTCGAAAGGGGTAAACGAAATTCCTTTACGTTCGTGACGTTTGAACGTTGAGATTGTTTACTTGCGCGGCAATGACGACAATGAAACGTATTGCTCGACGCTGACGGTTTCCACGCGGACTGAGCGGCTCGAGTCGACGCCGCAATGATCGGTCTGAAGTGCGCCGCGGTATGAGCTGCACGTTCCGAGACATGTGAGCGCGAAACCGCGCTCATCCCCGCCACCTGTGCCTTCGGTGGCTGTAATCTATATCGGGGCAAAGAGTATCCCAATGCACTCCGCGAGATCGCGATCGAAGTGGAACCGCGCGTTAACGTCCCACCGGTTAACCCTGCTGATCTCGTTTAATCCTTTTAACCCTTTCGCACGTAAATAGTAGGGAGATTTTTTTAAGTCTCAAAATCGATAAGTATGATAAACAAATTGTCATCGTCACGTTGTCGCATTGCTTCCACATTTAATTTCTTGTAATTACTTCTTATTTAACTTATGTTAATTTAATGCCCTGTTTCGTTTTATGATATAATAATTGTTTCAACAATGATAAGAGACCTGTCTTGAAAGGAAAACGCTGATGTCTACTTCCTCAGTTTCGGAAAGTAAGGAATAATTAAAAATCAATATCGCTCTCTCTCTCTCTCTTTCTTTCTTTTGCGTTAAATAAAAAAATGGATATATGGCCGTGCCTCTACTACTATTCCTCAACTCTATGTCCGACTTTGGACTTATCATGTCAAAGGCTCGTATTCTGAACTATCTTTTATCGATAAAAGTATCTTAAATGTGGCTTCTCAGCCAATTAGGGGGTTTCTAAACCACTTTTAGAAGCACTTTTATCGAGTATACAGGCTAAACTGTCTATGTTCGAATGTACGTTTACAGTTACGCTCTTGGAAGGACGATATTTTTTCGCAGTGACGGGTTAAACTACTTAAAGGATTATATTTATATAGGCTCTGTTGATAATTATCACATCGACATAGAACGAGCCTTTAAGAGCTGCAGTTGTTTTAATGACGTTATTAAATTATTACGAGGAGATATGTTGTTCAGCGTGTAATGACGCACGCATCGAATAATTCTCCTAAACGTAATCGTTCACGGGGAATCGTACTTTCCACGAACAGATTCTAAGCTATATATATGTATATATTGAACTTCTTAAAATAATACAAAAAAATTGTAATTATTCAAACGTCTTAAAGACGTTTTTTAAAGAACTTTCAAAGATATAAAAATAAAGTTGTTTTATGCATCGATTTTGGACATTTGCTCATTGAGTTAAGATAGTCTCAAGAGAAAACCGATGTCTCCGATTTGCAAAACCGAACGCAGCTAAAAATTTAATAACATCGTTAACAACCGCAATTTGGGTCTTAAAAGCCCGTTCTATTTCTATATGATAAAGTCGCTTGTGAATATCGTCAAATTATGGATTTAGGAATTTTTTATCAGAATATATTATCGCCAATTTAAATAATTAACACAAGATTCTTAAGAATAGAAAGGCAATACGTCACTGCTCGTTTAATTATAAAATGGATGCGATGTACAAGGCACAGAATCTCGTTCACAAACGCACGCACAAATGACATACAATCGGGAGAGCTGTATAAAAACAAATTAATTTAATATATACTTCGTGTATATATACACATATATACACACATATATACATATACATATATATATATATATATATATAATCGTAAAAACATTATAATAATCTTACGTCGCTAGAAATGGTATCACAGTCATCAGGTACGGCGCTTCATGGAATCCTCGCGGTATCCTGAAAGCGAGAAGAACATATGTCAGACCAAGACAGACAATCGGTTCAACCACGTGACAATAATCGTACACTTCCGTTCCATAAGCAGTGAGAATAAAAAAAAAAAAATCAAGTGAAATAGTCGGTGTGGGGTTTTTGCGTATTCCATGTGTATTTGATATTTTCAAAAAGAAAAACGAAAAACAAGTCAGTTACAGTCTCCTGGAACATTATTCGGTACAGTCATAGAGTGAGAGTCTAACGCAACGGTGGTACAAAAGTGTCCATCATAAAACGTTTATGTTGTGCGTCGATCACTAGTGTGTGACGAGGTTTTGTGATGGTGGATAATTAAGTATCGGTTTACCAGGAAAAAAATGGTCTTCTCCCTTTCTCTCTCTCTCTCTCTCTCTCTCTCAATACTGTAAACAGTAAGCCTACGCTGCTAGGCATAAAGAATGTTATACACGTCGGCGGTACTTCCATATATTCGTATATCAATCGTTTCCAAAACAAGATGTACCCGCGTGCTTTGTTAGAGACCATCGACGGTACAGTTAATATTGCACTTCGTCGAATGATGGAATTTTTTATAAAATTTAGTAACCGTATTAAAACTCGATCGATGTCGGCGAGATGATCGATACAAATTTGTCGACGAGTCCTCGATCGCTATTGACAAAAAATATCTTGTATGAAACGAGCAATGCTCGCTAAATCTTTATTACCTCAAAATTCGAATGATGACATTTTGCGTAAAAGGTACATATAATTCAAAAGCACGAATATATTACAATGTTCGTGAAACATATCGTGAAACGTATCGATAAATCCAAATTTTTCGAATGTGATCATGCGAAATAACACGTGTATGTAATTCTTTTTTTATCGAAAAAGTACGAAATATTCTGGCATGTGTTGCAACGATTCCGTATGAAGTGGATATTTGTACTGATATTTCAAGGATATACCTTGTTTTGGAGAGTTACTACTGTTCCTTCATCCATAATCATTTTAACACTGATCGTTGTGAAAATGGTCAATGTTGTGTAAAATACAAGTAACTTTGCTTCCTTTTTATACGCAATACAACTAAAAGACAAGTACATGGTGTTCGAAAATTTAATTATATAAATAAAAGATCTCTTCGCTAAACCTAGGGCACAGGTTAATTCCTAAAATAAGCCTGTGCGAACAGGTGGTATTAACAACACATTTCTTGCACGATAAGAACGCTCATTACATTACAATAATCACTTAATGTACGTGTCTCGTTTCTCTTCACTTTATATACAATATAAAGTTAAATTGAACGTAAAGAAAATACAACGAATTATTGTATTTTTACAATTAATCGAACGATTAACCGATCGTATATTTTTTGCTAAGTATATCGTTCTTATGGAATTGAGTTGAAACGTCTCTATTTCAACTACTCGGATAATTAACTATATGATGATATCAACAGTAACCAGCTGACAATAATCAACATATCTAACAAAGAATGAAACTAGAAAACAAGCACGGTTTTAACCAAGAAATGAGATTTACACACACTTCCTAGAGGTACACAATAACGAACGAACGCTCGAATATTAACCCTTCGCACAGGCCTCTTATAAAGTAACCGAAACGGGACGTCACGCGCGTGATGTGTCGTGTGTGAACGAACATGTAAGAGGACAAAAGTAGTGGTAATAGAGTAGTAGTAGTAGTAGTAATAGAATAGTAGAGTAGTAGTGGTAGTAGTAGTAGAGTAGTAGTAATAGTAGCAGTAGTAGTTGTTGTAGTAGCAGTAGTAGTGTAGTAGTAAGTAGTAGTAGTAGAGTAGCAGTTAAAGTTTCAGTAACGTTGAAGTTGCGAACGTAAGCGAACAGTTAAATAGGTAGGTAGTTGGAGTAGTTTCCCTGGATGCCAGGCCCTTCACGTGGTCAAGTGAGTCTTTAAATTCGTCTCTTTTTGTTGCGTGCGTCCGGCTTGTGTATACCAGTCAGTCTGTGAAGACAAATAGAAAAATTACATTTTCTCCTGCCGTTTCTTAAACCCCCAGACCCCCCACCCCCTGCCCCGAGGAGGTAGAGAGTGATAACGTCAGTAAAAACGTCAAGGTGTATTGCAACTATTACAAAGAAAATAACGCCTCTTTCTTTCTTTCTCTCTCTCTCTCTCTCTCTCTCTCTCTCTCTCTCTCTTTCATATACTTTCTCACTTTCTCTCGCTCTTCGCACCATCGCGCTTAACGTCGTTTACTTACGAGTTACTCGTGTAAGAACGATCTCTGACTCAATTCTCGTCCTCGTCCATTCTTAATCTCTTTCGGCGATCTTCACCAACATTTCGCTCCTCCGCCTCCAGTACTTTCAAACGCGAACCGCAGATCTCTTGGCCGTGCAACATCTACGGTACATTTCCCCTCTTATAAAGCATCTGCGATACGCTCGTACAATAGATGCATCGTAAAGGTGAACATTCACTGGGCGAATGAGCAACGAACGAATAGTGAATATGCAATATGAATGTATACAGGGTGTTCTAGATTAATATAGACAAACTTCGCAAGAAAACAGATTAAGATGAACAAAAGAAAAGTCCTCTACTATTTTGCAAACGACACACAAAATTTTGAATTATTAATGATTGAAAATAGCCATATGGAGACTTCTTTAATTAATAACTCAAGAATTTGCGTGTTATCTGCATAATGGTAAAGGACTTTTTGTTTAGAGTGGTTTAATCTGCAAGTCATCAATATATTGAACCTGAAACCTGTCGCTAGGTTAACAGCTATCATATATTTGTAGGCCTCACGAAGTTTGTCCATGTTGATCTAGAATATCCTGTATATTCACGTCTAAGTGCGCGCGAATTTTCTTCGATGAAGCGCCTTATAAACACATTATGAGCAAATCGACCTGAAACATTCCGTTTGGATTCATTATGACATACGTATCTTCCAAATTGTAACACCCAAAGATTGCTGTTCATTCGTTTAGTGTATATCCAACTGAACGAGCATAGTATCAAAGTAAAGCGGACCATACCTCAATAGCCTCGTTCGCGCTGTCGACGGTAGCGTATTTGGCGTAGCCACAATTTTTGCCGGGTAACATATATACATCGATGAGATTTCCAAACCTACAGAACGCGTCCTTCATGGCGTAAATGGGTGGCACAGGTGGACCGCAAACGATGAAGCATCTCTTGGCTACCTCGGCGTCTATACTCGCCATCGGCTGCACTGGAGGTAGTTTCACGCACATCGTGTGCTCTAAACCTGAAGCAGGAAGCGCAACGAGGATCAACACGCGTACATATTCTTCCCTCGATACATTGAGCATGCAGAAGATTTGTTTATTTACTCGGTGCCGTTAATCCCGCAGCCTGAATCAGCGACGTAGCTTGAGCAATCGTCTCCGCCAGATGCGCCAGGTCCGTTCTCGCGCTGGCGGTACTGCCGGTGGTAGAGCCGCCTGGTTTCGACGTGCTTTTCGACGGTGCGCCCGTCATATCTGGTTTGACGATCATCCGATGACCGGGCGGGTATTCGAATCCGTGAAACTTTTCGCGCGCATAAGCCGCCGCACTGGGATTATTGTACACCACTACGGCCTGACCCCGCGGCATCCGGTATCTCACGTCGGTCTTCAGGTGACAGTAGTCCATACCAGGCACAATATCGAACAATTTCCACAGCTGATCCTGATTCAAGGCTGGGTGGGCGATCACCTGCAGACGAGTGTAGCCTTCCGAGTTGGGGTAGTTCGTGGCGATCTCCAGACTGATGCTGCTCTTGCCGAAGTTTGAGGACGCGTACGTACTGGTAGAGCCATCGTAAGAGGTAGACAGTCCGTTATTATACTTGACGTCATTGTGATCGGGTTTTGGCTTCTTCGGCTCGGCGAAGACCGCCTTGTACTTTCGATCGCACTCCTCGAACGCCCTGGCGGCGCTGGACACCTTCTTGAACTTCACATAGCCGAAGCCCTTAGACTCGTTTGTGCTACGGTCCTTCACCACAGTGGCGTACTCGATGGCGCCGAATTTGGAGAACTCCTGTTGCAGCTCACTGTCGGACATCGTCTTTGGCAATACACAGAACAAACGAACCCACCTCTCCTCCTCGTTCGTCTCTCGCACCGAACCTTGGTCCCGACTGTGGAGCAACAATCGTGTCGTTTGAGAGAACGCTGATTCAGACAAAGTCTGTCGAGGGATTGTCAGTTAGACAAATTAAGTTTAGATAAGAGATGACAGTGGGCTTACTTCGAGGCAATCATCACTTTGATCGGTCTACCGACGGAGCCCAGCATCTTTCCATTCATCTCTTCGAGGGCAAACGCCGCCTCTGACGTTTTGGAGAACTTGATGTACGTAACACCTGAACGCGTAAATAATCAATTAGAAGTCAGCCGTCGATTGACATACACGCGGCACGATGAACATGTGAGAGATGAATTTTTGGATGAAAATAATAATGCGTGACGGAGAGTTAACGTGCGAACTTATCGATTGAAGTTACCCATGCGAAGGCGTATTCACCTTTATTCTCGCCCGTGTTACGGTCCTTAACCACCCAGATGTCTTCGATCTTGCCGAACTTCTCGAAGGCCTTCCTGAGGTCATCCTCCTCCAGACTTTTGTGGCAAATGACAAAGAGTCGCGAGTTCGGCGGATCGTCATTTTTCGAGCGCAGGTCTGTTTGCGAATAGTATGAATCCCGTTCCCTGTGATCAGCCATTTTGCAAATGAACACACTGCCGTAAAGCGCGTCGTCTACGGTCACCGGTCGGCCGACGAGCCTCAGGATCGTAAAAAAGAGGTGCCTACTTAATGTCACTCTCTCCCTCCACAATTTCCACGTGCGATCTCTGTTTTCTATAATCTCTTAAAATTTACACCGTTCAAAATGAAATAAATATATATCTCGAGACTTAGAATAGAACAGAGAGAGAGAGAGAGAGAAAGGGAGGGAAAATTTGCAAGGAAGCTCGAAAAAAACGCGACCAGGAAGAACGTACCGCCCTAATCGTAAGATGAACTTTAACATCTTTTTTTTCTTTGTGATTAGTATTCATAAGTAAATGATAAACAACTGAAACTTAAAAGAAAAAAATTACACATACATGAGTTTTTGCATTTAGTTTTTTATATTCTTTTTTACGTCGGCATACATGCAATATCAATATTTTTTTTTCGAGGAACATGATATTTGAAATTCAAGGCCGCCTGGAGTTATTTAAAAATGTGTTGCGAAAGTATCTTGAATAGATTTAAAACGTGTTAATATTCATCGAGGCTGTATCGAACGCGTCGAATTTTCATGAATTTGAATGCATTCTTGTGCAGGAGAGCGACACAAAAAAAGTAATAATAATAATAATAATAATAATAATAATAATAATAATAATGTGTTTGGAAAGCACGCGAGTGAATGTCGAAATCACGATGTCACGGCAAGAAGCATGAGAAAAATCGGGTCGTCGGTTTGCGCGCAATTACTTCCGAGTCCGTTTCGTAAGTGCAGAACTTGAGTGCGCAATTGAAAGTATCATGCTCCAATATCCTCGCGTTCGCATACAGAGAAAGAAAAATGCGGTAATGACGGTTTCGCCGCCGTAATCGGTGACGGTGACGGCGGGCGTTTCACTAATTCAACCGCTCATATTTCTACTTTCTTCCACGACTTCCTACTCCCCTTTTGTCCCCTGTTGTCCGTAAATTCGACGTCGTCAGCGACGAAATTATGTATGCCTGTAGTCACGGTTGTTTCATTCGCGTGTCCATGTGGGAGAAGCCGGAATTCATACGCGAATATCCTTCGACGGCGAATCGTTTCGATCGCACGCCTACGTTGGATTTCGCAGCCGCCACGCAACCGTCTCGTGTACATTGTTATGTAATTCCCCCACCTCCAAACGACTCGCGAGAATTCCGAATCGGTTTCCCAAAATATACACGCAACCTGCATGGAACGTAGAGCGGACCGCGTGTGCGGAAGTGTGCAGCTGACACGGACGTCTCTCGCGGTGCGGTAATTTGATTTTGCAGGAGGAATCCTCTCAAGAAAAATGTCTTACGGTTCAAACTTTGTTGTGTCTATTTCACTATATTAATCAACTTTGTCTCATTTTATCGTGTATAGTTCACCAATGCATCACTATCTTGATAAACTTTGTCTATATATTACATCGTATTTAATATTCATAAAAAATACTTCTCTTTCTCAAGATCTTGTTAAATATATATCACTATATTCGCCGTTAAAATATCTTGAGAATAATTTATGAAGACATATTCGTCACAAGGGAAACAAAAGAAGAGAGCGTGAAATAAGACGCGGTGATGTAGAGATATGCAAAAGAAATAGTCTTATATATATAAATCAATGATAGGTATTCTCATATATAAGCAAGAATATTAATAATAATATTAATAATATATATAATAATATTCTTAGAAGATTTTTAGTCTTGAATTGAGAGTGCAAGTAATATTTTCAATACAAATTTAATCAAATTAAGGCCAAAAATCTTCTAAGATTATAAGATTCTTGCTCATTCATGAGAATATCTATCATTGATTTAAGATTAATTTTCTTTTTTCGTATAGGTTTGTAATATTTTGTACTTTTCAGCATAGAAAAGAGACGCATATCGAGTTGTATTACAGTTACGTAACTATCGAACTTATTCACATAATTTCCCCGCACCGTTGTACATTTGTGGCGGAAACGCTAGCGCCGAAGATCGTGATGGGTCGAGTTCATGCTTCGTACGTGGAAGCCGACACTTTACCGCCGTGCCCGGTCCAATTCGTGTGAACGAACTTGCCCTCTTGGCCGAGCAGCTCATAAGTATGAGCGCCGAAGTAATCTCGTTGAGCCTGCAGTAAATTTGCCGGTAATCGAGCGGTCCTATAGCCATCATAGAAAGCCAGAGCAGTCGATAGAGCGGGGGTCGGTATGCCAAGTGTCACGGCCGTAGAGACGACCACTCTCGCGCTCTGGTGGCACTCTTTCATAGCCTTGGCGAAGAAGTCGTCCAATAATAGGTTGGATAATTTTGGATTTTTGTCGAATGCCGCTTTTATATTACCCAGGAACGCACTGTGAACCGAAATATTTCTGTAATGTCATCATAGGATTTGATTCATCCTGTGTGTTTGAATCTTAGAGACACCAACGTTTAACTTCTATATCTTCCTTACAACGCCGCTGATACTTAAATATAGAGCGTTATTTCGCGACGAGAGCGAAAGCTCGGTGTTTTAAAGTGAATATCCAGTGAACACCAACTAACAGTAACGTAACATCAATGTTATAATTTCTCATTCGGCAATATAAATGCATTATAATGTATCATGTAACAGTTACATTGTTGAATGGTAAATTATAACATTGATGTTTATTACTATTAGTTGGTGTTTACTGGGTATACACTGAGTGAGTGAACAACGAACGAACAGTGAATGTGTAATATGAATGTATATATTCGCGTCTAAACGTGTGCGATATTTTTTTGATAAACCACCTTATGAGCAAATTGGCCCGAAATGTTCGGATTCGTTATTACGAATTCGGCTTACACATTTCCCAAATTGTAACAACGGAAGTTTGCATTCGTCATTCGTTCCTTATTCGCTTGCTCGGTGAATGCTCAGCTTTAAAGAAGGAAAAAAGAAGAGTGCTATCTGCGAGGCTTCGTGACGTTAGATATGAAACATCCTTGAGACAATCTCCAGCTTTGACACTCGTTTCTTTGCCATTTGCTTTAAAATATGTAGGTCGCATTGAGCAAGAATGCGCGTTATCGACGCGACTGACCGAGATTGAAAGTCACACAAAACTTGCGCATCGACTGCGTTACCTTCTTATGATACATCCGCCCCGCCACATCAGGGCTATCGAACCGTAATTCAAATTCCACTTGTAGAGCTTGGCGGTCTCTCTAAGCAGCATGAAGCCCTGTGCGTACGAGATGATTTTCGCGGCATACAGAGCCTTTCTCAAGTGACTGAGGAACTGCTTCTTGTCGCCTTTGAACGTCTCGTCCGGGCCGGTTAATATCGTGCTCGCCAACTCGCGTTCGCTCTTCAGCGTTGACAGGTACCTGGAGAACACCGATTCACCGATCAGAGTGACCGGCATTCCGTAATCCAACGCGGCGATGGCCGTCCATTTGCCCGTGCCCTTCTGACCCGCCGTGTCCCTGATCCGTTCCAGCAGGTAACCTTTCTCGTCCTTGTACTTCAGTATGTCCCTCGTGATCTCGATCAGAAAGGAGTCCAGCTCGCCTTTATTCCAATCATCGAAAACAGCACTCATCTCATCCTGCGAGAGCTTTAGGCCGTTTCTCATCAGATGATACACCTCGCAGATGATCTGCATGTCGCCGTATTCGATCCCGTTGTGCACCATCTTGACGAAGTGTCCAGCACCGTACTCTCCGACCCAATCGCAGCAGGGCTCTCCGTTGGATTTCGCGCATATCGACTGAAAAGTATCACAATAATGTAGCATACTGCATCTTGTGAATTTTTAATACTTTGAATAACCCTAGACTAGCATTGACATACTTGGAAGATAGGTTTAATGTGCGGCCAAGCTTTAAGATTACCACCAGGCATTAAGGACGGCCCATATCTGGCGCCATCCTCTCCACCGCTAACTCCACTGCCCACAAAGAGAATCTCTTTCTTCTCGAGGTCTCTGGCGCGTCTCTCGCTATCTTGATAAGCTGAGTTACCACCGTCAATGATAATGTCTCCGGGAGAGAGAAGAGGCACTAATAGTTTGATAAATTCATCCACAGCGTCACCAGCTATAAAAAAAAGATGGCATTGTTATCATGACATTTAATACATTTAACATACTGTATAGTTGCATGTACTTTTTATTGCAATAATAAAGAGATTACCTTTAATTAATAACATTACTCTTCTTGGACTCTTCAATTTACTGACCATGTCTTCCAGGCTATTTGCACCAACAACTTTTGTACCCTTGGCTTCATTCTCAAGAAAGGACTTGATTTTGTCTTTCGTACGGTTGTACGCACATACGACAAATCCGTGGTCATTCATGTTTAAAATCAAATTTTGCCCCATAACTGCCAAGCCAATGAGGGCAATATCTGCTACCCTAAAAAGCAAGAAAAATATACATTAATAAAAAAAATAAGAAAAGAAATGCATCTTCTTCATTCATTAATTGATCTCAGTATACAAACATGCAAAGTAAATTGATTTCATATTTCCAAATAGCAATAAAATAAAAGAAATGCTATAAATAAAATACCTCTAGGATAACCTTCACATTGTGCATTAACTAGATCCAACAATAAGTATACGATATATTTGACATTATTATAAGCATATATGACAGAATTCAGCATCTTATAACGAATTCGATTACTTACACTACACTAGATTAGTGCATATTAAAGGTCGTTGCACATAAAAGAATCCAAATACAATAGAGTAATATGAACACTTTGACGATGAAATAATTTATGTAAATTTTACTAAATAACATGACAATGAATTGTCGTTATATTTTATCATTCGAAATGCTTATATGATTTTTTATTAAAATAATTACTTCATGTGTAACAGCTTTAATGTACACCAAACTGGTATAGTGTGGGTGCTCGAATTCGCTATTTCCGAAAATTTGATTTTGACGTATTTTTTACATATGTAAAACTATTGTTCGTTTCTATTCAGTTCAGTTACACTTTCTGCACCTTGTCACTTTCGTTCTCAAACTTGAATATGAACGACTGACTCATTTTTAAATGCAGCTGAAAAGGATAGCGACATGTCTCGTCGCACTACAGAAAATACTCACGGAGCACTGCTCATATTTGCAGACGGCCAATGGACCCAATAGAAGACAAAAAGTAGCTAAAATATATGTAAGATGTTCGGAAGATATATTAGGATGGTCTACCGGAGCAACAAGTGGTCGCACCTTTTCGCTCAGCCCGAGAACATACAATACGTTACGTGTCCTGTTCCACGCATTAGCACGTACAAAAAATGATATAGATGGAGCCTTTAGCGGAAGAGACTGACATCAGATAAGGTAAATATATATACGCCTCGGCTGATTTCGGCCATACGATGCTGCTTTATGTAATTTTTGCGGTTACGTACGCTCATTCTCCCTCTTTTTGCCATTATATCAGCATTCCTGGACTTGAATGTATCGACAGAGGAAGCTACATCTACATATATTTTTCTAATCGATGACCGTGGTTGCATCAGCCGACATGACGGCGGCCAATCAGGGGCCGCGTAAAATCAGCAATTTAATGACAGCAATACCATGTGATACCACTGTATCGTGGTGAACGCGTGCTTATCTAATTTTTTATTGTGACCATATGTCGAGCATACTTATAGGGTGACTTTCACCAAACTCAGATTAGAGCCTTAATAGAATGACTTATTTGTCTTGTAAGATAATGTTTTATATCTTAAATCATAGACCCGTGTTCTGAAATCTCTTTTATTGATAAAAGTGCCTCTGCATATATCTGCATATATATTAAAGTAGCTTAGAAACTACTTGATTAGCTGAGAAGCCACAGTTAAGACACTTTTATCGATAAAAGTGAATTCAAAATATGGACGTTTGTCTTAAATTAAAAAAAAAACCGTCCTGTTTGTGATTGATGATAAATTGTTATATAATAAAAAAATAAATAAGTGATAATTTAGGTAAAGATTTAAGGCACAAAACATTGTCTTAAAATTATAAGTTAACCATTATCCAAAGGTCTTTACTAATCGACGATTTAAAGTTGCTGTCGGTCAGATATCTTCTTTATCTTGCTGATATAAATATAGAAATTATTACCTCCTCGATTATTGTTGAATAACAAGTTAGAGAACTGAATAATTGGCAATTCTTATAGCCATCGATTAGTTTAATTTGAAATGCTGAGTCATCCGAAGACATTTCCTGTTTTGCGCTGTAGAGTGAATATCTTAAAATATTCTTGAATATACTCTCTTGAGAACATTCTTGAGATCCTTGGGTAAGAATACAACGGTTCTATCATCGATAATCTTTGCATTACCAATCATCCAACGAGGAAACAGAGACGTCGATCTTGAACGCTACGTGAAGATCATACTTTCCTGTCGATGTCGTTTCCCCGGTCAACCCGGTCCCACGGTTATTTCGCGTTTCAAGTGTGTTTCGTTTGAATCAGCCGGTAATGGAGTCTGATCGAGCGCGACAACGGCGCCGCCAGTGACGAAAGCGCGGAACGTCGATACTGGCGAGCGCAGCGCCGCGCTCGGGGTGTGCGAACGTTCGTCAATTGTGCATGCAACATGTCGCGCTTCGTTTCGTCGAATTAGGGGAAAGGTGTTCGCATTCTCGCGATATTTCTGCGGTGAGCGTGTATCGCAAGGAACGTGTGAGGCGACGGTTCGGCGTCTGTTTGTGTCTTGACGCGACCATGAGGACGATTTGTACGTCGACGTCGCGTTTATTCCGACGATCCATAGCCGAGGAGGCGAACATAACCCCGAGACAATGAACCGCCCTGTTTCCGAGATACCCTGCTAATCGCGAGCGAAACGGCGAACACAGGTGACATTAAACGGATATTTGGCCGAGGCCGTGTTGAGGTCATCATGGGGCTGCTGTTCGCGAAGCTGTGGAGCTTCTTCGGGAACGAGGGTAATTCTCGCGCGACACTTGTGAAATCGTCACTCGCCCTTTCTTTGCAGACTCTCGCTCGTTTTCTCGCTCTCTCTCTGTCTCTCTCTCTTTCTTTCTCGCCGTCTCTCTGTGCATGAACGTGTGAAAGTATGCGTGCGACAACACGTGCGAGGGAATCAGCACAAAGGGCCCGTGAACGTCAATCATTCGGGGGATCTCCGATGTGGCAATTTAATTAAAGCGGCCGAGCGGATGAAATATTGTACCGACATTATAAAACTCACTGTGCATTCTAAAAATATTCTGATCGCACGGGCTTTCGATAAGATTCGTTTCGCGAAGTTTATTCGCGAGTGTTATTTTAAGCGTCCTTTGGACTGTCGGTCTTGCAAAATCGCGTGGGCTGTTAATTGGATAACAAGAGTGCCCCTCAGAAACTGTAAGGAAATCTTCATAAATGTAGATTGGCCTACTTTCTAATCTTATTAACATATGCTGTCTGTTAATTCCGTGAGATCAGGCAATATATTTATTCATTTACTTTCACTTTCTGTAGCAAATTGAAAATAATGATTCTCTCAATACTCATATATTCTCATCATTACCTTGAGAAACATTATTACTCTAACATTGTAATTTTATTATAACTTATATTTTAAAACATTCTAAGATAATTTTACCCTTCTATAAGAATTTGTCAAAACGGTAATGAGTCATATACATTGATGATTGATAATTGATAATTTACAAATATATTTTTACAACAATAAATGTTATATATGTTATTAAATTAATATCATACAAATATATTAAATAAATATTTACAATTATAATAACCAATAAAATTTGGTTCTTTTCAGAGCATAAAATAGTTATGGTGGGTCTGGATAACGCTGGCAAAACTACGATACTGTATCAGTTCTTAATGAATGAGGTTGTCCATACTTCCCCGACCATTGGCTCCAACGTGGAGGAAGTGGTGTGGAAGAACATTCACTTTATAATGTGGGATCTGGGTGGCCAGCAGAGTCTACGAGCCGCCTGGTCCACTTACTATACGAATACAGAGTTTATCATTATGGTCATTGACAGTACTGACCGAGAGCGACTCGGTGTCATCAGGGAGGAATTGTACTCTATGTTAAACCACGAGGAGTTGAGCAAGGCTAACGTTCTAGTCTACGCCAACAAGCAGGACTTAAAAGGCAGCATGACTGCGGCGGAGATCTCTAGACAGTTGGACTTAACGTCTATCAAGAAGCACCAATGGCATATACAGAGTTGTTGTGCCCTTACTGGAGAAGGGTAAGAGTGATAACGATGTGTGCACGTAATTATAAACGTATCTGAGAACAAGAGATAAATAAAACCATGTTTCAGGCTGTATCAAGGACTGGAGTGGATTGTCGGACGCTTGAAAAAGACATGACGTACATTATGAGAACCGTTCATAAGAGAGTCTAACGAAATATCCAAAATGTAAAATAATATTATCGAAGATAAATTAGCTCGGGCCACTTCGACGATTATGCGAAGATGAAGCCTATCTGGACGCCGTCGCGGCATTTCGTTAGTCATTATTTCGATCTCCCGTATGACTCTCAAAGTGCATATCCGGTTGCGTCATTGAAATCACCGGCGACCGAACCGCTGCTTATTCACGGACGGTGGACGGGAAAAATCATCCTTAAGCTATTAATTGCGCGACGAGACGAACAGTGTAACGCGATTGTTTGCGCGATGGACATTGTTATTTATATTGTATTGATTAACCAGAGAAACAGAGATAAGCAAAGGGAAAGTTGCATGACATAAGATACTGTAGACGCGTGTGTGTGTATGGTGTTGAGAAGATGGCGGTTTTTCGCACGAATGACGAATGTACAAAATACACGTTTGGTTGGATTGCCATAATTGCTCTCGATGCCCGGAACGTAGTCATTGATCCACGATTTGTTAGCTTTCGCAAAGTGAGAAATGTTCTTGATTGCTTACGCAACGGTAGCCGAAGAGAGTTTTCTGCATCCCGTCCACCTGCGCTCTGCAGTATAAATATAAAACAGGCAATGGAAATAGAAAGGAAGACGGCAGAACTAGTTATTTCTACTCGTTTGATGTGAAAGCGAACGGAACTGTTACGCAACGCAGAGAAGTGCACCCGTGTACATAGTTTTTTATACTTCGCGTTAAGAGAGTGAGTTCTGTAAAAAGAAAAAGGAAAGGAGGGAAAAGCGACTAGCCGGGCTAGAAAGTACCGGTTTCACCGACAGATCTTCGACACGTTTCCGTACATGAAAGGACTGCCTCTTCCCCCTTCTACCATTAAATTCACGGTGAACCGAACCTGATCGACCGATTGATACAACTGTGAAGAATTTCTCAAGGCAGAATACGAACTGTTCTGTGATATGTGGATTCAATTCTGAGACAGTTTACAGTTAATGGCCCGCGCGACATATGACTAACATGCGGATGCGCGGACGAAAACAAAGAAATAGTTCGGCGGGACAAGAGACAGCTGACAAAGGAGAGCCAGTAGTATCGTATGTGGTGAAATACGCGCGCGTGACTGGTGTGAGAATGGGAGTTTCGAATGAACGACACGCTCGCGAATTCGCGCTTGCACACCTTGTGGCATTCCATTCTGCTTCTTCGAGCGTCCACGAGTCCAGAATAATTGTTCGTTGCAATTGAAAAAAATAATATAATTTAATGTTACATTCGAATAATATAAATTATATTTTAATTCTTATAATCACACAAAAAAGTACTGGCCGAGCGCGAGTTTTAGCGATTTGTTCTTCGATCGCAATGCCGCGATGAGAATGACTAATGAACGCACGTGAATTCTGACGTAACGTCGGAACTCCTCTACTCGATCGACAACCGTCTCGTTTCTTCTTTAATCTCGTTTATTTGAGGCACACAAAAAATGTAAATAGTGAAACTTGGACGATAAGAAAATTATCGACCAATCATAGTCGGTCATTCTTCGACTGCAAGGATCAGTTTGCTTACTACTTACGTTTTTCTGTGTGTCATCCGCTTAAGTTATTGTGGATGTAACGTTTAAGTTCTATGTAGCGTGAAATACTCCAGCAGATAATGTTAATTATTGTAGTTGAAAAAAAGGGGGAGAAAGTGGAAGAATTATCAACGCTGACCTAACTGGTCAATGGGTATATGCGAAGTTCGTTGTATAGGAATTGTTAAAAACATCAACGCGCGCGTGCGAAGGACAGATGCCGTCTAATGTCAGAGTGAGATAAAAAAAAAAGAAATTAGATAAAAGAGTTGACGCTGGTTTTCTCATATTGAGAAACAGTTTCTTAAATGTTGACGTAAGAATGTGTATCGTGTATATTGTTCTTGAAATTCTACGCGGGATATTATATCGAAATTTTCGCTCGTCGAATTTTTATCCTCAAACAACGTCCCCTGATCCCCGCCCTCTCTTACCTTCCTGCTATTTAACATAATTGTGTAAAAATTTCTGGAATGTAAAGTACAAGACATAGGTTGTTTTAACGTCGACGTTAGCAGTGCGGGAGTGCGCGGGTAAAAGTACGATCGTGCTTGTTTACGAACTTTACGAACACGGTCCGATCTGCCGGAACGGCGATTATGGTTAATTAATAAAACTCATTTCTGATTCATGGATCTTTACCTATAATATATTATATAAGCCAGGGGATCTTCCCCCGGTACAACTTTATTAAAAATAATATAACGGAGACTCTAAAAAGTATGCGATGTCAAATAAATTAAAAGAGTTTCTATCGGTATGAAGTACACACGAGTCTGTTACATCTCATTCTCCACCACACATGTTCCCCCTCCCTCCAACTTTCGACTGCATTTGCATTTCTACGAGAAATATCACAATGAAAGCTTATTGTCTTCGGATTGAGCGTATTTCACTCGGTGTTAAAATCTACGGTACAGCTATAGATTACTTTTAAAATTCTACTAAATTTTACCTCAAGAACGTGCACCTTGTAGTCGGGACTTTCGGCACAAAGGAATTATACACTCGAGAAATTATCCCTTTTAATTCGGCATGTTGTATGTCAAACGATTTATTGGATGAATTTATATTAGATCTTTTACTAGATGCCCTCTGAAGCAATACCATGCGCGACATATAAGGAAGAAACCTTCGAACTGGTTATTTGTAGTCAATTGTGTCGTAGTGTCCATTTATTTTCACGTTCGTTATAAATAAAGTATTCACACATTCATTCATTCTCGTGACGATAAATCCACCAGTGCGTCCATGATTTTTCATTTTACGCGAAACTTGACTACTCGCGACGATGTGATCAGACAATATAAAATATTATAATATTTATATTATATATAATTATATATATATATTAATTTGTAATTAATATATAACATAATTATATATTTATATATATATTATAAATAATATATGACATAAAATATAATAATATTTCGATGTCTGATAAGACTAAGAGAACGTACTCGCTGATGAGACGTGCTCTTTTTCTGCATCATCTCATTCACTCTTAAGTATTTCCCTACTTCTCGATTCGCGTTTTCTTCTTTCTAAGAGCAATTAATTGCGATGGACTTCCTGAGGGAGACGTTAAGTTGTCGACAGGGAGATCTATGTCAGCGCTAATAAGCACCGCACATTCGCGTTTTATTCAGCGCTGGTGCACTCTATTACCTTGAAATCTATTTTCTATTCTCACAGAATCCTTGGCATACCTCGTAGTTTCGTTCCGAAATTTGAAGATTTTCGAACATCTGAGTTCTAATTAATAAAAAAAGAAAAAAATTATAGGGAAGAGGACGAAATAGAATATGCAATAACACTTGGGCAATGCATTTCTCAAGTGACGAAGCAAGACGATAATAATGATATTACACACGTCCAATTCATGTTGTTACAGTTCCGGATAATGATAAGTTTCCAAGGACACTAGAGAATCGTCTGAATAACGTGCGATCCGTATTCGATCATACTTAAAGCGTCTCAATGATATTGTTCAGACGTCTGCAACATCCTGAATTCTATGAGCCGCTATTTCCACGTGTCTTTGTTATTTTCCGCTATCTTTATGTTGTCGGCATTACCGCTAATTAACACGTTGACCACTGCCATAGACAAGTTGGTCAACCTGATAGTCAATGTGTTACTGAGTATTGAGCGATAATAATTGTATTTACAATAGCATCTTGTGCGATACACGTGTTATCCTATTTCTGGTACATTTCTCTATCCTGTGTGTATTTATTTATGTATTCGCACTTCTAAGTAGCGTAGAATTCTAAAAAAACGTCATTCAGGCAACCGAGGATCGCCCGGAAACCGTCTTTTGGATTTTCGCGCAGTTTCGGACTCCCTCGTGGATTTGGCAGTTTCGACTAATTGAATGAATCTATGTTTCTGCTCGGATAAGTAACTACGTCGCGGGAACTCGGTCTACTGGTACCATTCTGAGTACCAGTAATTTCGGATTGCAGATCTCAAAAATCAACGCGTAGTCCATTTTACGTCTACGGGAAACGTATGCGCACGTGTACTCGGACGTAAAACGTTGATGAATCTGCTCTTAATGATTCTATGTTTAGATAATACATCGTTATGACATAATTATTTGTCGTATTGATTACCTAGCCTTGTTTCTCACTCACTCGCTCATTTATTCATTCATTCGCTCGCGCACTCTCTCTCTCTCTCTTTCTTTTTTTCTCTTGTACGCCCTTTCATGCTCTTTCGCTCGATAAGGCGCACTCGTTGAGGAGACTCCGTCGAGGTCGGTATCAAAATGGTCTTGAAAGTCACCCGTCGGAAAGTTGGAGCTCGACATCGCTGTCGACGCTCTTTGCTGGAGATCGAGGGGCCGGGATACGATGAGACGTGGACTCCGAGAAGTGATTACGCTGATAACGACCGCCGATTGATTGACGGACGAGCTTAAGATTTGACGGCTTTCATGAGGAGATCGGTGCTATTTTAAGATTTGACAGCTTTCATGAGGAGATCGGTGCTGAGGGACTTAGGCCTCTCGATGGGCAGTCCTAGAGCGCGGTCCCACACTAGAGAGGCGAGCACGCCTAACGCGCGAGACACTCCAAACAGAACCGTGTAGTAGTTCATCTCCTTCATACCGTAGTACTGCAGCAACACGCCCGAATGCGCGTCTACGTTCGGCCACGGGTTCTTCACCTTGCCGGTCTCCAGGAGAACAGGCGGCACCACCTTATATACTTGCGCCACCAGCTGCGAAAGAGCGAAATGACATCGATTAAGAGTCGATTTCGGGACAATGCGGAGATTTACTTTCGGATTAGAAGCTGCTATCTGGTCTGTTCTTTTCGGCTGAACTGGCTGCACTGGTTCAAGAAATTTACGCACACTGGAGAGAATCTCGTATGTTCGCTTCATATGCTTCGATGTATGTAAATTTCTCGAATTAGCGTAGCCAGTTCAACTAAAAAGAACAGACCAATAGACTGACCGTCGAAAGGTTGATGGTCGTTAAAAGATTATCATTGTCATCGAAAATCAAGTGTAAATTAATAAATTTTATACGATATTTGTAACATTATATTACTCGCTACAACTGCGTCTTAGCTCTTACTTACTTTTTCATTGCTATTTGATTGTTAATCTTGAGAGCCTTTAAATTCATATAAAAAATCAATTATAATATTACGATCGTCGCTGTGGAGACGCATGATAAATGTCGTTGTTCGTAACGGATGTAATTGTTGACCACCTATTTTTATTTTCGTTTTTATATTCCAATATGAAACGTCTCGATCACACATATTTAATCGTCCATTTGGCACAATATATATAAATCATGCACACGACATATCTCGATGTTGTTACAATGAAAAATCATTCGCGGATTGTCAACAATGTTTATAGATCCAAGAGAATATACTAATCAATAGCCATTAAGCGCTCACTGAGCTGCTTTACCTGCTGAATGCAGGCAATAATACTCGTTCGACTTTATCCCTCGTGTTCTCTCGCTCGAAACGATCAGGAACGCGACTCACCTTGAACAACGGGTCGTCCGGCAGATGCTTGAGCGCGAACTCCCTCTGACACGTGTACCTGGGGTCGGTCTTCCTGAGAACGGCGTGTCCATAACCGGGTACCACCTGGCCGCTCTTCAGCGTGTTCCAGATGAACTCCTTGAGCTTTTCGTCGCTTGGACTCTCGCCCACCTGGCCGCGCAGCTTCTCCAGCCACACCAGCACCTCCTGATTCGCCAAACCATGCAAAGGTCCGGCCAAGCCGTTCATGCCAGCGGAGAAGGAGAGATATGGGTCTGACAGGGCGGATCCTACCAAGTGGGTGGTGTGCGCGGACACGTTGCCACCCTCGTGGTCCGAGTGTATGGTGAGGTAGAGACGCATCAACTCGATGAACTGCGCGTTGTCGTAGCCGAGCATGTTGGCGAAGTTCCAGGACCAGTCCTTACCGGCGTCGACCGAGCCCAGACCTTTGCCGCTCTTGTAGATGTTACGGTAGATCGTGGCCGCGATGACCGGCAGCTTGGCGATCAGATTCATCGAGTCATCGTACACGGTCTCCCAGTACTTGCTCTTGTGCACGCCTTTGCTGTATGCCCGCACGAACTCACTCTCGCTGTTCAGCAGAGTAATCGCTGCGGAGAACTGCGTCATCGGGTGCAGGTTCTTAGGGAAGTTATTGAGCGCCTTCACCACGTGCTCGGGCAGCGCGCTCCTCGTCGCCCATTCTTGCGAGACGGCCTTCACCTGCGCGTCCGTCGGCACGTCGCCGGTGATCAGCAGCCAGAAGAGACCCTCCGGCAACGGCTCCGCGCCGCCGGGCGCCTTCGGCAGCAACTTCTGACACTCGGGGATCGACTTGCCGCGGAAACGGATGCCTTCCTCCGGATCGAGCACCGAAGGTTCCCACACGAGACCTTTAATACCGCGCATACCGCCGTACATCTGTGAAAGAGAAGCGCGTTAAAACGACTCAGTAGAAAAGAATCGATCAACGTTGATAACTGATTTAATTTAATTTCCTTCGGCTACGTAAATCCTTTATTTAACTTGCTCTAATTAACGTTTTAACGAACATTAACAAATGTTCGCCTATCGGTTCAAAATCTTTCGAAGAATCTGCCATAAAACATTATAACCCATACTAATAGCATCACATGATAACTGAGAATCTATTTTGCATATTTTTTCTAAGGACGGGAAAAAATAACGTTAGTGTTAATGAATTACGATGAGGTTAGCGATGATTAATTGCGGAATACCGATGAAGCAACGAGCAAGCTCTTCACCGGAGAGAAATAAGATCGTCACACGCGAGACGACTCGTTCAATGACGATTAATCAACGTGGTTACGTATGGCCGATAATCGTGGCATAAAAATACATTATTTATCAATACGAAAAATCCCGATAGGAACTGTCACATTGTGCGATTATCGTGATCATATAGCAGGCATGTGGTCCAACTATCCTGCAGTCCGACCTTATCATCAGGATGGCTCTCAAAAAATAGTACGCCGAATCCTCGTTGATTTGTCTCGTCAATCAACGATCAAATGCGGGATTTATTGATCTTATCGACTTAATAAAATTTCACATCTTCTGTGTGGTTAATTCTGATAATTAACTCATAGGGACGCTTCTCTAATTTAAGTAATAATAGACGTAATAATAAGTAATAATAAGCGTAATAATAAACGATGTTGTAATTGAGAAGAAGATATGTAATTTTTTTAGAAAAATAAAATAGTTCGTAAATACAGAATAAATTTAGGATTTACTAGAATCTAGAGGGAAGATAATAAATTCGATTATTTGTAAAGTTGTTTCACGGTTACAAATAAAAAGCTCTGTAGATTATCGTTGATTTTAAGAAAAAACATAATGATGAAATGCCTTACCATGTCCACGGTGACTTCGCCAACTTTCGTGGAGCCATGATCCTTACGAAAGGCTTTGACACGTTCTTGTTCCCTTGGTATCTTATCGGAAAGAATTTTCTTGAGATCCGTGGATGCGTCGGTTAATTGGCGCGTAAATACCACCGACGTTATTTTCTGTAAAAAAAAAAAAAAAAGAGATAAAATTTATAGAATTTCTAGATAGCTTTCGCAATCACAGTTATACAATTATAAGTTAAATTTTATATAATTCTATAATATTTGTAACGCAGCTATCTGGTAAATCGATTTTTTTAAATAGACATAACAAGTTCTTTCATCTAAAAGAATTTTTTGTCCAGTGAAATTATTTTTCGGATTGCTGATTTCTGTTCATTACGAGTTTTGATGGGTACTTGTCGTACATGACATATGCGTCGCGCAAAAAATTATGACGGCGGAAAACACGTGTGCGTTACGTAAAAAGAATAAACCGTTAAGAATCGTACTGCCAATGGTGCACACGCAAGTGAACTCTTGCGATGATAAATTGCTGATTTCATAACACTCAAATGACAGCACATGCCGGATTCCTTAATAAATAATAATAAGCGGGCTTCTTCCACAGAGCTGTTGTGCAATTTGCAAGATGACAAGATTGTCGAATATGACTTATTTATTATAATAATATTTCTTACATTAATGTGATGAAAGGGACCAGAGAAAATTAATCTTGCAACTTATCACGAAATAATCCAAATGAAAATGAGAGACACGGGAACGGAATTACATTGAATCACGTTTCTTCCGTTCAAATTCGTAATCGCATCTTTGACGTCGTGAAAAAATCCGAAATCGCTTCTCATCTCGATATGCACTATCAAACGTCACGAGAACTTGGATAAGAGTGTACGAGGTCGCTCGAGGTCTCGGATTTGGTTTATCAGGAACATGCCGCACTCGCGGAAACGCACCGGCGAGGATTAACCCTGCGGTCGCTTTATCCTCCGCGGAGGATAGTAATATCGTCTTTAATACGATAAAAGGCCCTAATTTAGACACACGTACGTGAGTTTTACTCATGATCGCGTGGAGCAGCGGAGAAAATTCGCAAGTAGTGGGCTCGAACAAGTTGTTCTGGGAACAATGTATGTGTTTCAAACAATAACATAATGTATACATAGCAAAAAGTTTAGTGTTAAAAACAGTCCTCTGAAATTTCGTGTTACTTCAACGTAGATAATGTGTTAAAAAGTAAATCAATATAATATGAAATTAACATATTTACCTAGTCAACATATATTGCATATATATATATATATAAAAGAAATAATCTTAAATCAAAAATAGATATTCTCATACATAAACAAGAATAATATATTTTTAGAAAATTTTTAGTCTTGAATTGAGTTCAAATAAAATTTGTATCAATACAAATCCAATGAAATCAAAACTAAAAATTTTCTAAGAAGATTATAATATTTTTACTTATATTATGTAAGAGAATATTTTGATTTAAGACTAATTTTTGTTCTGTGTATGAACGTGTTAATTTAACATTATACTTGTGTACTTCTTAACACCCATGTTTTCCCATGTTAAAGTAACATAAAATTTCAGTGAGCCGTTTTTAATACGACATTTGTTTACTTTATAATAGGAATAACGATAACGATAACAAAATAATATAATTGTAATGGCATAATGGTGTAACATGGCAATAATGTAAATACGATAATTAAACCAATGACGGATAATGAAGATAAAATTAACTAAGGGCGATAAATAAGGACGATAAGCGACGTATAACCGTGTATTTCTAAATTTGTGAACGAGGAAAGGTGAAGAGCGAACTCATAATTATCATGTAATTGAAGTGCGGGAGCACGCGCGCGAGCATTGGCGGTGCTCGTGACTGCGATTTCGGCACGTTCGCCCGATACCGAGTGATCCGATAATTTTTTATTATTCTCTTCTTTGTTTTAACAAAGTGAGAACGTCGCGTGATATATTCCTACGGAAAGGCTTATCTGGGTTACGTCGCATTCGGCGATGCAGTCGTTATTTCTTCGCGGCATTTTTTTGCGAAATTAGTGAGTGTGTTCTAACGACGCGCGTCATAGTATTCTTAACATTTGTCTATACATCCGACAATAACGTTAATTTAATTAAAAGTCAAGGCGGAATCCGGAAGATCGAGATGACGTCTTTAACACAAATTTTTTTTTACTATGCAGTGGACTTGGAAAGCACGCATATATGTAAAATAAAAAGTGCGTTTGTATATTTACAATAAATTTGTTTCATAAAAATTATTTCTAGAAAATTTAGAGAATACGATAAAAATACGATGATATGTTTGCGCTTTTCACTTTGTAACCGGTCGTGATTTGCACAGGCAAACGAGAATATTGTTTACGGAGAAGATGCGAAATCCGGGAGACAAGCCAGTAAGCTGCTAAAAATAAAAGGATTTCAATGTGCCGTGCAATTCACGTGGTGCGCTTAGCGTGATCGGAATGGAATTGATGCCAAAGTATATGAAATTCCGCGTTCCTTCGTGCGCGAGCTCAATAAAATTCCTCCTATGTAATTCCGTAAAAGATAACACTGAACGATTGACAATAATGAAAATTGTATCACCTGTAATAATCTACTTCTGCGTGAATGTGTGTGTATGTGTGAACTTCAATCGTCGTCGTCAGAACAGAGCATCTTGAATTATTTAATCTCTCATCAATGAAAATCGAAGATCTTTTATCCGATGGACAAAGACGGATTGCTCGAGCTCTTGTTAAAGATATCGGCATGATTCCCCGTTTTGTGATCGGAAAACAATGCTTATCGATCTATACTGATTCAATGTCACGATTAAAGCTTGATTCTTAGACCAAAGAGGCGGATCTGTTCAATGGTAATTGGAAGGTCACTGGTCTTCGAGGGTCAATCGCACTCGTGTCACCAATTCGATTGACCCTTGAAGATATATAGATAACTTAATAACCGTAGTAGCGACCATAATCGATTTGAGAGAGCGATAGCGTATTGAAAATGATTGAATGCGAACATCAAAGTGTCTCAAGAGAATTATGTGCTAATTTCACGTTTGTAAAAATAATTAATAGGGTTCATTTTTCATCGAGGTTTGTCTAAGTTCATTTTTGCCGTCAATATTATTAAAATATATAATAAATCATTAAATAAATATGTATATAAATTTAGTATTAATTATATCGTAAGTAATTTTCTTATTTGATAGATTTGGTTTTATTTATTATGTATATGTGTTATGCTAATATTGTTATCGGCAATGATAGAAAAATTTAGAGCTCGCGAATCGATTTGCAGTCTACACGATTCTTCTCCCGCAAAGCGCGCGTGAAATTCCATTGTACGAAATGCGAGCGGTGTCGCTTTACATAGTACGTAACGCGAGATTAGTATCGGGTTAACTGCGAACAATACAATGTTATCGAAGGTATTTATCGCGTGGAAGGTCATGGGCAAACGTGAATGGATTATTTTAGGATGGAACGGGTGTTCGGTTATAATTTTGCAATAATTACGTATCTCTCGATGTATATAAATTCTCTATGTTGGTCATAACCCGGAAACTGGTTGATAAGAGCTTCTACGTTCGCGCACATACTATGTGTATATGTGGTAAATAAAACGCAAAGCGCATTCTTACGTAGCATTGACACGTGGCAAAAACGCAATTTCGCTCGAAACGTTCCGTACAAAAACGAGCTGCTGTTTCTACCCGGTGTTTTATCACCACGTGATGTACCGACCGACTCGCAATCAAAAAGTCATTACGCAATTATCAATCACTTACAGGGAATCCCGATAATAGATTATCAACGATCAGATTTTCAAAAATAGATAGATAGATAGATAGATAGATAGATAGAGAGAGAGCTTCTCATAATTTTATCAGCAAAAGAATTTCACAAACAGTATATATTTCACAAATGTTTCCTACACAGTAAAAAATTATGTATTAAATTTAACACATTTCATATGTATCAAATTTTGTCTACTCAAATTTTTGTGTTAGTTTAACACAAAATGTATACGTCAAAAAATAACACAAATATTATGTCAAGGAGTAATACAAAAAAATACGTTAACTGACTATTATGTCAAAGAGTAATACAAAATTAATACGTTAACCGACAACTGAAATATAAGATGTGTTATTTTAACACATGTTGTTGAATATCGACATAATGTTGAGATAACATAAATACAATATGTTAAATTAACACACGGGCATATTAGAAATTTCGGCATAAAAATTTTAACAAGAACCGATTTTAACACAAGTACAAAATGTCATTTACTGTATATGCACAAAGTGTCTCGTCGACTTCGCGGTCTTGCGATATCGTGATCGACATCCGGTGATGCGAAGGTGAATTATGTGCCACGCCGTGTTACGTTATATTTCTGGAAATGCGTGTTCACCTGAATGACGTAAGCGGTAGGCAGACGCGATGCAAATTTCTTTTGTCGCATGTTAAAGTCGGCCAGACGCAGGTCCGCGTAGCCAACGATTAATTATTGATGATAAAACGACGTCAATGAACATACCGACGTACCGATTTCTAATCGGCGGACTCGTTGTCCCTTGGCAGACCGGTTGTCCCATATGTCGGTTTTATATCGGGCCGCTTGACGTCATTTTATGGTACGCTATTTTACTTTGCACCGTGACTCGCACAATCGCGTCCGCGATTATCTCTTTTCGCGCGTGTTACTCTAACGGCGATCGTAAAAATACAATTGTCACGGCGAAAAGCATAGTCGTTACAATCTCGCGAGACACGAGAGATCGAGATAACGTCGCTGATAGAGAACGCACTTTTAGCGACCCGCGCTCTCGTAACATTTCTCGCACGAACGAAGATGTGAATGATTCTTCGTTTAAATTAATACCGAGGTTAATTGTAAAACGATGCACGATCTTCCAAGATCTATCGAATCGTGACATGAAGCGTTCAAATAATTACTACGAATCGTTCGATTACTAAGCAGTTCCGAATGAGTGGCTTTTCTCCGAGCTGAAAAGTCGAAAACGAGAATGTAAAAATAATATCCGACTCTTATTAACGGTTACATGCGCGGTTATCGGAACTGTCGCTTCACATTTTATGTTCCCAACATGTATATGG